TATTATAATAACAAAGAGAAAAAAATATATATAAATGGGAATAATACACTCTAAATTGTCATTTTTTCATCTGCTGACACTAAACCTTGTGCATGTTTTTGCTTTAAGTAGGTATCTCCAGAAATAAGAGACATAAATGAAACAAGACAAAGAAAAAAAAAAAAAAAAAAACTACAAATTTTTTCATTAAATTTATTGCATCTATACATACAAAGTATTGCTATAAACATACATACAAAAAAACAGATAAACAATATACACAGAGATTACAAGAAATAAGTGTCATTTAATGATTTTTAAATAATATTTTAGATTGCATTTGAATTAAAAGATGTTAGGATTGGGATTATTCCACTTACAACAATGAATAAAATATTTTCCAAATAAAATGAGAATTTAAAATATATGTTTTTTTTTTTTTTAATCAATATTAAATCAATCAGTCAAACCCTCTGCAAACTGACTGCAGCGCTGGGTGACTCACAGTTGCCCCGTTTACATGAGAGCTTTAATTCCGATTAAAAATGATTTAATTTGGCATAAAAATGTATTCCGCTTTAAAAAGACAATGTAAACACTTAATTCCTAATGATTATTCAGAATTCAGTTTATTCAGAATTAAATTTAAATCTGAATTAAGTGTGTGGTTTATTCCAATTTTAAAGCCAAAAAAGCTAACCTGCTAGCTGCTGCACTCCAAATAGGAAGTGAGCATGGGTGTGCTTCTGTTGCCCCTTTCGAGGTAAACCCTGGAAAAGAAATACAAAGTACAGATGATTTGTCTTTCGCATCTCAGGACTGCAGGGTTTATTCTGCTACAACAAATAATAATTTCCATGTTGCTACACAGACCCAATTGTACAACATTTCCATTGTATCTTACTTCCAGATCGTATTGATACATGTTTAAAATTTTACATTTATACATTCGTTAATAACCAAACAAAAGTGTAACATTTAATTCTGTGCTAACTGTAACTAACTTAGCTCCTACAACTAAACATGTCGTCCAGCCCGTGACAGCAGTAATTACACTGGCACTGTACTTGCACATGAACTGCAACTTTAACATGTACATCCTGTGCTAAAGCTTTACAAAAATATACAAAGTAAAAGCTTAGACATGTTTATGAATAGCTCACCCCGTGTCTAATAATTAACTCAAAATATACCCGCGCTGCATCTTTACAACTGCGCTAGCCTAGCCCGCGCTACATATCGCTTCAAAATGTGTTTTACACACAACTTCACTTCAACCAGTGTTCACATTTACACAGATGCATATTAACGGTTTTATCTCAACACCAGTACTGTTTGGGTGAGACACAAATTACTTTTTAACAACTTGGAAACGCAATACAAGGGACAGATGATTCGTCTTTAGCATCTCAGGACTGCAGGGTTTATTCTGCAGTGCTGTCCCTTCGATTCCTAAATCCTTCTACCGCCCCCTAGCGGCACTCTAAAGTATTGCATTACAAGACGATATCATATTTCAAAAAAAAAAAAAAAAAAGTGAGTGTCTGTTTTTAATTACTGACATAACATATACAATGCATTACTTCATTTTAGCTGTTTTAGCCCTTTTAGCTACTATGGGCCTTACACTTCCAGCTCCATCAACTGACTAAAATTCACTTTCTTTTACCGTCTAGTTTTATTTTTGTATTAGTTTTTTGTTTCATCTAGCACATCAGCAGCCTAATTTGAGTATTTAAGCACACTGTAGCGGCTATACAAGACCCGTATTTCGTGGTAGCCGAGGAGAGATAGAATTGGGTCCAGTAAAAACTATAACGCGCTGAATGCGATGTAAAAGACAGAGGCTGGATCCAGTATGCATTTTGGGATGGTTTAATGAATGGGTAACTGGCATACTATAAATCACAGCGGCAAAGTACAAATGCAGACACAGAGAGCAGGGATATTGTGAAGATGAATATGCATTGATAACATAATTCCAGAAACAAAAGCAATAGTGGTCGACAAAAATTATGGCAACCCAGCATTCTCTGTCCTCCTGCCTGCCCCAGGTGATTGCGTACCTTTAACACTTCCCCAACCGCGGGCACCCAGGCTCACGTGACCCCACCGCCTCTGTTGGGGGAGCAGACACACACACACATGCACACTTTGCCCAAGTTGGGTCTCCTATACACAGTGTGGAGGTATGCCTGATACTAGTATTTAAAGGTAAATACTGTGTCTCATTCAAAATCAGACGGAAAAGCTAATGATCTCTGCGGTGTGTTTAGCTCTGAGTGCTTGCTTCAGCATTTGGATGGGCTTTAGTGTCTGGTCAGGGGTGAGGACAGAGCAAGTGAATTAACACTTTTTTCATTTAGTCGTCAATTAAAACAGTCATATAATTGTGTTCTATATTATTGAATCTGTGTTTAAAATAGGAGAGAGGATACAGGAGAAGGGATTTGATGAGAACCTGAAGACCCAAAATCACCTGACTCTTGAGCTCTGATATTGCACAATGACACAAAAACAGCTGTCTCGAATACTGTCAGACAGTTGTATCTTTGTTCTCAAATGTCTGCCTACTATTTGGTAACCTGTAAAGAACTTCTGTATTAGTCATTACCGATTTTTACTGTATATATAAAACAGGAAGTGAGCATGGGGGCGCTTCTGGCTCCATCGACTCCAATTGACTTCACAATAAGAAATTATCACTCCTCTTTCTGTAACTCCTGCAGTGAGCCTTGTTATTTTGGTCTTAAAATGTTCCTCTTAAGCCACTCATCACGATCCTGGTGTTATAATTTTGGTATAGAACTTCGCACAAAATTTGCTCCTAACTGTTAGTGAGCTTCATTTGACTGGTGCCGAACACTATGGGTGTCTTTATAGAGTGTATGGTTATTACCTGAGAAAATGCCATGTATAAAATGAATAGATAATATTTTACTATAGGATGCATGGTGAAAAGAGAATTCATTTTGACAACAACATAACATCAAGTACAGATGAACAGAAGAGTAATAGTGCTTACTTCCATGGTGTGCCAAGCCGACCCCAGATAGACTCAGTGGAACATGTACTCGTGCTTAGATCTGTGGACTGTCCCTTCCAGCAGAGATTTTGCCTGTCCAGGAGCCTGCCCGAAACACAGAGAAGAATCAGACAGAATTTTCTTTAGAGAATCAATGTTTTTATTACCATTGTGGTATCACAATCGGTATCAAGCATCAAGTTTGTTCCTCCATAGTAACTAAATCGAGTTTCAGTGTTGTGCATGAACGAGCGTTCATTGAACACGTTCATTTTTCAGTGAACTTTGAACTGAACGCAACACTTTTGTAATTCAAGAACTTGAACGTGAATTTGTTCAAATTATGTGTGATGAACGACGTACGTCACTGTTGGGGTTCAGTTAAACGTCGGAATTTGTTTTCACCTGACGAGTGAGGTTCTGCTCGCACTTCACCTCGCGAAACCACAGCCGCGTGTCAACGTGAAGGCGACTCCACCAGCAGCTTTAGCGGAACGTACGGGCTCTTGTGTCTCTCAGTGGGAAGTCAATCAAACTTGACTGGGCGCGTTTAGCTGCTTGTATTTACCTTCTGTACAGGCTGACCACGGCAAACGCAAGGATTTCAAAAGTAAATTTCAAAGCACTAATTAACAGTCTATGTGGATCTGGGCTCTTTCACATGATACACAACTGCCCAGGGAGCACAATGTGCTGATGGTAAATGCACAAATACAGCAATAGATACATGCTCTCTGTGTATTTTGACGGGGATACGCGCCTACGCTCGTGTAGAGCGTCAAAAAATAGGATGGATCCTATTTTCTGAAATCTACACGCACAGGACGTGCTGCTCCGCGCGCGTATTATTTTACTTGGTACATATGTCAGTAACGCGCGTCACAATGCTTTTTTAACCTTTTTTCGTTTTTATTCATACAAATTTGCTAAAATCACCGCGATATCAGCAGCGGTGAAACACCGGAGGTGCGCCCGCGTAGACCGTGATCCTGAGCGAAAGGATCGACGCAGAAGTCCGCGCTCCACCGAGCTAAACGCAGCTGACGCCCCATCGCACTCGGGGTTCTCTCAGGGACGGTCCTAGATTCCAAGTTCTAGTCCAGGATTAGTCCTGGTTTGGTCCTGGTTTAGTCTTGGTTTAGTCCTGGTTTAGTCCTGGTTCAGTTCTGGTTTAGACCTGGTTTAGTCCTGGTTCAGTTCTGGTTTAGTCCTGGTTCAGTCCTGGTTCAATCCTGGTTTAGACCTGGTTCAATTCTGGTTCAGTCCTGGTTTAGTCTTGGTTTATTCCTGGTTTAGACCTGGTTCAGTCCTGGTTTAGACCTGGTTCAGTTCTGGTTCAGTCCTGGTTTAGTCTTGGTTTATTCCTGGTTTAGTCCTGGTTTAGACCTGGTTCAGTTCTGGTTTAGTCCTGGTTTAGACCTGGTTTGGACCTGGTTTAGTCCTGGTTTAGTCCTGGTTTAGACCTGGTTCAGTCCATATACGGCGCAAAAGTTCAGCATCTTAACAGTTCTTTTGGTGAGAGTAAATTAAAAGTGCTGCAATAGTCATGTAATGTTTTACATTTTAAATACAGTAATATTGTAGTGTAACAAATTACTTTGAAATGACAGTAACAAGTCATAAATAACACATTACAGTTTTAAAGTCACTTGTCCAACAGTGTATTTTGTAAAGTTGTTGTAAACTAGAAGTCAGTTTGAAAAATAAATGCAGCCTTTCATTTACAGATCTCATCTAAATATAAAATGAACTGAACTTTGAACTAGTTCAAAATTAAAATTGTGAACTATGAACGTGAACTATTCACTTTGAACAAGTGTGAACTGAACTTTGAACTAGTTCATGAAAAGTGTGAACTTGCACAACACTGTCGAGTTTGAACTTTTAGTGTCATGACACTGACAACACTGCTCCTCAAAATAATTGTGTAGTGGACTGTTGTTGGTTTTGTATTTGTAATGCCAAATCGGTCCGCCAGAGGGCAGGCGTTGATAACCTCTTTTCTTAACAGCGACAGAGGAAGAACCACTATTGTTTTTATCGACAGTTGCAGCAGGCTGTCCACGAAAATATCACTTTTTAAACAACAAAATCCTCCTTTATTTTTCTTTTAACCTGCAGTCAAAAGGTTAGTCACTTATAGCTTTAGGATGTCTTCAAATCTGTGTAATAACAAAAGCTGAAATAGTTCTATAACCGCAATGGGATGTGTCCGTCCGTGTTTCTGATCCTCATTCACGGAAGAGGTTTAAAAATGGTCGTTCTTCAAAATCAGCAATCAATAAGTGTTTATAAACTGGAGATATTGAAATCGATCTGTAATAACGCGATAATACACAATAATACGCATGTGGTAATTTACAATTTACTGCGAAGAATCTACAGTAATGAATTTGAGGCCTGCAAATAAGTCAACTTAAGTGCTTTATCATTAAATATTCCACGTCCAGTTATTATGCTGTAATATGGTTAAATATCTATAATCATGAGGCTATCCACGTGAATAAAAAAGTAAACACTATAAGAGAACACAATTTGTCTTTGTAACTTTAACAATAAATAGCAGAAGCCTAGTAGTAGTAATCCTTATTTGTCCATGGTAAAAGGTTTCAAAGATAGCCATGCCAATAATGTTTTTGAAATCAAGACGTTTTGACTGCCGTCTAGAAGTCATTTAAAATATGTAAAAGGTAAATATCTCCTACAAGATTTTCTCAGGCTGCTTCACTTCAGCTTTATCTGTGTCCAATTTTGTCTAAATGTCATATTCAGCTTAGTGTTTTCGTGATACTTAAATTTCAAACACAATTGCGATACTAAGGAATAGACTTGATTACTATATTACCATGAAGTCTAATACCTGTGTAATCCCTCAGTCATACAGTACATCTAGGTTCCATAGTGGTCTATGGAAGTATACTAGTCTATGAGGTGTGTGAAGAATCCCTCAGTCGTCCAGGTAGAATCCATGAGGAGAAAATTCAGTTTGTCGACTGGACAAAAGTTAGTTTGGTTGAAGACGTTTCACAGCTCATCCAAGCTGCTTCTTCAGTTCTGGTCAGAATGCTGGGGGACACTTCCTTATATCTGTAGGGAGATATAAGGAACGTACAATGTGGCCAAACACCTGAAGACCATTTTGTCCCCTTTGGTGGGTAACACGGAGCACCATATTGAAAACACAGCTGAATTTGTTAACAAAATCAAACATCTCCAGTTCGACCCGGATGAGACAGTGGTTTCCTTTGATGTGACGTTTCTTTTCACGTGTATCCCTACATCAGTAGCAGTGGAGGCAGCAAGGAAGACACTACTGCAAGATACCAAACTAGAAGAAAGAACTAAACTGTCACCTGATCAAATCTGCCAACTGCTGGAAATCTGTTTAAATACCACCTATTTCCAGTTCAGATGGAACTTATACAGGCAAATCCATGGCTGTGCGATGGGCTCACCGGTCTCTCCTGTCATTGCTAACTTATATATGGAACAATTTGAACAGAGGGCCTTGGCCTCTTATCCAGGAACTCCACCCACACATTGGTATCGTTATGTGGATGATAACTTTTCTAAAATCAAAATTCAAGATTTGGAACCATTTACTGCACATATTAATGCTGTAGATCCTATCATCAAATTCACCAGTGAAGATGCCAAGAACAACACATTGGCTTTCTTAGATTGTGCAGTAACAATAGGAGAACACTGACTCCAGGTGGAGGTCTTCAGGAAGCCCACACACACGGACCAGTACCTGCTTTTTGATTCTCACCACCCACTGCAACACAAACTTGGAGTTATTCGAACACTAGGGACACAGGGCTCAAGTGGTGCCTACAAGCACAGAGGGAAAGGAGAAAGAAGAACAACATGTGCAGAAAGCCCTCTCTGTTTGTGGAGATCCAAAACGGGCCTTCAACAAAACCTAGAGAACTAAAAAACAGGACAACAGAGAATCAGAACCCAGGAGAAAGGGGGTAACTATTCCGTACACGGCTGGTGTTTCTGAAAAACTACAGAGGATTTTCAGACAACATGAGTTTTTTAACATGGATTGAAGTGGTGGGTTTTTCTTCATACAGATTCATTAAAATCACCTCGATATCAGCAGCGGTGAAACGCCGGAGATGCGCCCTCGTAGACCTTCAGGTAACCGCGGGCGAAAGGACTGACAAAGAACTCCACGCTGTTTAGACCTGGTTTAGACCTGGGTCAGTTCTGGTTTAGACCTGGTTTACACTCGTCCCTCCCTCTGTCGCAGTTCACATTTCGCGGTCTCGCTGTTCAGCAGATTTTATTATTTTTTTTTGTGCAATTTTGCATGCCCTTTTTTTTTTTTACATTGTATGAATGCGTATTGCGTTCCTCCCGCTGCGTCCTGACTGGCCAAGGGACTCCTGTCTCCTGTACAGTACAGTACATAATGTGTTCAGCTGCCAAATTTAAATACATGTTCAATCTGTATCAGTGTGATTCTGAAGTGCTGTACGGTTGCAAGTTTTCTCCCCGACGAAACCCACAACGTCGACGAAACGTTCTGCACCGACAAAGGCTCCTGCGCTCGCACCCAAAAGGCAGAGGAAGATGTAACCATCACACAAAAAGTTGGACTTCTGGACACGCTGAAGGAAGGTAGAAGTTACACGCTGTAACAGACTCTTGCACCGGCTTGGGTACCTGCAAATAGTTGCTGAAATCAGGGCCGCGAGCCCGAGCAGCAGGGTGTCCATAAAGTGCAAAAGTTATTTTGGTGAGAGTAACTTAAAGTAATGCAATAGTAATGTAATGCCTTACATTTTAAATGCAGTAATATTGTAATGTAACAAATTAGGCAAGGCAAGGCAAGTTTATTTGTATAGCACAATTCGTACACAAAGTAATTCAAAGTGCTTTACAGAATAAGAAATACATTAAAATCATAATAAAAACAAATCAAAACATAAATAATCATGAAGATTAAAATTAAAAAAGAGAGACATAAATTGGAGAGAAGAGTGCGGAATGAAAACCTTTCAGTTATATGCACAGTTAAACAGAAATGTTTTGAGCCTGGATTTAAACAGCGTCACAGAAGAGGCCTGTCTCACATGTTCAGGAAGACTGTTCCAGGTTTTAGCTGCATGAACCTGAAACGCTGACTCCCCTTGTTTAGTCCTGACTCTGGGCACCAGCAGGAGGCCGGTCCCTGAGGTCCTCAGAGTGCGAGATGGTTCATATGACACTAACATGTCACACTTGACAGAAATGACAGTAATAGGTAATAAATAACGCATTACAGTTTCAAAGTAACTTGCCCAACAGTGCAAACAAAGCAATGTGATCTAGTCCATTCAGTGTAGTGAAGACTGCAGTGAACGCTACATTGGAGAAACTAAACAGCTACTTCACAAGAGGATGTACCAACACAGACGAGAGAGCAGCAGTGGACCTCAGTCTGCTGTACATCTCCACCTAAAAGCCACGGGCTACTCATTTGAGAACAGCGAGGTACAGATTTTAGCCAGAGAGAAAAACTGGTTTGAGAGGGGACTGAAAGAAGCCATTTTTGTTAAGAAAGAGAATCCTTCTCTTAACAGAAATGGAGGACTCAGACACCATCTATCTCCTATTTACAACTCTATCCTCAAACCTAATTCAAAACAAACAAGAGAACAATAGGTGTAGCCAGGTCAGGTCCAGAGGTGTGGAAGCTCCATTATGGCCGTGAATTGTTATGTTAATTAGACCCCACAGCCTGTACAGGTCAATAGGCCGAACTAACAAACAGAAACTGTAAACAAGTAGGTGTGTTAGTTTCAGTTTGTTGGCTCCTCCCTGCAGATATAAGGAAGTGTCCACCAGCATTCTGACCAGAACTGAAGAAGTAGCTTCGATGAGCTGCGAAACATCTTCAACCAAACTAACTTTTGTCCAGTCGACAAACTGAATTTTCTCCTCATAGTCTATCAGGTCTTACACTTTTTCTGATATCTCTCAAGGTCTGTCTAAACCTATTCAGGAAAGGTTAATTTCTGTCTTGTGACCTTTTTAGTACTGATGCTTGCTCAACTGAGTATCTAGTTTCGATACTAGTTTTAGTATTGATTAGTACCTGATCAATAATTCGGCAGCCAGTTTTGTGGTCTAAACAACTAATCATTAGATTCAGCTCTAGTACTTTGTTTTCCACATGCAACAGAAACTTAATCAAATACATTGATTAACAGACATATGTCTCCAGGTGGCTTTGAGCATGTAAACACACCAAAAATCAGATCCAGTTATTGGGTTATCTGATTTTCACTGGACACATGTTAAAGTCTGCTCTTGTTTGATCATAGTGTAATTGTCAAGTTGTGAATAATCAAAAACATTGGAATACCACTAAAATGTAATCTTTTGAATGCTCTTCTATAGCATTAAATTATCTTCATGCACAGTAGTTGACTTTTTTGTAGTATCAAGAAGTAGATTTGAGTAATACTGCAAAAAATCACATTAACAGGACACAATTTGAGCTTTTCTGTACAGTTTAGTTGATATTTTGAGCTTCATCAGAACTAGTATAAGTTCTCATGGTAACATAAAGAAAGAAAGTGTAATTATATTGTGTATGAAAATTTGATTTTATTACAAAAAAGGAACATGTTTTTTCTTAATTGTTATATTGTAATCGTTATTGAGTATTGAGTCAATTCCTTGATACTGAATTCGAGTTTAAGAGTTTAGTATGGGGACAACACCTTTTTTGTAGCTGCTTTTTCACAGAGCCTTTGTGTATTTCAGGTTGGGCAGAATGACGACCAAGCGCAGGCTGATCACAGACTCATACAGAGTGGTGAAGAAAGAGAGAAGAGGAGGAAAACGACAGAGGAGCCCCACTCCTCCCCCCACCCCAGAACGTATGCAGCTGTTATACTATGCTAAACCACTGTCTGCTGCAACAATTTCAAATATATTTTCTTATTATTTCAATTTATGTTTTAATTAGTAAGATTCATTTCACAGAGCAACATGTTTAGAAGCATTGATAATTGAGAGAAGACTGAAATATGAACTGATAAACTAATACAAATTTCAGAACATATCTTTAAAGGACTAGAGGTCTAAACTACAGGTACAACCAGATTTTTGTACTTTACTGTGAAAAATCTGTTATCTTAACATTTGCAGCCTTTGCAATTTGATAACTGTGCCAATTTTAATTACAATTTTGATTTGATTGTGACATACCATCAGCAGAGCCCTTTCATTTCAGACCAGAGAGAGGTCTAAACTATAGGGTTAGAAGGTTTCATACAGAATAATGCAGTGTTTTCAGTTTATAGTGGAATTTATGCGTGTTATATCTGAGACCTGTTTACAGCAGTCAGCCAACAAGCCATTCACGATAAGACATTTTGAAGGTTTCTTGCTACATATAAAATCATAATAATGGTAAAGGTCTTATACTAAACTTGCCTTGCCTACTATGCAAGCTGTAGCTTCTGTGTTTGAATACTTTAGTTTTATCTTATCTGTTGGTAAACTGAGGAATGAAGCTGAAACAATAGATGTAACTTGAACTAAAAGGCAAACCCAGTGCTGAAAAGAGCAAAAAGATTCTAGTGAAAGTGTGTGGAGTTCAAAACACAGTGGAACATTTCCTGTACTTCCACCACTTAATTACTTCAGAAGGTGGAACCAAGTGTTTTCAGTTTTTGAAAAGAACACAGCCTAAATATACAGGATTTCTGTGTTCTCCGTGTATTTGTGATGAGGAAAAAACATGACTAGTATATAATATAACACAACATATACGTAACATATACTACAAAATAGTACAATAAGCCCTTATATTATATAATATAAATATTGAATATTGAACACTTAATGCCAGTGACACTTAAAAAAGGATATTCTCAATAGACCCTTTTGTACATGAACTATTTTGTAAACAAGCTGTAATAATAAGCTAATAGCACAATGAAACACAAGTGCGTAGTCAAAATCTATAAAGGCCTAACCATCAGTCTAATTTTCTCTTTTTACTGTTTACAGAAATAGAAAGTGAAGCTCGTCAAGAGGATCTGCAGAGACTCAAACAGTTTGATCTGGACTGGAGATTTGGGCCCTGCACAGGTGACTATATAACATATAACTTTATTTAGGTAATAGAAATGACAATATCCCTTGAAAAAGAAAGTCTTTTCAGTTGAACCTATACTAAACTAAACCTAAATGTAAAATGCTTTTTATCATAAACACTTTCATTACTTTATCATACAGAAGTTTAAATTTCAGTCACTGCTTTTTTGTGTCATTGTGTCATCAGCCTTGTTCTCTGAATAGGTTTTCGATGTCATTCATGCTTGCTTCAGTCATCCATGCTCCCACACGACAATTCTCCATAAATGCGCATGATACACAACAACTATTGTGAAGTACAGTAGTTTTATTAGCAGGATGCATGCTGGTGATTGTGTTGTGGTAGTGCTCTGAAGGGGGAGTGAGAGTGCACAGAGAGCATGGAGAGTAGGGAGGGGAGTTTTGGGCAAATATAGCATTTTCCAAACTATAGAAAATAATATGGTGATCTAAGTTCACCACAGAATTAGAACCCCCTCTTTAATCATGAACATATGTTAAATCATGTTGCTTCTTCTCATAATAATCGTAACTCTGAAATGTTATATTGTGAATCAAATAGCCACACAAGATTTTTGTATTGTATTTGTTTTGTATTTTTGAGCTGCTATTCTAGTAATTTCCCTGAATCTAGTTTTTCTAACTCTTAATGCAGGCAGTTTTTTTTCCTGCACACATTTGTAACCTGTCTCTAACTGCTCAGGAATCAGTCGCCTGCAGAGGTGGGAGAGGGCCCAGCTCCACGGCTTGAATCCTCCACAAGAGATCAAGGAGCTTCTGCTGCAAAGCGCACAAGACCTTGAGCTCACAGACAGGTAACACAAAAGATACAATTATTTATTGTTAGTCATTATTACCTCCGCCAAGGAGGTTATGTTTTTGCCGGCGTTTGTCTGTTTGTTTGTTTGTCTGTTAGCAGCATAACTCAAAAAGTTATGGACCGATTTTGATGAAATTTTCAGGATTTGTTGGAAATGTGAAAAGGAAGAACTGATTTCATTTTGGGGGTGATCTGGAAGAAATCCTGGATTCTGGATCACTTTGAAATTTTAGTTAACATTGTGGTAAATGGGGCCAAAAATGTTGTTTCTCAATATCTCGGTTAATTATTGACCAAACCCCATGAAATTTGACTCAGGGATGGACAATGGGATCCTCTTTCATATTCCAAAGGCTGATCCGGATCTGATCCAGAAGACTGATTTTATCGCAATTTATATAAAAAATGGGGGTAGTCCTTGGCGGAGGTCTGCGCTCTCTGAGTGCTTTTCTAGTTTATTATTGCTACAGAAATGGCTCTGTTCACATGCACACCAAAAAAATGGTTTTGACTGACAAAATGTAAAAAAGGAAAACTGATGTGGCAAGGGCAAAACTGAAAGAGAGAAATCTTTAAAAATAGGAATTATTTTAAAATTTTAAAATTAATTTTGCTTTATTCTCCAAATACAACAGTTACTCTAAAAATCCATTGAATAACTGACATGTCACCATTTGTTTTTATGATCGAATTTCTCTTGCACTGTAAACACACATGAAAAATCATATCTAATTGGGTTATCTGATTATTCTAGTTTTCTAGTTTTGAATGGCCATGCAAATGTAATTAAGAGATATTAACCAATCAGAAACCAGGTAAAAATTTCTCAATTTTGACAGTTAGAAGGAAGGTTCTACCATAGGAAACCTATTGCCTATTCTCCACAGCTTCTGCTCAATTTTAAACTATGGACTTTCATGGCATCATTAACACTATTATGTACACAGTTTAATAAAAACAAATTTACATTGTCTTTTTTTTCCAGTTTGTGGCGTGAATATCCGTTTTAAAGAAGACACTACAAAGTTTTCCATCTTCAAATAAGGGAATGTAAGACATGTACTACATTGCTTATAATGCAATGCAACTACATCATGCACATCTATCCGAGTATAACTTGAGTATTACTTGAGTATAACTTGAAATAATGGGGTTTGTTGACCATTTTTATATTGACATTTAACCCTCTAGGTTTTAGACAAGTTTTTTATTATGCTACTTTTATAACTGTTCTTTGTATTTTAAAGACATTCATTACTACATGTCTTACTCTTTTAATATGTTATTATCTACCATTATAACTTTATTTTACATGAATGACTCTTTATTTGGGTGGTATACTTTAGTGTGTGTCCAGAAAATTATGTAATGTTTTGCTTTTTATTGCTATAGTATTCTTATATAAAACATGTTGTATCCTTGTTTTGGTAACTTAAAAATAAAATAATATATAAAAAGTGGTTTTGCCAAATTCTACAAATCCTTGTAATGTGAAAAGACCGGCCTACATGTGTTACATTAGTTCCTACAATATACAGAAGTATATTGTATTTCATATTTATTACAGTTTTTAGGAAGTAATTTACTGAGATTAATTTGCATTTTAATGAAGATTTATGCATTTTGACCAAAAATAAACTAATCTGCCATTGATGTCATATTAATTATGTCTTACTGGCTATACGCAGATCATGATGCTTACCGACAGAGGGGATGCATGATCAAAGCTGCTTCAACTACATGTAATCTGAATGTTAACAATAATTTAATATTTTTCTTATTCAGCCCTATTTTGGGCTTCCTTTAAATTACCAATGTGACAAACTATTGTAACTCTAAAATTTCACATCACAATGGACATGAGATTACCTCCAAAGCAATTTTGTTTAGCCAATAATATATCAATAAAAATGAATTAAACTGTCTTTATTAAGTTGGCCAGACGGCCATTTTATTTTGTACGTTATTGGCCCTGTTCATCACCATTACTTCACAGACACGCTTGTCCCAACGTTGTCTAAGCTTGGGTGGGCGGGGCTAAAAGATCTACAAAACATGATTGGCCTTCTGCTCACATCAATCATAAATCCCGTTCTCTGATTGGTTTGTTTTCACCTACGTCTGTCAAGAACCGTTAATCATGTTCATTTCAGCGCAGTGCTGTCAAGGTAGAAATATTTAGTGACGCGAAATGATAAATAACTTACTTAAATAACTACGCTTTAGCTTTTTAATGCTAATATATGCGATTTCAGAGTAGCTACATAGTACTTAATTTTATATTGGAGTAATTTGATGTATAAATAATGAGCTAGAAGAGAAGAAAAGCTTTTAAAAGATAGGAACCGGATGTCATTGGTGCAATTTCGGAGCTTGGTGACATTGGGTGATGTAGTCCAGCGTAGCCTCCTAATAAAAACCGGGATAACGTTAGCATTTTCACGGGATAAACTAACCAGAAATTATCCATAGCTTTCGACAACATTTGCCTTAATAAACGCCTTATTTTTCATTATTGACACGGGTCTAATTTCGCGTTTAAATGCAGATTTACGTGGCTAACGCTGCTACTGTATAATGACTCGCGGGTATCGTTCTAACTAAATAGTATTCCCACGCATTCTACGTCTTTTCCTATGTCATCTCGCCTCGCTCAACAATTTATCCCACATGGTGCTTTAATATAAGCTGTGTTTTGAACCTAGAAGGCAGAGAGAAGAACACACGGACATTTAAAAGGACGAATCTGGTAAGCAACCTGTTCTTCCAGCAAGGGATTATTATAAGTGTCTCCTCCAGCAGCATCAGTGGCTAGTGCTAGCTTTAGCCTCCTGTTTTAGGCTACATTTTTTCAATTTATTTATGAATTAATGTGTAATATTGCATCATGCCTCCAGCAAGTTTGTAGTAACATATTTATGTAGCTTAGCATAAAATCAAAGGTCATTGGGCTTGGTTTGTTTAGTCAAGATAAGATGTTGTGCTATTTATTATGACATGTCCTATCTATATGTCAATGGAAGTCCTTTTTTTCTCATTACCGCTTATAGCCAGTCAAATAACAGGCAACATGCATGTTATAATATACTAGTATACACCTTTCTTAAATTATAATACATTGTATTAATTCAAGTCAAAATTTCTACAATTAGTATGACCAAAATCATCTTAAAAAGCCAATACCTCTGGCTACTAATCATCTTTACTGGCTTATAGGTGTATACTTTATACTGAACTATATCGGGCTGTATATAATATTGGTCTTACAACTCTTTAAATAATTAATACAAGTTTTTATAGACATCTGGGCATGGTTTTTAATGACTGATGAGAGTTTTAAGACAATGGCATAAACTGTAAATTTGACCACATTCAGATTTTTCTTCACTAAATTTGAGTTTTAAACAACACACTACATTTTCACAGCCCTCAAAATTGCTTTACAGTTACAATTTCATGCAGTATTAGTTCCCCATATTTGGTAGTGGTGGGATTCCACTGTAGCCACATCTGCCCAGCCAGGGCTAGACAGAGGAGAGCATGACTGTCATAATCTGTGCATCTGCCCCGCCAGTTACTTACATTTGTACAAGATGGGTGAAGTGTCTTGCTCAAGGACACAATGATGGTATTCACTGTCTGGTATTGCCTCTATGTGCTAGTTATAACTGTTCTAGATATTAGGCAACTTAAAATGGATGGACACTATTTTTTTTGACAAAATTAGTGATACTATTGTTTTTGCTTGTTCTTTTGCTCTTTGATGAAAACATCAAAATGTTTACTCATTTTGTTTAGAGCTTTCTCCAATAACTGACCATAGAATCTGTATTCACAATTCTGACCTTTTGTATTGAGTCGACTGCTCCCCTGTGGACTGTAGTTTATTTAGTTTATACTCCTGAGGGCGTCTGTTACCTGGCGGTCCTCAGTGCATTCCAGTCCCCTGCCAACTGTGCTGCTGCTGAAATACTCTGCAATATTTATGGGGCAAGTCTCAGAGATGCAACCACCCACATTTCAGTAAATACAGAGAATTTTGTATTTCTCCTGCATACATAAGGCTGTAGTTGACTAAAGAAATTCCCGGTCGATTGTCCTACCGATCGATTAGTTGTCAGTTTGGTAAAAGCTCTCAAAATGATTACCTATTGCTATGTATCTGACCCAAACTGCACTCAAAAGACTACAACTGCATGCACAACTATTTATGAAGAACAAGGTACTAGGAAACAATGTATTGATATAAAAACAGATTAAACTTGTGAATCATGAGTCCATCCATAGGTTAAATAAATAGATATAGCTAACCTGCTAGCTTCCATGTTCCAAATAGGTAGGGAGCATGGGCACGCTTCCGGCTCCATCAACTCCAGCTCCATCAGGTCCTATATTACACAAAATTATGATAATGATTTTGAAGCTATGTTATAATTAGGGCTGGGTATCATTAAGAAGTTGCTGATACGATACATACCTCAATACATAGGCCACGATATGATACATATCTCGATACAGTGCACTTTCGATTCAGTACAATATATTTCAAATCGATTTGATACGGTTCAGTATAAATAAAGGCTAAATCATGACTGTGATACTAAAAGTCTTTGTTAAACCACTTCTTGTGCAAAGTGAATATGAAACACATCAATTTTAATCATCAAAACAGTGAATATGTCAAATGTTTCACATAAACAAGTTTCCTTCCTCTGAACAAGTAACAAAACTGTAGTGCTATAGCAAAATAATTTAGTAAAATATACCAGAAAATACTCTTGGCGATATATCGATACAGCAGCCCATGATATCAATACTCTATCATCACATTAAACGATACAATATATCAATATTTCAATATTTTTGCACACCCCTCGTTATAATGTTGTTACCTTATCAACAACATAAGTGCCCAGTCTATGGATGTAACCTCAGGAATCAGTGTATTGACTGCAAAGTGGTTATGAATAATTAATATGCCTTTGAAACAGATAACCTAAAAGACACCAGAGCTTTCAGATCTTAGTAAAAACATGTGATTGACCTGTTTTTCTCCTGGATATTCCCACAGTGATGGATAATGCACACACAAAAACAGTGGAGGAGGCTCTGGGACACTTCGGAGTGAACGAGTCGACAGGCCTTAGCTGTGAACAGCTTAAGAAGAACAGGGAGCGATGGGGACCTAATGGTGAGATATATAAGCACTAGAGGGAGGATCACCACATATTAGTTCTGATGTAAAATAAGATCATTCTAAAATTATTCATGTGATCCTCCTGTTAGAATACTTTTGTAAACTTTCGACTATATGCATAGACTCTAAAACATGTTACATGCTTAGAAAAGATGTTGTATGACTCTGATACACTAAATTGTGTCAGCTTTGTAGTTTTTCGTGTCAGTATATAGTTTTTATGACAAGAAAAGTAAATACAAAAAGTCAGAAATGTGTAATAATATTTAATAACAAAATACTTTCTCTTTGTTTTCCTCACAGAATTGCCAGCGGAGGAAGGTGAGCAGTAGCGTGACCTGTATTTTTTGGTTTTGTATTTTAATAGATTTTATCATTTAATATTGTTTTTGAAACTAAGTGTGTTTTAAAAATGTTCACATCAGGGAAGTCACTATGGGAACTTGTGTTGGAGCAGTTTGAGGATCTGTTAGTCCGAATCCTGCTGCTGGCTGCCTGTATTTCATTTGTAAGTAAGATAAACATTCTAAATAAGAGTCAATAAATGTGATTATTCAGGTTACAATATAATCTTAAGAACTAAAAAATAATAATTGTAAAATTTTTTAGAAGCCAAAGCATAATATTTTTTACTCAATCAAGTGTTTTTATGTCATATTAATTTTACTTTATCTCTCAGAATATGACTTTTTCTAAAACTGTTCATACTACTAGAGGAATGCTTATCTAATTAGATAGTGGTAATGAAAGGATGTCACTGTTGTTTGACCATGGTGTATGTAATAATCATAACTAATTTAAAGTGCTTATATTATTTTCTGATCTGTGTTATAATATTGTTTCCTCATCACAAACATACCTGGAGTTGTGTTTTGTTTCATTCATACTTTTAATACATAAACTCATCATATTTGGGCTGAGTTCCTCTCTCAAATAGGAAACACTCTGTTCATGAATCTTTTTGTCTTGCTACAGACTTTGGCCTGGTTTGAAGAGGGAGAGGGTACCATCACAGCATTTGTGGAGCCGTTTGTGATCCTCTTGATCCTTATCGCTAATGCTATCGTAGGAGTGTGGCAGGTGAGTGATTAGTTTGACCTGTGCAAAGTTTCTCCTGTAATACTTTTAAACTGTGTCTGTAAATCAGCTTACTAAAGTCCATTTGTGATATTAAAGTGCACCTAAACACGAAAACTCTGTCCTCAACTAGATCTCAAATAGTGGCGCTAAACTGTGCAGTGCCTGTGGACCGTAGACTTTATATACAAATGGACATAGCTAATCTGCTGGCCACCACATTCCAAATAGGAAGAGAGTATGGGGGCGCTACCGACTCCATTGAGGCTGGCTCCAACTGACTTTCACATGACCCTGGTGTTTCTATTTCGCTATTTTGTTCAAATAAATTCCTATTCCCAATATGTAACTCAGCTCAAAATTCACTCCTATGACTGCTGGTTTTGCGAGCTTCAGGTAAAAAAGTTGATTCAGTTCAGTTCCACTTCAAGAGCGTGATCGTTTTATTTATTTCAATTCAGGGAAATACATTTTACTCCATATAATATATTGTAAAAACATCTGTCTGTGAAAAAAGGGCATTAAGGTACGTTCACAACTGTCACTCTTGGGTACTGGTTTGAGTCTAGTTTAGTCCAAATGTAGACCTGGTTTGGTCCTGTTCTAGTTTTGTCTTAGTCCTTCTCTGACCCATATTAAGTTCTGGGTTTACTTCCAATTTTGTGTTTTAAGTGTGGATGCAGCCTAAGTGATATTACCCATACATTTAAAGAGCTCATATTACACTATTTTGTGATCTGTGCTATAATGTTTTTTCCCTCATCACAAACATACATGGAGTTGGGTTTTCTTTACATTCACACATGTTTAACAAAAAAACCCTGCATATTTATTTAGGCTGCATTCTTCTCTCAAACTGAAAACACTCAACCCTGTGATGTCACATGGCAATACAGGAAGTGCTCCACTTTAAACTCCATGCACCTTAACTAGAATCATTTGGGTCATTTCAGACCTGGAATAACACATCTCCCCAGAACAAAGGGTAAAAAGAGCTGTTAATCTAAAAAATATTGCTTCATGACATCACAAGAGAACATTTTAAGCTTTGGAGATGTAGACAAACTAATAAACCAGCATTACTGAAACATATGTGAATGAAACAAAACACAACTAAAGTTATGTTTTTGATGTTGTAAGTACATTCTAACATGGCTTAAAGCTAACAAGAGTCCATTTTGTGTAATATAGGACCTTTAAAAGGTCCTATATTGTTAGGATTTTGTTAGTTGAGAGCAGTTTTTTCTTTATTATGGTTCAATATCAAAGCGAGACAAAGTGACTAAGTGGAATACAGGGCCTTTAATCTAAAATCACATGCTTCAAGTCTATTGCTCACATGGGAATGGAAATAGAACAAGGCAACAAAATGATTAGTCCCACCACAATTATTATAAGAAATTCTATTTACTTTGACAACATCCGTATCATATTATTACACTTTATTCCTTCAATATTATTCCCAAAATTCTCATTAAAATTGTTTTTATCAGGAAATCCCATAACAGAAATACATTATCAACAGGAAGCAAGTACTTCCAATTCTAACCCTAGCAAATGCAGCTTTGCTGAATACAAATTGAATGGAAATGTTTATTGCCATACTGTGAAACTTTCATAGCAAAGCAAATACATCTCCATGGACAAAAATTACACAAAAATACAAAGATGCGAGTTGTTTTCATTCTGTCATAGATCAATTGCAATATTTTGAATCTGACAACACATTAATATTAATAATTATCTTTACAAACTTGTTTGGAATTTCCAAGTCATAAGTAATAGCCATGCTCTTTGCAGTATTGTTTTATATAACATTGTCTATCTGGTATTTTCTCTTGTTCATAGGAGCGTAATGCAGAGAATGCCATTGAGGCGCTGAAGGAGTATGAGCCTGAGATGGGAAAAGTGTATCGTCAGGACAAAAAGAGCGTCCAGAGAATCAGAGCCAGAGACATTGTACCCGGGGACATCGTGGAGGTGGCCGGTAAGCACAACAACTATGTCCTGGTTTAGTCCAGGTTTAAACCTGATGTAGTCCCGTCCTACTTAGTCCTAATTAAGTCCTGGTGGAATTTTGGTGAAGTCATAGATTGGTTCTGGTATGGAACTAGTTTAGACCTGCTTTAAACCTGCTTTAGAGTTTAGACTTGGGCTGTCTCTGAATGTCCACCTGAGTCCCCAACCACTCATTCACTACATAGGCCCGCACTCATTAGCGCACTATATAGTGCACTCATTCACAGAACAAACATGCAGCTCACTACTTTTCCCGTCACGTGAATCTTGATATCTGGATGAAAAAAAGTCAGCAAAACTCATAAAACTTTGGTCATAAATAATGATCAAATCAGAGTGTTTATGGACTAATTATAATCAAGTTTAAATACAAGTTTTTGTCACGCTGGATCTCACTCAAATGGGCTGGATTATGTAATTTTTGTCTGAGATGTGAACATTATCAATCCTTTAATGACTGGAGCTAAGTGGGTACCGCTAACGCCTTTGGATCATAATGGTTTATTAATGGAGTGTTTTATACATAATCAGGATCAACAGTTCCACAAACCAGCACTTTTATCTACTTTCATTCAGTTGTACTGTGTAACACCTGTTGCTGTATGCTGTTGTTTTCCCGATCTCTTGCAATGCATTTTGGTCTATATTGACCGGTTTAGTGACCATTGATGTCCACTACTTTTCAAAACATTGTGGGAAATTTTGAGCGCATTACCTTTTAAATTTAAGTCTAACTCCTTCGTAGCTCTCACAAACTGTTTGGAATATTGTTAATATTTACATGTATTAATATTCAGTTTATTCAATATTTTTGAACAGCTTTTTTCAGACCCCAAAATGAAACTGTGTTGGACCTCCCAAGTGCAGCCAGTCAGAGTACTGCTTTTGGTGCTTACCTCCAGGTTGCCGAGAATGAAAAACACTATTATTATTATTAGCTGCAGACAGAATGCAGCAGTCTCATTTTGTCATAAAATGCTTATTATACAATATATGCTTTGGAGGAAAATATATAAAATGATACATTTACTGATCTATCTATTCATCTCACAAATGTGAGATGAATAGATAGATCAGACCAAAATCTTTGATACAGACTACCCATATGTGATGTTGGCTTTGTTTGGTCCTCTTCTAGTTCAGGTTTTTACTTAAACCAGGACCAGACTAGGATGAATGTGTGAACTCTGAACCATGTAGGTGGACAAGCAACCATGTCATCATATAGTATTATTTATTTACACATGCCATGCCTGACAACATCGTAATTATTGGATTTGTGAAGAGGGAAAGTTCTTTCTGTCATTTCCTTATATGAGCATTGGAATGATTGGAATCACAGCTCAGATATCTGTCTGAAGTAACAACAGGCTGCTTTAGAGAGGAGCTCTTGATGTGAGTAACCTGATGGAAAAATCTGGACTAGTCTTATTTAAACTTTCTCTGTTCTAGTTTATTCTTTGTTCAGGTCAGACAGTTTATTATATTTTTTCAATCACGTGCATGCATATAGCCATGTAATCTGGAATAAAATGCATTTCAAATCAAGCCTCTCCATGTTGGGGTGTCTTGAGGTGTGTTGAGGCACTTCATTTTTTTCTGCACCAACCACAATGCTGCCCTGTGATTGGTCCTTGAACCAGTAAAACTGGGCAATAATATTATTAATAATTATATCAACTTCATGTCCTGTTGGAACTTTTTTGTCCTGCCATAGTTGTTAGTCAATAGTCGCAATATGGTATCAATTAAAAATGTCTTCTCATATTTTCAGCTGTTCAGTTTTCCATTCCCCTTTTGACTTCTGTGTTGAATTAAATCATGTGTAAATATCTTGACTTTGTAGAGCTCCTCTGTCCCACTGCCCTCTTTCGTCTTCCTGAAATAGCAGCAGAAACTTCATCAGGGGAATTCAACTGTTTTTCTTTTTTTTTGAACCGCAATTGAGCTGTGTGTGTGATCCAGTGCCCTCTTTTAATGTAGACACAGAGTTTCCGGACCATGGGAACTCAGAGGAGGCACGCTTTTAGTTATTTTAAGTTATTTTTACCACAGCTTTGGCACATGTTTGTTTATATTGCAATTTAGTTGTGAATTGTGTTGTTTTAGGCAGTCAGATAGGAAATTCCTTATCTAAATTTGTTTGATGCTGATTACAAGGTTATCAAGTTAGAAAGTTTTAATGTTTGGGTTCGTACAATGGACAGTAGCTCAGAAATTTACCCACTTACCCAAATGTTTGCGGTTCACTTCCAGTAACCAACAAAAGAAAAGTGTAATTTGTCGTTGTTATGCAGCGCTATAAGATTTGTAGGCAATCTGCAAATCTTGAAGGCTTCAATTTTTCAAGTACCATGATTTACTCTAAAAACAAATTAAATCTTGTTCCTAGTCAGTTAAAAATTTCAGCCTTTTTGTCAATTTTTCTGATGTGTTTAAAACGTGAACTTTGAACACAATCCTATTAAAATAGAAATTGCAAATCTGTGTTATAATAGCTTTCCCTCATCATTAGCCTCATCATTAGCCTAGTCAGTTGTATTTCGATGGTAAGCCTGCTTGCTTGATCAGAAAATTTCCATTTGCACCTACCTCCTAACCCTGCTCAAGGTCCCGTACTTACTTACTTCACTTACTTGTGATTCTTGTCTTAGATTGGTCCTGGTTTGAGCCCAGTTTAGTCCTTATGTACATTTCCTCAAGTCCTGTTCTAGTCCTGGTTTAGTCCTGGTCTTGCCATTCCAAGTTTTCTGTGTGATAATGTGTGGGGACATTGTTGTGTATCTATCTATTTCTGTAAATTGTACTACATTTATGTTCATAATTGTGAACATAAATTATCGGAAGACCAAATGAACCTCAGTGGACTAATTCTGTAAGCTGTTAACATCAACCTCTTCTGGGACTGTAGATGGAAATTGGCTTCTTCTGGTACAATGCATCTTTCTTTCTTGTCAATGTCTGTTGTCCCTGTGTTAAACATCATGCGTAACAATAATCTATACTACTATTACTAATAATCTGTGATAATACTAGTACATACCAGGAATAAAGCAACATCCTTGAAATAGTATTTTAGACTGATAGTTTATGATGTAGTTTAATAACATTTGAAATTAGCCTTGAAAGACTTCATCAGACCACTCTGGAGACCCGTGTGTGTGTGTGTTGTTATGCCAGAGCACCTTGTGTATTCAAACTAATGTAAACTGTTTATAAGTTTCTGTGCTTTTGCAAATGGAAGAATGCGACCCTGTTTTCCCATAAGTAAAACTGCAGACTTCCTCTCAAGCCTTTCACAATAACTTCAGGACTTTTATTCAGTTCGATTTATTTCTGTATAGATGTGTAATAAATGTATCACACTTACAGGTGGGTAGAATATTTTATAATGGATAATACTGTGACTGTTGCTTTGAAGATATGCACAGTTTCAAAATTGATTATATATCGCTTATAAAAATCCCACAAAAAAATTTAAATAAATTATTTCCAACTTCCTAATAAGAGTATAAACTGATATTTCTGTACTTTTGTCTGTCTGATACTTAAACATCAACCACCGCCCTTATTGTATTCTAACATATCACCACTAGATGCTATCTATATATTTATTGCTGCTGTCTGTTAGTGTGCCAGCTTTGGCCTGACAGAAGAAGACCAGAGAGCACAGGTGAGCCTGAACAAACGCAGGTGAGGAGAGAGAGGAGCAGGTTTCACTTCTGCTATCTACCGGCAGAAAAAAATTGTAATACAATTTCAGATGTGATCTTAAAACTTTTTTTTCAAATGAATAAAATTTCTGTTTTCCCCATAAGAGTACCATATATTGTAAAAGCAGCACTTGATGAAAAACTGAGACATTGCAGTTTCATTGTCTAATTTGTATTAAGTAATAAGTCCTAACTCAGTTTCTTTTCTGTGTTGTAAAAAAAAGTTTGTGAGAGCTAGTGTGAACATCAGGTATCCAGCTTTAAAGTTATGTTTTAGCACATTACTATTGGATAGAAATAATATTCTCTGAATATCAATATCACACAAAATATCAATGTCTAATACAACTAACGATTATCTTAGGTGTCAGCGATTTATTTTTATTGTACATTGAGACTTTATAAATACTATATTATCTGAATAAAGGATGAAAATAGTTCCTGACAGCTTCTAGTTAGAGAATATTTACAAATAAAATGTATTAGTAATGAAAATCAGAAATTGGTTGTTCCTTTTTGACATTTCAGTTTAGTAATGCAGCTGTCTTTGTTATAAAAAAGTCTTTTCGTATGTTTATTTTATGATTATTTTTTGTAGTCGACCAGTCAAGAGTATTACTCTCTGTTTTCTATATACTCTGTTAAAACTATTGTGGCACAAATTATTTTTATCTGTATAATTTCATCTCAATTTGAGGAGCATAAATGTCACTTAATTTGAATTTTTAAGTAATTTTTGACCAGTGTAGTAAGTTTATGATAATACAATGAGCAACAAATGTCTAATTTTGCTATGCCAATAGAGTCCAGATTATTTTAGATTATGGGGACAATTTTAGACTATGGGAGGCCACCATAGTCTTCTGTAGTAATGGGAAACAAACACTGTCTTACTATTTTTATGCTTTTAATGCCTATTCATACTAACTTTTCTTGATGTCTTGTGTTTGTCTTGTCTTGATTGCTGTTTCCTTTTTTCTTCAGTTGGAGACAAGGTTCCAGCCGACATCAGGCTGACGTCCATCCGCTCCACGACTTTGCGCGTGGACCAGTCGATTCTGACCGGAGAATCTGTGTCTGTGCTCAAACACACTGACCCTGTGCCTGACCCCAGAGCCGTCAACCAGGACAAGAAGAACATGCTCTTCTCTGTAAGAATGACACTTACTAACCATGACTCGCACGATCCATGATATGGATAGGTACTCCTGACCAAACATGAATTTGGCTTAAAGGTCTTATATTACTCAAAAATTTACTCTTGTGAGTTTTTAGTGATGTTAAAATGTTATTACTTCATCAAATACATACTTGGAGTTGTTTTGTTTTAATCACACATGCTTGAGTAAACCTTTTATTATTAGTCTATCTACATCTCCAATGCTGCAGCCAAGACAGCAGCACATATGAGACGTGTGTCTGCTTTGCTTCGCTGTCATTGCCCCAAGCTGTCAGTGAATGTGCACTGATCCCTGTCACTGGCCGCTCCACAGCTCCATGCAGTTTTCTACAGTTCTGATGGTAGCCTACCTATTGATGACTAACATTATAAATGTTATAAATAAACCAAAGAGGCACAATGGGAATAATTTGGTCATGAAATTAAATGGAGTTGTAACAGAAAGGACACGAGAATGTCAGAAAATCGACATCACAGTATTAGGACTGCAGACAGGGTAGGGAAACACTCTTGAGGACACCGCTGTAAACTGCCTTCATGTGAATAAGCATCTTTTGTACAGATCCAGATCAAACCAAACTATAGAGCAGAACTGAGCCAACACAGGGAGCAGGCGAGGGGCTGTGCTCTGCTGCGGGAGGACATCCAGATGGCGCACAAACATCCCGTACGCACACGAACAATTTATGAATGTTAAGCATTCATCATCCTAATATATTTACAATAAAATAAGTCTTGAGCATGTTACTCGTTGTTTTTCACCGGACTAGTTTAATATTTATTTTTACGATTCTGGCTGTTCACTGAAAACCCCACACCACGCCCTCAGTCTGCTCCACTTCACCTGATATTCACTCCCCACACTTGCGCTAGTGCTAAGATTGGTAGCAAGATTGGGCCCTCAGTGTTTTCTGTTTGAGAGTGAACCCAACCTACATATGCAGGATTTATCTGTTCATTATTTTATTCACACATGTTTAGGAAACAACGTTATAACATGGATCAGAAAACAGAATAAGATTAGTCCATACGCTGGTAGACCTGTTGATAACCAATGAATAACATTTTAATTATGATTCAGTCGTTTCAAATTTTTGTCAATTGTCAATGATCAGCTTGGGTCTTTTTAAAGGAGAGCCAATCCTCTGTCAGTAAAAGCTTGTAGTTTGGAGAAGATGGAAAACTTTGGAGGAAGAAATGTGGAACTGAGACTATTTTTGTGTTAAATGGCAATGATTAAAATGCTCTATCGTTTATGTTCAATCAAATCAAAGATAAATTTAAAAAGATTTTGATGTATTTAAGTGCACTGCCCATTAATGAACATACAATGTAACTATCCCAGAATTAGTCCATTAGCCACTTTTGTTTTAAGTTGATCTGACAGAAACTGTGAAAATTAAAAAGTAAAATAAAAATAAAAAATACTTGAGGTTGAGATTATTACTGTCAAACATTTACAGCTGATTTTGACATTTTGACATTTTACACACAAACATACACAATGCTCTAAAAAGATGTGAGTCTAGTCACCAATGAATCGCTCACAGGTCAAATGAGCATGATTCACAGGTGGATTAGTGCATGGTTAAAACAAATATGGCTACTTACCAGGAAAAAATACAATGGAAAAACTAATTCCTTACTTGTATAGAATGAATTTTGTTGGCACTACTCAATGCTGCTCCTCTATATGTTTTGTGTAAATGAACTTTATAATTTGACAACAGGGAAGCAACCGTTTTTTACACTAAGGCTGCAACTAATGATTCTAGTAGTAGACTAGTCAAACTATTATTTCTATTGTATATTGAGACTGCTTTCCGTATTTTTGTACGTAACCTTTTGTCCAACAAACTGCCACTTAACTGATATAAATCTATGATAAATATACTATCCCACCTAATACAGTAATAGTTAGAAAGACATGAAAAAATGTCATGCACACTTTAACCTGGGCATTTATTTAACCTGGGCTTGATCTTTTGTAGTGGTCTAAAAGACTGTATTGATTTAATGATGATGCATAACTGAAAGCAGCAGTTGTATTCTGTTCAAAAGGAGCTGACTCAGTCCTCAGCTCAAAGGACAAACACTCATGATTTATTTAAGACAACATTTCAGCAGCAACAGTTCTGTCTGTGTGCTGGGAATTACAGTGCATCTGATAATACAGACTTATTGAAGATGAGAAAATGGTCATAAAGCAATATAGACAAAAATTAATCTCTCAGTATTTTAGACAGTATTTGACCACTGCTTTAGGAATGTGCTCACATGTGCATGTAAGTGTTTTAACAAGTAAACTGATTTACTTTGGAATCTGTGAAATTATATCTGAGATTATGCAGGATTTTCCTATATTAAAAACAGCATGGACAGGTTTTGCAAAATTGAAGGCCTTAAATAATATAAGAGGAATTACATTAAATTAAAACTAAAGCAAAGTGATATTAATAATAATTAAAACTAATATCGAATATGTCAACTTTGTCTCTAACTTTTGGTCTTTTTCTGACAGGGCACTAACATAGCAGCGGGACGGGCCATCGGGGTGGTGGTGGCGACAGGAGTTCAAACGGAGATTGGGAAAATCCGAGATGAAATGGCCTCGACGGACCCTGAACGCACCCCACTGCAGCAGAAACTAGACCAATTTGGGGAACAACTGTCCAAGGTAAGGACACATCAAATCTTTTAATCTTTGTAATGAATCAAATATGCGCCTAAAGATATGTAGGTTAAATGTACTGATTGAGGGAATGCGTCCCTCAAAAAGAAAGTTTAGTGCACATTTTTCAAGTAAAAATAGCTACTCTGTTGTGGGTCTTAAAACATTGTCCCTGATTTGCTTGTTTTGTATGGTGTAGGTGATCAGTGTTATTTGTGTGGCTGTGTGGGCCATAAACGTGGGTCACTTTAACGACCCTGTGCACGGAGGCAGCTGGCTCCGAGGGGCTGTGTACTACTTCAAGATCGCTGTGGCTCTGGCTGTGGCTGCCATACCTGAAGGTACACGTGTTTACTATAAGGCAGGACAATAAGACACCTCTATCATGTTTACTGATTGGAACAATTTTAGCAAAAAGTGTTTTTGTCTTTGTTCCTGTTTTGTCACATTTTATATGCATATTTTGTTAATCATATTCTGTCATTCTTAGCCAGTTGTATTTCAGGTGATGCATGCATGTGTGAGTAATCCTGTATTGTCCTGCATTTATGGCTGAATGGTCAGAAAATTTTAGCTTTCACCTACCCTCTCCCGACTCTCTGAACTTGCTTGCCATTATTCAAAAATTTCACATTGCAGGTCATTCTTGCATGGTTAAAAAATAGCATGTAGCCATTATTCAACAATAAAAATGTATAAATAAAAATCTGTCAATAGTAATTCTGCAGTTTTGAACAAAAAGTGATGGACATCTTAGTATTATCCAACCATTTTAGATCATTGTTTACTTTACAATTAACAAATTATAACTAATGACCTACGTATGTTAAGAGTTTAAAACTGAATTATCTGAAATAAAATTCCTACTTTCGTGTGCAGTCTTACGTTGTGTCCAGTAAATCTCACCATCTCATTGCTTCTCTCCTCAGGCCTTCCTGCAGTGATCACCACCTGCTTGGCCCTTGGCACAAGGAGAATGGCCCGAAAAAATGCCATAGTGCGCAGCCTCCCCTCAGTGGAGACTCTGGGCTGCACCTCCGTCATTTGCTCTGACAAAACTGGGACCCTCACAACAAACCAGATGTCTGTCTGCAGGGTAAGCATACAAAGAGCACGAGAGATGTCTTTTCACTGGAAAAAGCTGCGTTGTATTATTTACAGAATTTCCTCTGCACAGAACAAAATATCATGTATTTTAATTAACAAAATATATTAAATAATGTATTTCAGTCTTGCTTCAAATGTTAATACTCCTGAAGTTATTTACAATGTGGATTCAAACACAAACTCTTACTTTTTAAACATTTATCAAAAATCATATCGCATTTGCAATTATTATTATTTAGAGTAGTATTAGTATTATTTATATGCTTTTAATGCCTCTTCATAACAACTTTTCTTGATTGTCTTATATGTTTCCTTGTTTCCTCAGTTCCAGGTGATTAATTTTAGTTTGACATGAGTAAAAGGATTTACGAAGGGCTGCTTGATTTAGAGAAAAATAAATATGAATCCAAAATCGAAATTTTGTTCACTGTGCACATTGTAAACACACAAATTTTAATTAAATTTTCTTAGCTGTGTTTTCACTAATCTAATATATAACCGAACTAGCATGTAACTAACTCTGAGCACTAACCATAACTAATGCGTTTGTAGATGTTTGTTGTGGAGAAGACTGTCTCTGGAGATCAGTGCACCTTGAGTGAGTTCACTGTGACTGGATCCACATATGCTCCAGAAGGAGAAGTGTGAGTCTCTTAACACTTTAATACTAGCATTGACATGACTGTATTTGCTAACAAATGTGTGGTTTCCTAAAGCAGAAGTAGTAGAAGTATGTACTACTAATGATAACTAATTACTTGAATAATAAATGAATAAAAGGTATGAATTAGATGAAGTACTACTTGTAACACCTGCATTAGGATTTGGAATTCAAATTTCAATTAAAACCTGTATTAATAACCTTGTATTAATTGCACAGCCCTCACTTCTGTCATTTTGTATCGTTAATGATATATTTCATATATATATATATATAGAGAGAGAGAGAGAGAGAGAGAGAGAGAGAGAGAGAGAGAGAGAGAGAGAGAGAGAGAGAGAGAGAGAGAGAGAGAGAGAGAGAGAGAGAGAGAGAGAGAGAGTGTATATATATATATATATATATATATATATTTGTATATAAACACACAATTTTCTATAAAATAAAGGTAACAAAACAAATCAAAAATCTATTTTAATTAGTCTTAAATATTAAATCAAACTAAGAATGAATATGAATCCAACAAGTACAAATCAAATTTATTTACAGCATTTTTAGTTTAACAGAAATTGCCTCTCCAACTCAAGAAGACACAATTTTCCTTGGAGTCACTGCAAAATCACTATAAGTCACACATATCAGGATTTTATGTGGTGTTTAATATGTAAAAAGAACTTTTATTTGAACTTTAATTAGCCTGGTGCCTGTGCTATTATGCTAATGAGCATTCTTAAAACTCAAAATTCAGCTTGGTAAACAAAATATTTGGAATCAGCACCCTCAAATTATGGGAAATAGCATGTTTACTGACTTTTCCCCAAATTTGCCCTCAGGACTTTTTCTGAAAGTATTCCTTTGAATTATTCTCAGTCTAGTAATGATAGTGTCTGTTTTTTCCCCCAGTTTCAAAGATGGTGCAGTGGTGAAATGCAGTCAGTATGAAGGACTGGTGGAGATGGCCACGATCTGTGCTTTGTGCAACGACTCCTCTCTGGACTACAATGAGGTAACAGAAACTCATCAGAGTTATAGTTAACGATGTCTTATGCAACTGCATAAGAAACTGCATAATCAATTAATTGTTGCAGCCCCATTTGTACTTTTGTACTTGTTAATTTTAATTCCTTGTTATGTTCCAGGCCAAGGGTTTGTTTGAGAAAGTTGGAGAGGCAACCGAGACTGCTCTCTGCTGTCTCGTGGAAAAAATGAACGTTTTTAACACAGATCTGAGAGGACTAAGCCGATCGGAGAGAGCCACGGCCTGCTGCTCTGTAAGTGTATCTGCATTGAGGATGTGACAATATCCATGGCAATTTAAAACTAAATATTCTGTCTTTTGAAAAGTTCTCAATATGGCACCAATAAACAGGGATCTAAAGACCTAAAGCCATGTACTGTACTTGTTGATTTTTATTGTCTTACAAATGTGAAAAACTGATCTATTAATGTTTTCACCTGTCAGAGGCCAGAGCGAGTTTTGCTATCATGGTAATGCTAACAAGTATGTTAACAGGACACCAGCATATCTTCCTGGTCCTCAAAGTAAAGTAAAATCAGTTAATAATTACATAAACAGGAGACATTTTGACCATGTTTTTATAATATTTCTGTACAGGGATAAAAACAAAACTATATTACATAAAAGAAATCAGGTACAGCCTATTGGTACAATATTAAGTTATTCAGATGCCGTCTAATCAAGTAAAATGCACATTTCATTTTAGTTTTTTTAAATTCTTGCTTATTTTTTTAGGTAATAAAGCAGCTGATGAAGAAGGAGCTGACCCTGGAGTTTTCCCGAGACAGAAAGTCAATGTCCGTTTTCTGTTTGTCCAATAAACTCTCTCGCTCAACCACTGGGGCCAAGATGTTTGTGAAGGTAAACATACACAAGCGTATGTCTGTTTGATACTGTGAAAGCTTAGCCTGCCCTCTAGTGGCTCTGTAGCATGGCAGTTATTTGTTCTTACTAATCAGAATAGAGCCACAAGGTAATTGAAATTCAAACTAAATTACTATTTGAATTATCCTAATTGTATTTAGCTATTCATTCATCTAAAAACTGATGCCTCTTCATGAAAACTATGTAATGAGCAAATCTCAGGTAAAGTAATCAACAATGCCATTGAAAACAAAAAAATACAATTTTCTTGTCACACTTGCACCCTGATTTGGTCCTGGTTTGAGACACTCTAGTCCAGTTGCAGTTAAGGGTTTAATCACTCTTTAGTCCAAAATTTTGATATCGTGTTTGCTAGAATGAACCTCCCCTTAGGTATAGAGGCCATTGCCACAGAATAGGCAACTGTGAGCTGACTACTAATTTATTAATAAAATGTGTTTCAAATGCTGTCTAGTAGAAGTTGTGTATTACTTACTATTTGTAGTTATCATGAAATACAAATTAATCATGATGTAGTTCTTGTAATTTTTCAGTGATTTTTCATTTTCATTGTTTCATATAATTCTGTCTTGTTTTCTTTCATAGGGAGCTCCAGAGAGCGTGTTGGAGCGCTGTAATTACATTCGCATCAGTGGCACTTCCCGTGTGCCCATGAGCAAAGCACTGAAGGAGCAGCTGCTGTCCACAGTGAGAGAGTGGGCATCGGGCCGAGACACACTGCGCTGCTTGGCTATGGCAACAAGAGACTCTCCTCCTGACATCAAAACACTGAATCTGGAAAACTCTGCCACCTTTGCTGATTATGAGGTGAGGAGGGTTATTGATGAGAAAATTTTTAAGTTGTGTTGATAAATTGGTCCATTCCCATAGCAAGTAACAAAATAATAATGGTCAAAAGTTCTTAAAATGTTGCCTATAAACATTATAGGGAATATATCTGTGATACAATGTAATGTAAACCTATATATTTTTTTAGGAATTACCCAATCATTACAGAAATATTTACATTTGCATTTTGACAGTATAACAGCCAGTTGGACTGTATTCTCTTCTGTTCCTACTTTAGTTTAAATGATGGGTTATTATTTATTCTCATGTCATATAACTGATCCTCATTATTTGTCCTCAGTCTGACCTGACGTTTGTGGGCTGTGTGGGGATGTTGGACCCGCCTCGTAAAGAGGTGCTCAATGCAGTGAGAATGTGTCGACAGGCTGGCATCAGAGTCATCATGATCACAGGTGAGGGAGAATTCTATGGCAGGTTTCTATTAACTATCTTTTAAATCAACCATGCATTAAATAAAATTATTTATGTTGAAGGTGACCACAGGAATTTAAAAACATAGGTTTTATTACAACAAAAATAAAGCATTTCCAACATGTTACTCTAACCCAGAAGCTTTAAATATTGCAAAAATCCAGCAAATACGTATACAGAATTATTAACATAAAAAATACTTAATACCATGTAGGCCTGTAACGATAATCAATAAATCGATTAATCGTACGATAACTTTTAATGAGCTCGATAACTTTTCCAGCCACGATAAATTCTGTTTGCATGTTTGTTTGTTTTCCTCGCTCTCTCTCGCTCTCCAAGAGACTGAATGTTAGAAGGCTTCTATCGCTCTCTGACTCCTCTCGTTTAAAAAGCGTAATGACGCTTGAACCAACGTGCGCTGTGCTTGTCAACAGAGCGGATGCGCGCGTAGTCTGCACGCTTTCTGCAAATGCAAATTCTGCAAATGTAGAAATCCGCTCTCTGTGTGGTACGTCAGAGTGACAAAACAGTTCATCGCCATTCATCGCCAAAACAAGTCACGATGCCGAATCAGCATTGGTGAACAGGACACGTCTCAAGAGTCACATGCGTCAAATGTAGCGAGCGCACAAGCGACAAGAAGAAATGTTTCAAACCCCAACAGCCGACATAAACCCAAACCCAAGCGACAGAAGTAGCCTAGCCCCCGGAGAACCCGAAATCCCGAATCGACACGACACCAGACAGGACAGTGTCTCCCTCATAGCGAAATAACATCCTGTGTCGCGGGTTAATACGAACACTTCAAGACCAAAATGCCGAGGCTCACAGCAGCAGCCATAAAGAGACGAGACACAATATACCAGTGTAAGTCAATGACAAATAACTTTTAAGGACAATTTTGTTAGAGACTTAATAATCCATTTTATTTATTGCTTTGGTTGTTAAGTCTGTTTTATTTAGGCCTATTGTTTTTGGTTGTCTTATACTTCTTGTGTTAAATGTTCTTTAGAAAGTAAGGTTTACTGATCATTGAGAGGATGTATTTGCATTTTTATTCCATGGTCATTATATTAGTTGAAATTGGTCTCAAAATGTCAATATTATCGTTTATCGCAATAAATTCTTGGCCAATTAATCGTCCAGCAAAATTTTTTATTGTTACAGGCCTAATACCCTGTTTATAGTATGTGACCAGCTTTATGAAATCTATTTTTGTGCAAGATATAGTTGATGTCACATAAACAGTAAGATAAAAACCCTTTAGTTTTAGATGTACTTTTTTGGTGTTAAGACTGAAATTACTTTTTTTGCTTGTAAATTTTTATTTTTTTTTATAAACACGTAATACATAAACATATAATAATATTGCAACCTCCATAAACACAATTATCACTGTACCAAAATATCTTGATGTCCCTAATCAAGAGATGTGAAAAAAACAAAAATAGAAAATTGCCTTTTCTTTATTGTTTCTTTGGAAATGAGCAAATAAGAATAAATGTATATATAGTACTTGGATGGAAGACCACTGCAAATACCAGGTGCCACAGGGAGGCACCAGTGGCAAAAACTGTTGTTTCACCCATATTGCCTAGTAAGAAAGTGGTGTGTGTCAGTAATGGTGGTGGTCGGACAGGCCAGTGGCCCTGATTGGTACCTCACTTCAGTCATTCTGCTCCAGGGCAGCTGTGGCTACAATAGTAGTTTATTACCACCTAGTGTAAAGTGAATCAGTAATGCTCTGTGAAGTGCTTTGGGTGTCATGAAAGGCACTATGTATATGTAAATGCATAATTAATTAATTAATTAATTAACTAGAGGCTGCAGTAGTTGTAGTAGTAGTAGAGGCTGCAGTAGTTGTAGTAGAAGTGGAAGCAGCAGTAGTTGTAGTAGAAGCAGGGGTTGCAGTAGTTGTAGTAGTAGTAGCAGCTGCAGTATTTGCAGTAGTAGTAGTAGCAGCTGCAGTATTTGTAGTAGTAGTAGTAGGAGCTGCTGTAGTAGTAGTAGAGGTAGGAGCTGCAGTAGTTGTAGTAGTAGGTGCTGCAGTAGTAGTAGTAGAAGTAGGGGCTGCAGTAGTTGTAGTAGTAGGGGCTGCAGTAGTAGTAGTAGTAGTAGAAGAAGGGACTGCAGTAGTTGTAGTAGAAGTGGAGGCTGTAGTTGTTGTAGTTGTTGTAAAGCACTTTGAATTACTTTGTGTACGAATTGTGCTATACAAATAAACTTTCCTTGCCTTGCCTTGCCTTGTATTAGAGGCTGCAGTAGCTGTAGTAGTAGTAGAGGCTGCAGTAGTTGTAGTAGTAGTAGGAGCTGCAGCAGTAGTAGTAGAAGTAGGGGCTGCAGTAGTAATAGGAGCTACAGTAGTAGTAGTAGTAGTAGGGGCTGCTGTAGTTGTAGTAGAAGTAGGTGCTGCAGTATTTGTAGTAGTAGTAGGGGCTGCAGCAGTAGTAGTAGTAGAAGTAGGGACTGCAGTAGTTGTAGTAGAAGTAAGTGCTGCAGTATTTGTAGTAGAAGTGGAGACTGCAGTAGTTGTAGTAGTAATAGGGGCTACAGTAGTTGTTGTAGTAGTAGTAAGGGCTGCAGTAGTTGTAGTTGTAGTAGTAGTTGAGGCTTTAGTATTTGTTGTTGCAGTAGGGGCTGCAGTATTTGGAAAACAAATATTTGAAAAAATTAGGTCTGTTGCCATAGCGATGAACAATTTAAAAGTATTACTGTATATCTTTTAAATTGGAACAAGTGTTCAAAATGCTTTGTATAACTTTAAGCCAAACCTATAAATATATGGGTTTGCTGATATTACCTGAGATGATGGACAGAGCTACAGTTAATGATGAGAACAGGAGTAGTTTGAGTGCCGTCTTCATGACTTCAAAACGCACTGTTATGTTGTAACTGTAATGTTGTAATGTAACTGTAATGTTCTAAAGGTAATTTACTTGTTTCTTAAAATCTTCACTCTTTAGGTGGAGGTTCAGTCTTGTGCGTTTCAGCTGTTGCATACACCTGTAGCTGTTTGTTCACTAACGTCTTGGGTTCTTTTTTCAATACAATACAGTAGTAGTGTATTTACCTTGTTGACATCATTCGGCTGCTAGCTGTAAGATATCTTCAGAACTGTCAACAAGGTAAATACACTTTACTGTATTGTCTTACAATGAGTACATAAGAAGACAAACTGAGCATATTTGCTTGTTCAGTTCTTTTAAAAAGATGTAAGTGTTGTTCTGGTGAAAGCCCCACACCCTTTATTCTCCCAGTATATTAACCCAGATTATGGAACTCAGATTGTTTTGAATAGTTTTGAATAATTCTCTCTCTCCTATCTCTCTGGTTCACAATATGCTGGTTCAAAATAAAATAAAATTATATTTATTACAATATTTATATTTATTACAATAATAATCCAAAAACTATAAGAATACTAAATATATAGCTGTAAACTGCACTGATTGGGTGTGGCCTTTGCTGGTGCTCTGTCACACCCTCATTTTCCCCCTTTATATTACCCTCACTGCTGAATGTCTGATTTCAGAAAAATTGGCTGTGAGGCAGCATTATTTTTCTAAATATTGTATTATTAAATCTTTTCCAGGTGACAACAAGAACACAGCTCTGTCTATCTGTCGGCGTGTGGGCATCATCACGGAGCAGGAGGAGGAGCAGGAGGGTCCTGGGGCCACGGGGGGTCTGACAGGGAGAGAGTTTGACGAGCTGCCCCCTCACCTACAGCGTCAGGCCTGTCGGACGGCACGCTGCTTCGCTCGAGTGGAGCCTGCACACAAGAGCCGCATCGTGGAATATCTGCAGAGCCTCAGTGACATCACAGCTATGGTCAGGAGGGGAACTTGTGGGAATTAGTAGTAGTAGTAGTAGTAGTAGTAGTAGTAGTAGTAGTAGTAGTAGTAGTAGTAGTAGTTCAAATATAATATAATTTTTAAGAGCAGTAGTTTTCTCTTAATGGTAAAAGAAAAAATAAATTACATATAATAGTCCTCTTCTCTTCTAGTGACAACATTTTGAATTTTCATCTGCTAGTTTTGTGTGGAGTGTCAGTGAACATATCTCATTGTTTTGTTTGTGTGCTTTTTTTTTTTTTTTAAACAAATGCCCTCTCTTCCTCTCCTGTTTGTTTGCAGACAGGTGACGGAGTGAACGACGCCCCCGCACTGAAGAAGGCAGAGATTGGTATTGCTATGGGCAGTGGCACGGCAGTGGCTAAATCTGCGTCTGAGATGATTCTAGCAGACGATAACTTCTCGACCATTGTGGCAGCTGTAGAGGAAGGACGCGCCATCTACAACAACATGAAACAGTTCATCCGATACTTGATCTCATCCAACATTGGAGAGGTTGTCTGGTCAGTACAACTATTATTACTTGATTATTCTGAATCAACTTCCATCTTCTAAGGCAGTGATGCTCACTATTTTTACAAGAGCCACACTAGGAAGAGCAAAATCAAGAGGAGAGCCACTTCTACCCAACATACGCCAACATACCAAGTCACCTTTGCAAATGTGCATTTCAACATATAAATTGGACAGCCCACAAAAAGAAACACAGCCATTTTCAATTAAAACCATATTTACCTTAATACTGGGATGAGCGGAAGCTGGCATGCATGTCCTTGAAGATAGGAGTTATTGTTTTTAGACTTGTTTACACTGCTTCACTCTTCAATGCAACAGTGGTATATTATTTTAGTTAATCAGTTCCTTTGCTGACAGCAGATAGCATTTTGCAGTAACGGTTTTCAGAGTGAGGAACTATCTGCTCTGTTGCCGTCTTGAAGTTGTATTTAGTGATTTACACATGTTTGAATAACCTTAATTCTCCTTCAATCAAGATGCCATTATTGCTAAAATTCACTTTTCCCCTACCCCCATATACACATACTTACATACTTTGTTCCTCAATTTGGACTTGTTTCTTTTATGAAGTTGTTTTAGATAAATATTTTCCTTTCTCTCTCTCTCTCTCTCTGCAGTATCTTCCTCACAGCGGCCTTGGGGATGCCTGAAGCGCTGATCCCAGTACAGTTGTTGTGGGTGAACTTGGTCACTGATGGTTTTCCTGCCACAGCTCTGGGCTTTAATCCTCCAGACCTGGACATCATGTCACGGCCTCCCCGCTCCCCAAAGGAACCACTCATCTCCGGGTGGCTCTTCTGTCGATACCTCATCATTGGCTGTGAGTCCAGCTGCACAATTAAATGTTTGTCTAAGTCTAAAAAGTTACCATGTATGCCTTCTACACTCACACCAAAAACGCTGGGTATTACTTCTGTCTATATTTGAAGTGGTATTGTAAATGGCAGTACATTGTAAATAAAATGGTTCTTTCTCTAATATGGATGTATTTCTCTGTAGGTTATGTTGGAGCAGCCACTGTAGGAGCTGCTGCCTGGTGGTTTATGGCAGCGCACGATGGACCCAAAGTCTCCTTCTACCAGCTGGTAAGACACTTTCCCCCATCAGCAGAAAACATGCACAACAAGTAAAAAAAATGTAATTCAATTCTTTACAATTTAAATCTTTTAGTATAGAAAAATTAAAAAGTTTCTCCACTAGTACAAAGAATGATAAATATGGGCTCCCCAAAATGATTGTTCCATCTATCAGACACTGAACGATAAGTTCAAGATGTCAGAGACAATTATCACCTCCGTCCACATTGTAAATGAATGTGACTTAAACCAGTTTTCTGTCCTCAGTCTCATTACCTCCAGTGCAGTGAGGGTCATGAGGAGTTTGCTGGAGTTCAGTGCTCTGTCTTTGAGTCTCCGATCCCCATGACCATGGCTCTGTCTGTGCTGGTCACCATCGAGATGTGCAATGCCCTTAACAGGTAAGTACGCAAAACGGTGACACGCCAACCACTAAATAATGTCTCAGTGACTTTAAAGGTGCTATTATAACAAGCAACATTCAGGTTTTAACCTTCCTTTAAACAGCTTAGCCTTGTCGTTTCATGTGAAAGTAAAAATTATCTCTTTACTAAGACTCGAGGGTGCAACGACTCCAAATGTTATACTAAGTTAGGGCATTTAATTGAGGAAATAAGAAAATGTAAAGCTTACAAAACATGTATTATTTATTCATTTGAACAAACATTTGTTAAATTTGATTTTAAAACATTTTATCAAAATATTATTATATTCTGTGTGTAGTCTTTCAGAAAACCAATCCCTGCTGAAAATGCCTCCCTGGTCAAACCCGTGGCTGATGGGAGCCATCTGCCTGTCCATGGCTCTGCACTTCCTCATCCTCTACGTGGACCCACTGCCCGTGAGTTGATATGGCAGGCTGAACAGTAAAACTTTCTATTGTTAATTTACTATTATTATGATCAACTTGCCCAACCAGTCCTTCTGTCAGAATTAGTCATTCTGTTAGAATTATGTTAGAAAGGGTTTGCAGTCGGACCATTGAGTGTAAAAAAAACACATCCTAATGGGCTAATCATTGCCACTAATTTTTATCACGTGTCTCTCCAATGTGGAAGACATCTCCTCTAGAAAATTCTTATATCATTCATAGCAAAGTATACAGCTTCTTTCATCTGAGATAGATGACAGTTTGGTACTTCACTTGTTCACTCTGCACAAATCGGTGCTGTTTTCTTGTCCTCTGTTTCATTTTTTCATGTAAGCCACATCTTTGTTTTGATATTAACGGACTATGCATCTCTTATTGGTTAACCTGCCTGTCAGTCACACCCAACTCAGATTTCCAGACCCAAGTCTCTTTTTGTCACGTTTTGTCCATGCATGGGATTCTGGCTAACCAGGTAAACAGTCACTTAATACAACTGAATGAATCAGCATTCAGCATGAGTAAGTTTTTTTTGGTCACAAAAGCTTCAGAAAGTGGTGCTTTTATCCAACCCCAAAGACATGTTGTCAGTGGAAAGGACTTTTAAGACAAAAGAGTAAGATTAAGATTCAGTCCCTAACAAATAATAAGGTTCAACATTTATGGATCATAAGCTTGGATATTTTTTCAAAAACTGTGAATTTCCAATAAAGTTGTATAGGCCCCTAGCCTATTCCCTTCGTGGAAACCATCTGACCTCACAGCATTAGAATTTGTTTGCTTGACTGTAGGTGGGTACTTTTTTTTTATTTAAGCAATCGCTGCTATTTGGTCGTGACGTATGTAATGCGCCACTAACGGGGCTAACTGGTATATTAAGCTTTTACCAAATCCCGTAGGAAGAAGGGCAATAACGTCTTTCCCCTTGATAAAATTCACCATTCTATTTGTTCTGGCTTTAAATCCTCAAGCTCGAGAATCATTGCCAACACAGAATGTATGGCTCTTCGCTGATTGGCTGGTGCCCGAACTTGTTCTTGCAAACCGTCTAGTGTATTCTGAATCCTGACCTCATCACTGCAGATAAATGAAATTGAGTGGAGGCACTAGGTGGTGCCAGCCTGGCTAATAGGCCCCTGCCTTCTGTCTGAAATTATCCAATTCAAAAATATGAACACAACCTATTAACCTTCTCAGCCCTAGTTGTATCTACTCTACTTAGCTGTTTGCATGTTTTTCCTCAGATGATTTTCCAGATCCGGCCTCTGTCCTGGCCTCAGTGGGTCGTGGTGTTGAAGATGTCTCTCCCTGTGATTCTCATGGACGAAGCTCTCAAGTTTTTGGCTCGTAATTACATTGAACCAGGAACACAGATTCAGGTAAAGGTCCTATGCTCAGTGTGTTAGCCTGGGTAAAACAAACTGGGGATCTCTGTTAGGGCTGGGCAATTTTGCTTAAAAATGAAATTGTCATTTCAATTTCAGTTTACAAATTTTCTACGTCACTACCAAAAATGTTTTTTAAACTACAGAAAATTGTCTAATCAAAAAAAGTTGTAGTGCAGTAAATAGTAACCTCATTTTGAGTAAAATGTTCATTTTGGTAGTAGACTAAATAGAAAAGGCTTAAAATACAGACCAAACTCAGACAGAGCTCTCCCATCAGTTTTATTTTAGTGACAAGTTGGAAACGAACAAGCTCATTGATGATCCAGATCACTTTGATCCATTTGTATTATTTAGGTTTTGCTTAGGGATGGGTACCGTTTAAGGCAGTGGTTCCGAATTTTTTCTGTAAAAAGTAAAAGTACTGTTCCATAAATCAGTTATCATTCAAGTACTGGTACCTATAAAAATATAACATTACACACCCATAGTCTCGCTTGTTTGGTTTCTGATTTAGACCTGTCTTCAGTCTTTTTTTCAATGGTAAAAAATACATAAATAAAATGTATTTCCTCTCTTGTCGCTTTCAGTCCCTGGAGGAGGAGGAAGAGCAGCGAAGGAGAGGAGGAGCGGGGGGCTTTGGCACTTGGATACGGCTGTCTCTAAGGGGTGTGTCCTGGGCGTTTGTTGCAATTGCAGCTCCTTTGGTTTTATGGATCTTCAGTCTGGACTCTGACATCACCAACATCTTCTGGGAGTGAAAAAGTTTAAGTTATAACTTAAACAAGTTAATAGGATATTGAAAGAATGGTAAGTTAAGCTCGCAAGTTATTGGGTTGTGAAAAAAGGTTTTGAAGTCAGTCCAAAAGACAATCACAAATAAAACATTGTACAACTGTGTCACTTTTCATTGTTTTGAAAGGTGCTATGTGTAGCTTTAGCCATTTCCTTTTTTATTATTACACAGTTCATAATATTAGTAAGTAACTTTTCTGAAGAATAGAAGGTTTCAGGCCCTCTAAGAACTGAAACTGGTACACAATATTAATAAGTCTTTTCAGACTTGTCACATTTTTTTCCAGTAAATTGTACTAATGGTGTCTAATGCTGAAGTTATTTCTTATTATTTCAGAAATATATTAATTAAAAAGGCAGAGAAGCATCATGGTACAAAAAAAATTGAATTACTGCTGAAAAGTTTGTCGAATAACTATTATCTTAACCACGGGAAACTATGATTACTACTATAATTTAAGCTTATATAGACAATGCTACACATAACACCTTTTCAACTGTTGTGCAATCAGTTTATGGGCGAAATGAAAATACAGGAATAAACTTTTAAGTACAATTGCACTCAACTCCATTAGCTTTATACCACTACTAATAATACTAATGCTACTGAAATGCCAACACGTCTTCCCTGTCTAAAATTCTTGTTGAAAAAGCCATTTAAATGTTTGTTTTAACACTAGAGTCAGTCATGGTAATACAACTTCCTACTATGTTTTACCCAATAACCCCTCTTAGTGGAGTGTGCCAGCATAGTCCGAAGTCTCCAATATTAAAGCCTATAATAAATAGGTCTAGTTTTTCACAATATGCTACATGAAGATTAAAGCTGCATTATGTAACTTTTTTGGAGGATGGTCTGTCACCTGCTTGTCTCATAAAATGTTATTACTTTTCTTGGAATGTTCCACATTATGATATTAACTTGTATATCACTCATTTAGTGTATTTCAAGCATTTATATTATCAAAAATTCTTACTTTGGACTCATCTACTACCATGGAAACTGCTAAGTTTAATGCCATTTTGAGGAATATTCTAGGAAAACACCTGAAAAATTACACATTGCTGCTTTAAATGTTTTTCTTAATTCCAATGAAAAGGTTGCGTTGATAAAGGGTTGTTGGTTGTTGATTGTTTTAGCAGTTCATATGGAAGGAGAAAGAGTTAAAAACACTTATAATTTTTACTTATTTTTTGTATTTAAGCACTGTTTGCCTCATTGTGATTCGAAGCTTATAGTTTTTTTCTGCCTGTTTTTCTATTGTTTTAGGTTGAATTTGTGTCTTAACACGCCGCTTGAAAAATGCAAAATTGTGGGATTTTTTGTACAACACTTAATTTTATGTATTTATATGTTTTATTATTAATTAATTGTGATGTCATTATTATTTATTTGTAGGTCAGCTTGTCATAGGATATGAGTGGAACAGGACTTGATGTTTTGGAAGTTCTTTGAAAGTTGTGTTTAAATAAAGGTCGCAAAGGGATTTTGAATATTCTCATGTCCATGGTCTTTGTTCATCATTTGAACATGCAACATGTGAGGGAGTTTGCCACCAGCATGTTTTCATGGAGATGTTACTTCTTTGCCTAGAGTGTTTTATCATTTAGTATTCAACTTATCTATCTTCAATTGTGTTTTTTATTGCTTAAACATTCTGTGAGCAGGGTCGCCACTCCTTTTCCTGACAGTGCCATCCCTCTAGTTCCTGGGATGGCATTGTCAGGCAAGCCAGTCTTCGGATTTGATCTGCAACTTGGCCTGATGGTGTTACCTGCTTGTCTCCATGAGGATAGAAAGGTTTACTGCCTTGTCAAAAATACTCTGCAATGAAATAATATGTAGAGTAATGTAAATCTAATCTAAATCTAATCTAATCTGATTTAGGACTAAACCAGGGACCATAGGTGAAAGAAGGAACGGAGATCTAAACCAGGACTACACCAGGACAGGCTAATAAACCTGACACAAAATACTTCAAATCTCACAGTGAAAAGTTCTTGTTCACTCAGAATAACTTTATACAAACTAGAATCATAGTCTCTCATAGAAGGTACAAATTTTGTAATAAAGTTATAATAATAATAATATATTGTGTTATATTCTGTGTCTAAGCAGAAGCATACATTCACTTTAGTATTTTGTTTTAATTTCCTTTGCTTGAAGTTTTGTAGGTCTACCACAGTAATCTATATTCCTGTTTCGGTCTCATCTAAAGCACAGCTTCAGGAATGCACTGAGGAGTATTTGAACTGCAGAACAAATATTTCCTCTCAAAGTCAGTGCCACATTTTCTAATATATTTCTTGAGAATGAAAACTAACATCTGTATCAGTGGTCCTCAAACTATTCCCACTAAGTACCAGCTGATGCAATTTTTACCCTTTTTATATTTTCAGGTATTCAGCTATTGTCTATTCTATTAAAGGGAAACACTGGGTGTGGTAGTAATAGTAGTAGCAGGTAAGATGTCCACAAGATGTTTTAAATGTCCAATATTGCACAAAATTGTGAGCTTTAAGCCATGTTAGAATGTCATTAGTTACCTCCTCAAAAACATGCCTAGAGTTGTATTTTGTTTCATCCACACATGTTTAAGTAAACCTTTATTATTAGTCTACATCTCCAAATCTCCAGATGCTTTGTTCTTCCCTGTGACATCATGTAGTGGAAGTTTTCAAGTTAACAGCTAACTTTTACTTTTTTTTTCAGTAGAAATTTTCAATTTGGGGATATGTCAGTATGCTTGTTTATTTTTCCCCAATGCAGTTGAAACCACACAGTATAGTGCTAATATGCACTGGTGGGGAGTGGGATTAAGACTAGTTTTACAGCCAGCTTTTGCATTCAGCTCCCGTACCTCGCATCGCAGACCTGTCTGGACCAGGACTTGGACCAGTTTGATCTCCTCATATTGGACAATACTCTTTTGGAGATAACCAACAGGACAAAGGATAGAGGATATATTCTGCATCAGTCCCCTGGAGAAGGTAAGAGGCTTGTTGTCATTAGTTTGGGGCAAATCTGAGAACAGAGCCTCACAGGTAAATTGTGTCATAGTATTAAGAGTTAACTAGTGTTAAAGTGTTAATAATTAAATTGTGTGTAAATGAGCTGTTGATGGTATTCGTTATAATACTATATAGCCTATAGTATATCTAATACCTATATTTATAATGAATATTTATAATTTTGGCCTATGTGCTCCCCCCAAAAAATTATAACACCACCCACCGTTGTTTATCAATGAAAACTAACAAACAAAGCGGTAACATAACATAACAGAGATGCTTTTTCCGAGATTTATTCCAAGTTTGTAGGCAAATGTAACGGGTGTGTGTCTGTTCATTAAAAGTCTAATGTGTTGGTGCACATCCGATAACCCTTAGCTTTATCTGCGTAAGGACCATCCCTATGCACACAGCTCATCAGTCCCCTCCTCAGTAGCATTGCACAGACTGAGGGAGGCGCTGCTGCACGGCACACGAGGAAAGGGACAGTATAAGCAAAATGTGAAACACAATAATAATGTTGGGAAATAGGCTAAAATCTGCTTTAAACTATGAAATAACCATAGAAAATTAATTCAATGAAGCATTTGGTGAAGTTCACAAATAAAAACAAAAGTACATTTCCTTGGTTACACAAACAACAAGGCTACATGTTCAGGCCTATTTACTGCCTCTCCTGCCCACTGGTAAAAATCATAGGCTCACCAGGTGCACTCTGGTCCAGCTGAACCATCCACCTTTATCCCCAAGGTGCCCCACAGATTACACCAGAAACAGAAAAGGTGCACTGTGCTATGTTTGTGATGAGGAAACATTACAGCATCAAAAAGTTGTGTAATATGGGCCCTGTTAATGCACAACACAGGTTGTCTTTAGTAATTAGAATGAAACTGTATTTTAACTTTTTTTACAGACATTATTCTTGGTTTCAAAGGAATCAGCATCAGTGCAGAACAGTAGAAAAAAGGAAATGTTATTGTGTAATTCAGATATACTCTAGATTCCAGATCTGTCTTCATTTACATGAAATAAGACAGGAAATGTATTCTGATTAGTAAAACAAAAATCTCTCTTTTAATTATTTCCTTTATTGTAGTTTTCTTCAGGAAGTGTTGGTTGACTGCAGCCAACTTTTCACAAGTTGACATTGCATGTTCTGCACAACCTTGATGTTAATTATCAGGTTATATATCAGGAATATTGGCCTACCTAAATTCCAATTTTATGAATGTGATATGTGTATTGGTCCAGAAATATTTCAAGTGCTGCTATGCCCTAACCCATTATTGCCCAATTTTCCCTAATGATTAAATTATGAAATTCATGTGCCATTTCTAGTACTTTCGGGTTTGGTGGTACGGATCGAACATTTTTTGTTGTTGGAATAACAAAATATAGCAAAAAAGCTTAGTCATCATTCCAGTTACTAACTACAATCTGCTAAAACCAGGTAGTAGTTAGCAAAGAACTGAGAAGATGCACAAATGTAGCGAACACAAATCTAGTTGTGTAATATATTAATTATTCCTATGTATTAACAGACTACAACTATGGTTTACAGACAACATTGATTAGATTGTACTAATTCAGAAATACTTCCAGACTGAACCACTGTGACATTGTAACATATAATCTTTTGTTATGTTGTGAACAGATAAATAAACAGATGAAAACCTACTTCTTCTTCTTGACTACTTCACCTCCTTGATCACCCCCTAATTGACTGTCATTTCATAATTTTATGTTGGTTATGGTATATAATAGTAGTTAGTTAGTTAATTAGTCAGTTTCTTTAGTTAGTTCGTTAGTTAGTTAGTTAGTTAATTCCTTCATTTTATTGGCATCTTGTAGGAGACATTTTTTATGGACAAGGGGAGCAGCTCACACATCACCCACATACAAGCACAATGCTCCTGAAAATACCACAGTTACAGTGAAACATAAAGAAAAACACACACATTTTCCTTTCCTTTTCCATTTGCCCTCCAGTTCATCATTTATATGTTTCAACAGGTTCAAAGGAGTTCCTCTACATATTCTGCTTGCATTGAAAAGTTCTGTATGTCATTACTCAGTGCATAAGAATGAACTCAAAGTGCAGGATGTGTCCACTGTCTGATAGAGTCCTCTGGACCTGGCTGATAGTAAAATTATTTAACCACTACTCCTATTCATTTGCAGTACAGTTCCTCTCTGTGTCCAGTGTGAGTGGAGGGGGCGGGTCATTCCTTATTTGGACACACTGCTTTGGTCAGAGGAGAGAAAGTCCATGTGTCTTTTCCACGCGTCTGCTGCATGGAGCCACTCTGCTACTGCTGCAATCAAGGATCTACACAGGGAAATCACAGGTTTCACAACAAGACACTGCTAACAGGTAAGATCAGATCATAAACTTTTGCTTAGATATTATGGGTGTGGTAATAGTTTTCCAATTCAAAGTAAAAGTTCCTTCTAGTTTAAGTTTACGGCTTATGCTTTGCTTGTAGTTTTGAACCATATGTGTGTCTGTGTATGTTCATTTAAATATCCACTATGTTACTTTTCTGGTGAGGAGTCTGCCACCATGGAGCTAAGCCTAGAATGTTTCTTAGTATGGCATTAAACTTATCTAATTGCATATGTTTAATTGCTCAAAAATACAGTTAAAACATTCTTACCATGAGCGTCCTCTCTATAAATTGCCTGGCTTGACTCCATGGACATAGATTTATACAATACAGTGTGATATTCAAGGCAAACCAAGAACATCCCCATGGAGAGGAGCTGGTGTCTCATCCTCCACTAGAAAAGATACTTAGTTCCTTTAACTTTTGTAGGGCATTCCAAAGTAAGTCTCTGTGAACTTGCATTTACAATACGTTTTCTAAATACACAGCATCACTGAAATATGTATTACATTTTACATAGTATTAACCAAAAACAAAACACAAACAAAAATATTGGGTCAGTTGTTAGAGCAGTCACCCACACTGCATATTACTGCCATTGTGTCCTTGGGCAAGATCACTGAATGTATGGTTTGTAGATAGACTTATGGCACAGATTTGCAACCACACTTTGGGTAGCCTACCCCAGGGCAATTGTGGTTACGGAAATAATTTACTGGAATTTTGAATATTTCAGTACTGTAATCCAGATTTGGGAATTGTGATTTCCCAATCTTTGATCATTTGTAAATCTTGTCTTTGGTCTTCTAAAAGTGCGTAAAACAGGATAGACTACTATAGGTGGGACACTAATTTACTACTCTTGAATATTATTTCTACTTGTTTTTAATTTGGTGAATCTGAGATCTAATAAAGCTTCAGACGTAGTGATTTTGATAAAGATTTGTGCTGAAATTTGTTCAGCAGAACAACTGAATTTTTTTCTAGCTTTTCTTTGAATATTTTTGTATATAACGTGTTAAAAAAAATCACGCCTCAGCCTTTTCAGCAGGTCTTAAATAATAGTAAAAAAATACTTCAAAAATACTCCAATTCAGAAATGTAGTAGAGTAGAAAGGAGTAGCACAGATAGTAGTAGAAATCGAAAGGAGTAATAATACACATACCTGCTCTCAGATGTAGTGAAGTAACAGTAACAATATCCACTTTAAAATGTTTTAAAGTATAAAATGTAGGTATGTGTACTTTACTTAAATACAGTGCTTTAATACTTTCCACCACTGGATTGAGTATTCTGTTTTGGAACTCCTCTACTCCCTGTATTCTTGGACTGACACTTAACTGGTATAAAACTATGATAAATATTTACAACAGTACAACAACAAAGTAATTAGCAAATATGTCCTTGCAACTCTAACCTCGGCTTCTATTGTTATTCACACACCAGCTCAAAACTACAGCACGTTTAATGGGTGCATATTTTCACCTTAGGGAGATTTATGGTTCCAGCTACTGTCCACTCATGTACCAGAGCTCCACGTGTACATGGGCTGTGTACAGGCTATTTTAGTGTCACCACAGAGCTCCAGTCACTCCCCCCAGAACTATGTCAGACAGACCATTGCATCATCTGTATTTACACTTTTCAATGTAAACAATAACTTCTGCTGAAAAATCGGCAACCAAGTTTGTCCAATCCTTCCTGTAACTCAAATGTGGTGAAAAGACAGGGTGATCACAAAAGTTAATGTGTGTGTGTGTGTAGCAGTGCGATTAAACACTGCTACATTAATAGCAGTGTTTAAAATGCATAAGACAGGTTTTCATGTTTTTTTTTTTATTATTTCTGGGTTTGGTGGGGTAGAACCAGTAGAAAATATTTATTGAAGTTTTTCATCAGTTAATTGGCAGTTTGTGGAAAAAAGGGTAGAAGATCAAAAATACAGGAAGTAGCACTAAATTCTAAAACAGACTGGGATTCTCTCTTGAAAACTCTGCATTTCATCCACTGATGGGGCTTAATGTTCAATTGCAACCATGGCAGACAACCTTTAAACAGTTTCCTATTCACCTGAGCTGCCCCAGTCGAGGGAACAGGGTTTTTGATTAAACAAAGTGACTTTAAACCTAAAATTTTACTAAAACACATCCAGTTTTTCAGGATTAAGTTTAGAATTACGAATCTGTAAATTCAGGTTTTTGGTTTGGTATATTAACTGTGTCTGGACAAAAGAAAATTAGAAATACATAAGCGTATTAGTTAACTAGTATTAACGGATTATAAAAAATACTGTTGATATTGCTGAACCTTAATACTTGTAATTACATCTACTGAGTATGAAATTAAGTCACTCTTCATAGAAAATACAGCGCACAGCAGTTAGTTAACTCTGATTGACGTGGAATGCTTAATGCTGAGAATTTATATGAAGGTGTGGTTTAATTAGTCTAATCAATACACATACGTACACACATACAAATACACATGGTTAAGTTTATTGACTTTATTGACATAATGTTTGCTAGGTAAGTCTTGCAATTAACTCTATGGAAGTAAAATTCAAAATTTTTTGTTTGAAATATTAAGAAAAACTAGTGAAGGTTTTTTGGAAAATCTTAAAAATAATGATGTTAATTATGTTTTTGTAAAAGGAGTAGTTTAACCTGCCATATCCACTTTAATTTGGTTAGTCATTTTAGCTCTAATTCAGATAATTTATATATGTATAAAAATAGACTGTAGACCTCTAAAGTCATTGACCTTAATTTGGGTAACACATTCTCGAAGCCCCTTTTGATACTTTGCAGCTGATGCCATCAACATTCTCTCATGATGTGAAGCTAACTGAAAGCACTGCTTTGTTAGAAGCTCTGTTACTCAAATTAGACTTTAATCTGAGATTTATTTTAACACAGTCTGACCAGAAAGATCTAACTTGGTTGGAACTACAACAGGTGAGATTATTTGTGCTGTTAAACAAGTCTCTCACACATTTTTCAGTTAGTCACTCTCAACTTTTTGTTGAAAACCCCTAAACAGGACCATGAACACTTGTGTTGGTCCCAGGCTCCTGAAAATGTTTTGTTTAAACCCATTTTGTATTTTTTCTTGAGTTTTCAGACTATTAAAGCATTTTTGGCAGTTTTTAGTAGCCATATCAGATCAGATATCAGAAGCTAAGCAAAGCCAGGCCTGGTTAGTGCTTTGATGGGAGACTACTGGGATAATCAGGTGCCACAGTGGACCCATTTGTAAAAACTGTCGTTGCAAGGCAAGACACTTCACCCACATTGCCTAGTATGAAAGTGGTGTGTGTGATGGTGGTGGTCGGAGGGGCCAATAGCACAGATTGACAGCCTTGCGTCCATCAGTCTGCCCCAGGGCAGCTGTGGCTACAATTGTAGCTTACCACCACTGAGTGTGGAGTGAATGAATGATGCTCTGTAAAGCGTCTTTGAGTGTCCAAAAAAGTGTTATATAAAACTGATGCATTATTATTATTATTATTAAGATATTATGTGCATTGTGTTACCATGGTAACTGTTGAATATTCTGTCAATAGAGATACATGTAGAACACCCTAGTATCGATACAATATGATTTAAATTTTGTGTATTCACTAAAACTAACCATCTGTACTCAAGCAGATAATGTAATATGCTTCACTAAAGTAACAACAAAGCTTCAATAAAACAATTTAAAAGAACAGAACAATTGATACTTGGTAGTGACATCACTGCTCTGAAAACTCAAGAGAAAATACAAAATGGATTTTAAAAACACATTTTCAGGAGTTTGTGAGCAACACAAGCATTTATGGTCCTGTTTAGGGGTTTGATTTACAACAAAAAGTTGAGAGTGACTAACTGAAAAACTCCAGGCTAATACTAGTTAGCTTGTGACTGTAATTTTATGCGTGAGAGAGCAGCACAAATCATTTCACCTGCTGTAGTTCCAACCAAGCCAACTCTTTCTGGTTCTTTCTGTGTTAAAATAAAAAAGTCAAACAGAGTTAGCTTTCAGTTAGCTTCACATCCCCAGGGAATGTTGATGACATCATCTGCAAAGTATCAAAAAAACAAAAAAAAAACAAAAAACAACACATTAAAAGTAAGTCTCAGTCGTTTAAATGAGCGGGGTTGCTGATGTAATCTTGCATTAGCTTTACTCACTGATCATAGTCCATGCTTTGGTCATTTGAGCCTAAAGTGGTCACAGGCCTAACTGCCCCGGACAGATGCATGTCAGAGAGGCCAGAAAACCATTCTATTTCTGACCGCAGTTGTCTCATTCACGTAATATGTCTAACTCTGAGTAAGACTGGACCTGTTCCAGAGAGGAGCACATTTACATATTAGGGTTTCCTCTTTTGCTGAGTTTCAGATGACACTACAACATTACATAGGGCAATCATAGTTAATACAGGAGAAGAGCTAAAAATAACATCCTTAATGGTCCACTGTGTAAGTTTTCTGATGGAGGGTTTGCCACTAACCTGTCTCCAAGGAGATTTTATTAATTTGCCTTAGAATCTTCCACAGTATGGCATTAATCTATTTTGCATCTGATGTTTTATTGCTCCAAACTATTCTTATTCTGAGTGGGCTTGTCTCTACACAGACCTGACCTGTAACTTAATCTATGGGTATATAGATAAATTTATTGCCATGCTGTGGAACGCTCTTGGTAAAGTAATTACATGTCAAGGAGAATAAAGCTACATGGTCCAATGCAGATGTTTGTTGCAAAATGGTGTGTTTATGGGTGTAGTAAATAAAAGAAATAGTCATATTTGTGAATTGACCTTTTGGATGTTTCATGGAAAAGCACAGTGTTATCTATATATATATATAAAAAAAAGTCTCTTGTGTCCTTGTCTGGGAGTAAGGGAGAGGACACGCCCATAAACATCTTAAAACAAGTTTGGAGGATCGGAGCAGGTAATACAAAATAAAAAAAAAATAATAAAAAAAAATGCATCTGCACAACTCACTTGCTCTAAACTATTTTATTTCTCTCACCAGGATGTAACATTAGACCTTTCTAAAATCTAAAAGCAACCAAACATCTCATTAAGTAACTAAAATCCTGCTTTATATGTTCATGACATGGCTAAAGGCGTCAGGCATTTCTCAGACTTTAAAGGTACACTTAACTGTAACTGGTGGGTAATGTCTGTCACCTGCTTGTGTTCATGGAAATGTTAGAATATATAGTGATGATATATTGATACAGCAGCAATTTCAACACTGTATCATGAAATTTAGTATGCTGATGTATAAATATTTTTGCATATTTTAGCACACTCTTATATTTAATTATTAAAATGGTATTTTGCAGTAATTATAATTGGTGGGCTTTTTGTCTAGTACTATACTTTGAGCTAATTTAAAGGTGCACTGGGTAGGGGGTTCTATCACCTTCTTGTCTCAATGGATATGTCATTGCTCTGCCTGGATTGTTCCACAGTATGACATTAAACAAATCTACCTTATACTTATTAAATTACAGGTGGCTTTATAGCTCCAAAATAAGAAGAGGCATTGGTAAAGAAAGGTTTAATACCATACTGTGAAACATTCCAGACAAAGCAATAACATCTCTATGGAGACATGCATTTGACCCTCCACCGGAAAAGCTGCAAGTGCAGTTTTGATTATTTTGTTCAATTTAAATACATTATTGCAGTTTGTGACACTGTATCATTAAATTTAGTATCACAATATACAGTATTGATATTGTTGCTCACCCTTCCTCTGTTATACTTGTTGTTGCAGGAGAATGGCTCCGAGTCTGGCGCAGGCGTATCGAAGGCGCTGGTGGATGGCGGTCACAGCGATCATAGAAAACCTGCTGTGCTCTGCTGTGCTGCTGGGCTGGGGCTCTCTGCTCATCATGCTCAAGAACGAGGGATTTTACTCACACATCTGCATCGGTACACTGAAGGAATATATGTAACGTTCAGGGTTTGGTCATTCTTTAAAAAGGGGGTCATTCTACCAAAAATATACCTGAAGTGGTTTTATATGTCACCCATACACGTCTGAGTAATTTTGCAATCTCTCGCAATAAGCAGTATGATCCTAAGCAAAGCTCAGCTCACAAGCCTATGTCATCCATGCTCCCACAATGCCATTTGTCACAAAAGCTGGATGCAAAACTATACACAACTTCACAAACCTGATGTGATATGCATTAGTTTGATTAGTGGAATGGGGACTCAAAGTGTCAAAACTTAAAGTGAAACATTATTAAATATTTTAGTAAATTGTTTTCAGTGAAATTCCGTTGTGCATCTTTAACTTTAATTAATTTAATGTGTGTTGATAGTGACTAGTTTTCCAAAATCTATAACAACAAGATTTTAATTTAAAGAATGAAATAATCTGTCCGTGAAACATGTCCATTTAGAGACCTCGACGTCCGCACCATTACATTCCAATAAGATAAATGTTTTAATATATATAATGTAATAATACACAGAAAGCAATTTACTAGTTTCTTTCCTTTCAGAGAATGGAACAGCACCCTCTAACCACTCCACCGAGCACAGCGGGGAGTATGCGAGCTGTGTGGAGCAGGAAGAGATCCTCAATCTGGGTTTCACCATCGGATCATTTCTCCTCAGCGCCGCCACTTTACCTCTGGGAATTTTAATGGACAAGTTTGGACCACGCCCACTCAGACTCATCGGCAGGTAGGTGATGTCATTCTCCTAGGTGGGGCAGGAGTCAGCCCAATATGGAACCTGAGATATATAATGACTAGAGTATTGGACTGGATACATTACAACTAAAATGAGCAACAGTCATTTTACTTGACCTAACTCTTTATTAACACAGGATCATACAAAATGTCATGGTTGCCAGCAGTAGCCACAAGGATTTGCTTTCTACTGGTGCACATTATATAAATGCATATACAAAACAAAAAAAAAGACAGTCATGATGATGTTATAAGGAGAACCACACAGTCTGGGTCAGTAGAACAAAGTATTGTGATGTAACACAAGAGAACTGGAGCTAATTATGCAGATTTACTCTTGTAAGAATAAAACAAAGCATAGCTCCAGATATGCTTTGACCAACTTCTTCTAATGTTTATTGCTTTTTCACACCACAGAAAATGTTTTACATAAACTTTGCTTCTTTCAGTTCATGTTTTGCAGCATCTTGTGCAATGATCGCTACAGCAACGTACAAGCCTGAAGGTAACTATATATTGTAAGCTTTCTAAAATACGGAATATAAATAAGACAAAGTTTGACCTTAACCAATAATGAACATTTCAAATATTTTAAATGATTTCAGTTTATTTTGTATTATTTTTCTGTTTTCAGTTCTTTCTATGCTCATTTTTTTTGCTGTTTCATTCAACGGTTTTGGCGGAATATGTCTGACCTTCACGTCACTCACAGTAAGATTTTATATATGTATATGTATGTATATATGTATATATATATATATATATATATATATATATATATATATATATATATATATATATATATATATATATATATATATATATATTTTTTTTTTTTTATTCTCTGTCAAAGGGAACAACAAAGAATGGTACAGAGATGGTTCAGTACTGCCCCTGAATGTTGCATCTACATGATACAGTTTAGTGCATCAGGAGTACAACTGTGACAGTTTATACCAAAAAAGAATGTGTTTTTCAATTACTTTTTCAATGTTAGCTACAACTTTATTTTAGGAGCTTATGAGTCATCCATCATTTTGAACAAAATCTAACTTCTCTTAAAAGTTGATCTGAGTTTTTCAGTTCCCTGTGATATTCATGTATTTTCCTCATAAGCAGTCATGTTTATTTTGATACAGAGTGCCTGACTGACTAAGCCAAATTTCAATCACATAAATCAGAAGCAGACACAGGCAATTATAAAACAGCAGTGTGGCGAAAGGTTTCAAATGTCTGTTGAATTAAACAAAAAAAATATGTACAAAGTCAAATTTGCCTTGAATAAAAGCATCTCTTGTATGCATCTAACAAAAAATTTTATCGCAAACTAGGATGTACACTGTTAGCACACTAGAAACACACTTATAAACTGCAGTGACAAATTAGGATGCTTAGAATGCATAAGGTAAGTCTGGTATACCTTTGGACCAGCAAAAATGAACTAGTTCTGTTTTTCACTTTTTCAAGGCCATAAAAACCAGTTACAGCGTCTTCAGGGTTTAATGATGACGGTGAAAAGTTTATAAACATCAGCCTTTTACAGTGACAGTGGTTTCTTGTTCAACTTGTAGATTGCAGCTTATTTGTGTGTGTTTTGGAAAGCATTGATGACTGTGAGCATAGCAATCCCAGGGACACAGGGACAACCGCCTAAGGTCCCTAAAGGTGTTCTGTTCCGATTGCTCTAAATATTGCCATGTGTCTGGTAGCCAATCAGAAGCCTTAGTTAGACCCACGCCTCTCTTATGTTCTGTGCAGATTCTCAGCCTTATCACACCTCTACCCACGGAGTAAATTTAAACAGCTCCTGACCTGGCTTGTGTCCGGGCCATGGTCATCTGAGTCCACTGTTTGTTGTGGGACATTGATGTTGATTTGTCTTGTTGATTTGTCTTGTTGACCTACGCATGACTACCTAGATTTAGAAGAATCCATGGGGGGTTTTCTTCAGTTTAGACTTACTTTATTGATCCATGACGGAAATGCCTAATACACACAAGGTCACACATGATAATATAATCAGATAGAAGTGGTAATACATCTGTTGCGTGATGTTAAATAAGGACAGATACTGATACTACAGCTGATGTCATCAACATGCTCTGGGCGTGTGAAGCCAACTGTGTTCTTTCTGAAGGTCTGTTGCTCAAATTAGACTTAAATTTGAATTTTCTCTTAGCACAGTTTGACTAGAAAGAACTGACTTGGTTAGAATTACAACAGGTGAGCTAATTTACTGTTAAAGTCCTTCTCACAGTCACAATCGAGGTAGCATTAGCCAACAGTTTACCAATTAGACACTCTCATCTTTTTTCTAGAAAATAGAAATAGAAAACATCTAAACACAACTATGAATGCTCATATTGATCATAGGCTCCTGAAAATGTGTTTAAATTAGTTTTCTGTCTCTTTTACACCATTTTAAAACATAGCTGGCAGTGTGTATTTTGTCGTCATGTTAACTTCTAAATATTCCACCATAGTCAGACATGCAGTACACCCCCAGCATGTCACTGCACAGTAGAGTTTAGCGATATCCAAGTCTCACGATATGATATTGCGACAGTATGAACCTCATGGTATTTATTGCAATATCGTGGGAAAGCTCACGATATGGTGGGGAGGCTCATGATTAGAGATGTAACAATATCCAAATATCTCGGTACGATATTTTCAGGATTTACATCTCACGGTATAATATTTATTGCGATATTTTGTGGAGACTAACAAAAGAGTGAATATGATACTTTTTCTTCCATAAAATGCCTTGACAAGACTTAATCCAAAGAACTAAAACTTAAAAGTGTTTAGAACTGTTATTTCTTTTTTTTTTAGCTATTGCTGCACCATAACTCTTAATTTAAGCAAAGAGACTTGTAATTCGATATATTGTGATCCATGATATTACTGTTAGAAGTTTGACGATACGAAATCACAATATTTTGGTTATTGTTACATCCCTACTGCACAGTCAAATCAAGATGAATAAATTGGAATATATTTTATTGCCAATGTCAGTTAATAAAATTCACAACTAGAAATTTACTTCAGCAGTACTGTACTTGTGTCTGATATGCACTTATAATCTATTAAACCAGTCTATCATTGTGTTCTCATTTGAACATTTAGATCTCAAATAAAATAAGAAAATCTGCATTAGAAAACTGCATTGCCCAGTGGGAGCTGTTGTCTCTGTAAACATCATCACAAAAAAGAGCCGTGCACCTCCGATGGATAGTTGCACATCACGCTCATTTGTATATACTGGTGGCAATATGACATCTTTAAAATAAGCAATTAAAGACTGCTCAGATAGGCACAAATCACCCCAAATACAAAGTTCAGTATGCCCCATAGATAAATGGACATAGCTAACCCATTTGAAGCTGCGTTTCAAATAGAAAGTGTTCACAGAGACTCTTCTAGCTCCCTCAACTCTGTTTCCAATTGAAATTACATTGGAAAATTGTCACCCCGTGTCTCTGTTACTGCTGCTGTGAGCCTCATCATTTTGGTCTTAAAATGTTCATATTAATTCGCTCTATGATCCTGGTGTTTTTATTTCACTATTTTGTAAGGAAATAAATTCCTATTTCTAATATGGACCTGCAAGCATTGTGAGCTTCATGTGGCTGGATCCGAATGCTGTGACGTCACACTTCCTTAGCCCACTTTATATTCTGCCCAAATTCAGCAGAATATCACCAAACCTGAATTAGGAACAATAATGGAAAGAAAGTCTGAGTCAGAAGGAGAATGAGAGAGAGCGGAGATGAGTCAAGGGAGAGAAGAGAGACAGGATAGACAGAAACAGAAAGATGGAAAGAGAGAGGGAGGGAGAGAAAGGACTGATAAGAATGGAGAACAACAACAACAACCTTGACCTCAAGTTGAATCATATTGTATACCTTGTTGTCATGATACAAAAATATCAAACTCTATTTTAAACTAAGGCAAATGCTTGATGCTTGATATCCATTTAAATACCTCATGATAAGGAAATAAACACATGTTTAGTCAATATAATGTGATTTTCAATTTTCAACACATAACAGTGGTTTCTTCAATATTACTATGTGGTGTTATCTATCACCCCAACCATGGATCAAATTCTAAAACTATTCAGGAATGCTCCTATTATTTTTCCTGTACTGATATTTGTAAAATTAGTATCTAGTTTCTACAATAGTTTTAGTATTTTCTGGCGAACACCAATACTTACATATCAGTGTTGATACTCTATAGTTTCCTGTCATGTAAAACTAAATCCCAGTCCCAATCATTTTGAATAAAGTTACATCGCTCTCACCTTAGATTAACAGAATTTAGTGCTTCGCTCATTGATTCTGCAGAAATCCGTAATGTCATTCAGACCCATTTTTTCTCTCTTTTTTTTCTTGTAAGCAGCCTTATTTGTTTTGACATGGACAGATCATGCATGTCCCTGAATGGCCTGTCAATCACGTGCATCTAAACTCAGGGACATTCGAGGGTGACCAGATTCACGTCTTTGTAAAGTATCGGAAAAGTGTGTGTTCTCAAGGAACTGCAAAAGGACTTTTGTTGTGATAATCCAAATCTGAAAAAAAGGTTTCATATTTACGTAATTATAAAATTTATAATAATAATCACATGAGTTCCTGTGATTAATCATGATTAATCACGTTATATGGAAAACCAGTTAATGAATTCAAAAGTAGCATATAGCACACTTTTATTGGAAATGTAAACGAAAGTGCCACATCTGTTGTGCAAACAGCATTTCTTTATACAGTAGCAGGGCACTAGTCTGTAAAGTCCATGTCCAGTTCAGTCCAGTTCAATCTTTCAGTGTTACAAATGACTTTGGCTGTGTCAACAGCGCTGTCTGGAAGAACTTGAAAATGGACATGAAAATGAAAATGGACATGTAAAAGTTCTTTACCTTCCTCCATGTTTGTTTATCTCACTTTCTTTCTCGGTGTTTACTGTGAGCACTGCAACAGTAACCAATTCTAGGCTCGCTGATGATGGACTTTTTCGAAGTAAAAGCCAGTGAGCAACAGATGTTTACAATAAAAGAATAAATAAAAACTGCATTAACGGTGGAAAAATAGTTGTCACGATAATTAATTAATTAGTTAACGCAAAATTAATGTGTTAACGTGCCTGGCCTTAATTATCTTACAGAATTGCTTTGTCGCTGAAACATTGTAGAATATTTTTATCCCTCATGAGATGTCTCATTGTCAAAATGTAGAATTTTAATATTATTGGTAGTCATAGTTAGGCCAGTGCACAGACTTTGTAACATTTCTAGTGGAGGGTCAGCCACATGAGAGCGTCAGCCATGTCTCTGTTGAGATGTTATATTATTACCTGAATGTTCCACAATAGGGCTTTTGTTTATTTTCATGGAGACAAAAAGATGTTGCTGCCACTTACAGGCTGGACCTTAGGGCTTTAATTATATGACAAATTTGGCAACACCACTTGTACTTGATTGAACACTTTTAGCCATGTAACTGTACTTTAATTTGAAATTGTCAGTAGTCTTCCACCACTGCCCCCAAATGACAAAACTCATTCATTTTACTCCATCATTTTCAGTTGTGGTTTCTTTAAACCTTCCTGCTTTTCAGTCCTGGTTTAGTCCTAATTTACCCTTGTTTAGTCTTAATTTTGTCCTGGTTTAGTTTGGCCCTGGTTTAGTCCTGGATTAGTCCTGGTTCAGCCATGGTTCAGCCCTGGCTCAGTCCTGGCTCAGTTCTTGTTTAGTCTTGGTCCAGTCCTGGTTCAATTCTGTTTAAGTTCTGCTTTAGCCCTTGTTTTAGTCCTAGCAGGCATATAGTCCACTCCTTGTTTAGTCCTGTTTAGTCCTGATTGAGTCTAGGAGTATTCCTGGTTTAACACACAGCTCATAGAGACACGTGCAGTAGCTTCAGTAGCTTCATGGCCTCTTCAGGTTAAGTCTAAACTTAGCGCAGGTCTAAAATTCACATGTGTTCAGCCAGGAAATGTTCTCATGCTTCTCCTATACTCTCTACTCCACATGGCAATGCTAGAAAGAGGCAAGGCTTCTACAATCCAATAAAACGAAGATGACAGGTGATACTCTCTTTGAAACGTCAAACATTTTAATTTCAACTGTAATAAAAAAAAAAAAAAACAACAGTCAGAAGTTAGTGGGATAAACTTACTTCAAAGTTAATATTACTCAAGTACAATCTAGCAGTGCAAGAAATTATTTGAGTGAAAAAGTAAGTAAGTAATTGTGAGAAGATGTAATTTGATTTATAATATGATTAAGTTAATATCATTTAAATTAGGTGAGGAATTAGAAAAAGTGTATTTTAGAAAACTTCAGCAGCTTGTAGTTGGCTCTTTGCTGCCCTTGTGTGGTGCTTGACAACAACTGCAGACAGGGAGAACTAATACTAAAATATAATGAATAAACATGTTCTCAAGCACACTTCTCCCAGAGAACAGACTAATAATAAAGGATTACCTAAACAAATGTTTAAATTAATCAAAGCACATCTCCAGGTATGTTTTTGATGAGGTAACAACATTAAAACATCGCTTAAAGCTCATAAGAGTCCATTTTGTGAAATATAGGACTTTTTAATGTAAATTTTACTTTGATCTTTATCTCTTTTATTTTTTCAGTTTGCTTAATACGCACAAAGTTTGAAGGTTCAATCCGCACTTCTTATGGTGCTATATCCCTCCTGTATCTGTGTACACTGCATACACATACCAGTGTATGGGTCAAGGTAAAGCATTTGGGCACCCATAAATACAGGGCCATGTGTTTGTCAGACATAAGGCAGAACATTTTTATTTACCTAACGTGTGATGCCTGACTGTCAATGTCACACAGCTTTATGTGTGCGTTTCTGTTCCTCACAGCTGCCAAACATGTTTGGAAACATCCGCTCCACGATTCTCTCTCTGATGATTGGTTCCTATGCTTCATCTGCCGTCACTTTCCCCGGAGTCAAGGTAAAGCCACAGTCCTATGAATTAGGTTTGTCTTAGTGATTCACAGTATTGCATTACATCAAAATACTGGACCAGTATTTAGCCAATAGTCAACAACATTACTCCACTACAATAAGAATTCTACTAGTATCATTTATAATCATAATAATAATAATGCTTTAGTTTTGTATAGCGCTTTTCCAGACACTTAAAATTGCTTTAAAATCTGCTGCCTTATTCATTCACTCCTTACACAGTGGTGGTAAGATTTCATTGCAGCCACAGCTGCTCTGGAGAAGACTAGCAGAGGTGAGGCCGCCAATCTGTGCCTTCGGCCCCCCCCAACCATCACTAACATTCACGCACACACTACTTCCATACTAGGTAATGTGAATCAGTTTTTTGTTGTGCTTTTAACAATAGGTGGGACTGCAGGATACTATAGTAGTAGTATCAAAAAGTGTTCATTCATTTGTTTATGAGGGACAATATGCATAAAGTATTCAAAAATAACAAACGAACAGCGATTACATTTTGTTTACATTTTCCTATTATTATTATTATTATTATTATTATTATTATTTTGAGAACAAAAACTAAGAAAATCCAACTGCCATGGCAAGCCATGACAGTCCAAATAAGAATCTTGCTTGTGTGACATTCCACAACTTTGTCTGTGAGAGTGAAACAGGTGCAGAATCTGGTCATTCAATAGTTGACGCACTTGTGGACGGATACAAACAGAGAAGCAGAAGACTCTAACTGTTAACACTTTTAGGTGAGCACTACACATACTTGTGACTTATTATCAAGATTATTGATAATAACAAACTTAACACAATGGGAAGAAGAAAGAACCAGAAAAGATCTAGCATTATGGTAAGAGTCATACACCCAAACAGCTTGTTGAAGCTGCTATAGGCCATTGCCCTGAAACACTGGAGGAAGGGCCTCAAAGAAGTTTTAGATTCTTTGCAGGTTCCTCAATCTGAAATCTACGTTTGTTCTGTCACAGTCGAGAAGACAGAGTAGGATAGCACGGCCATGGCAAGATCCTAAAAGCAGGAGAAAAAATTATAGAAAGGGTGGGAATCGCCACCCACCAGAGAGAGGTATACCACAAATCAACCAGGCACAGACTGAAACAACAGAGGCTTCACAGGAGAAACCAAAGCCAAACCAAGTTTGTGCAAGCTCCTGTACCCACAGAAAAAGCCTGAGTCAGGAAAATTTTAAAAACATGGGAGGACAGTCCATCCAGGCAGGTTGCTGAGGAGGGTACAAATGGTGGATAAAATTGGTGGAAACCTCCTCACCTAGTTGAGGGGTATCCTTAGAGCCCACTGAAAGAACAGAGGCCACTAAGACATCTTCCAAGAAAGTCAGGTGACTGCAAGACTCCAGCAGAACGCAGTGAAGACAAACCACCTCCAAAGCATGTGGAATGGAAACCACCAAGACATCTTCCCACTGTTCACACCCCTCACATAACCCAGGTCCCAACGCTAAAGAATGGGCCTGAGATTCTTGCCACCCACCTGATTGAGAAAGAACAGACCAACCAAAGAACACCAAAGATTGTACAGATGTCATTGCAGTGACAGAAATGTCTGCAAAGAAAAACTGGGGCAGGAACAGTAAACAATCTTTATGTTCACAAGCTCTACTAATCCATCAAGTGTCCTACAACACCAGCCCCAATGTGGTCAAAGAAGAACCAGCAAAACTGACAACATCTGAGCCAGAAGACACCAAACCACGTGTTCACTTCTGTGGATGGTTCAAGCGTGGATTGCACTTTTGTTTCGATGGCGAACCTGAAGACGATGTAATTTACCTCAATTACATTCACCCCAGGACCCCTCATTCCCCCTTCCCTCTTTCCACCTTCTCCCCTTCCCCCCAAGAAAAAAAAAATCCCCTCCTATCTCAAATATTCGGCATCAGACCCCCAAACACCTAAACATTCCTGATCTCCAGTAGGCAGCTTATAGTCAGTTCTGAATAGCAGAGGGAAAAATATTATTGACTCAGGTGAACTATACAATTGTCAATTAAACAATGAAATATAGTCCATTTGGGTGTTCAGTAGAGATTTATTGCACTAACTGGCTTTTCACAAAACTGTCTATACTCATTCCCCGTTAGAATTGGCCTGTACCAACAACAACATTTTTTTTTAAATTGAGTTTTTAGGGTTAGTAGACCCTAAAGTACAATAGAATCTTGTGTCTGTGTTTTAGATTATAGACAAATAGCTGTATGATTCTGGGAAAATAAAACAGTAAACGGCGCTTCACAAATGTTCAAAAATGAACCTTTAAAATGTCTTGGCTGAGTTTCAAGTATCTCACAAGAACCAGAAAAGTACAGAAACGTGACTTTTATTCCCTCATTTGGGAGATTACTGTATATGTTTCTTTCTCGTTTTATCCATGTATTAATATATTCTCCACTTGTATCTTGTATCTTCTTGGAAATCGTCCAGGGGTTTGTTTCCCAACTCAGCCTGACACATTAAAGCTCCAGGTTCTGCATATCTAAAATCTATAGGGACTTTATATTACATTATCTTTAAACACACTTCTCTATCTCCCCCCCTCCCTCTGTCTCCTTCTCTCTCTCTCACACACACACTCACATATTCTCACTCTCTCTCTGTCTCTTTCTTCTTCTGTCTCACTCTCTCTCCCCCTTCCTCTTTCTCTCTCCTTCACACACACTCTCTCTTTCTCTCGCACAGACGCTCTTTCTGTCTCTCACACACATACACAGTCACTCACTCTCTCTCCCCCTCCCTCTCGATGATTTTCTGTTTCTCACCTTCCCTTCTCTTCTCCGTAGCTGATCTACGATGCGGGTGTGTCGTTCAGGGTCATCATGTGGTCCTGGTCTGGTCTCGCCTGTTTTGTCTTCATCAACTGTTTCCTTAACTGGCCCCTGGAGTCCTTCCCTGCACCAGAGGATATAAGATACACGTTAGTATTTTATTCACAAGAGGTTATGTTTACACCTTTTATGTTCACATGACACATTTTCCATCACTGGAATTCCCGTGGATGGGTTTGATTCCTGGAGCTTGTCTCATCTGATGATGCTTTGATTAATTATCTCTTTGTGTTATATTCTAGATTCAGAACATAGGTTTTACTAACATACATTTTAGTATTTTCGAAGTTGTTTCTTCATGTCTTTTGTTACTGGTTTGTTACTGTTTGCAGTAAGAAGGTGAAGATGAGCAGCGTTCTCACGAAGGACGTTAAAACCGGAGACATGCACTTCACTCCAGTCACTACGTTTGAGGAAATTGTGGGCTCCAGACAGGAACAGGACCATTCAGACTCACAGAGCACCCCAAAGAGTAAGATACACTTTATTTACAGGTGTATTAGCTACTAACCACATCCACATAAATTTAATTGACTTTTAAAGATCCTATAATGCTGTCTGCATCTAATTACAAAGTCTTTCATCCCCATAAACCAAGATCCACTGCTAGTTGGTAGCAGTGGGGTGCCCGCTCTGGCCTCTCCAAGTTGTGAAACATGCTCATAAACTCATTGCGGTGAATAACTTGGATGCAAAGAAAGTGGTAGGAAAGTGAGTGAAAAAATTAGGAGGAGCTCAGAGTAAAGTCGCTGTTAACTAAGGAGACCCTAGGGAATAGTTTAATGCTTTTTAAATTCCCCAAAAGATCTGATTTGGGGAAAAAATCTAAGTTGGGCCTCAAGACTTGCAGTGTGAAAGTAGCCAAAACTATGAATGAAGACATATGGCATGTAGGAAACAGAAAAAAATAACTAAATATAAAAGTTTGATCTTTTACATTCTTCAACATATTCTTTACTCTCAACTCTCTGTTGTTGTTGTTGTTGTTGTTATTACATATTCTTTATTGTGATTGTCCAGATGCTGTTCCCCTGTGCCGCTCGGTCTGCTCTCCCATCTTCCTTTGGAGCTTGATCACGATGGCCATGACTCAGCTCAGGCTCATCTTCTTTATGGGCGCCATGAACAAGATGTTGGAGTTTCTTGTCACCCATGGAGACTGTATGACACTTTAAGAGTTGATACCACTATAATGTTGTGTATATTAGAACTTTCAGTAATAGTGAAATACTTTATTTTATGTGGTGTTTTTTGGTTTTGTTTTTTAGCCTCAGAACATGTACTGAACGAGGCAGAGACTCAAGGTATGTTTATGGTATTCCACTTATATATTTTATTTTGTATTTTTCAATTATTACATATTCCTAGGTTGTACATTTTTGTTGTATCAAAGAAGTTTCTAATAGTTCCAGGGCTATTGTTAGACCTTGATAATGGATCCACTTAAATTAAACATGTGTCCCTCTGCTGCCCTCTTGTGGCTGTTTGCTCTTGTTACAGTTGGTTTCTACTCGTCTGTGTTCGGTTCCATGCAGCTGCTGTGCCTGGTCACGTGTCCAATGATTGGGTACATCATGGACTGGAGGATGAAGGAGTGTGAGGAGGAGAAAGCAACTCCAGAAACTCTGAAGAGGTAAAAACTTGTGTGTCAAAAATCAAGGTTTATTGTGATTGTTAGTACATTGACAATAGTACAACTGTTATTATGTACTTTGATTTATAATGCCCTTCCAGTCACAAAATCCAGTCACTCCTCAGACTATGTAAGATGTTTCTATAAATGTTGTGGCACACTCATACATTATGCTGTGAGCTGGGGTCTAACCACTGACCTTCTGGTTATAAGATGACTGCTCTACCACCTGAGCCATGTTTCCTGTTGGGTTGTCTGCTAACTGGTTTAATTCTGACTCAGTCCTGGGTAAGATCATATTTTAAATTGTAGCATTAGTAGTTAGCAGTATTAGTCTTAGAAGTAGTAGTAATAACAGTAGTTTTTGTTCTGTTAGTAGCAGCAGCATAAGTTGTTGCTGTTGTAGGAGTATTAGTTTTTACTAATAATAGTAGCCATAGTAGGTAGAAAAGCAAAAGCAGTATAGTTAGAGTGGTTGTAGTAATAAGTACTAGTGGTAGTTATTGTTGTTGGAGTTGTATTAGTTAGTTGTAGTAAAAGTAGTAGTTGTAGTTCCAGCAGTAGCGTGTACTTTCTCTCCATGCAGACTCCACAGTAATTCATTCTCCATTCAAATCAGTGGTTGAGGAATTTGAATTTAAGTCTGAGGTCAAAGGGCATCAGTTGTTTAAGGTAACATAAAAAACACATCACAACATCAATTACTAAATACTAAACTAATATAATTGTTGTTCTAGCCAATCAAATCCTCCAAAACGTGACAGAAAGATCCAGAAACTGACCAATTCCATAAGAGCATTCATCTTTACAAACCTCCTCCTTGTCATGTTCGGGGTCGTTTCGCTCATCGATAATCTGCCCATTCAGGTGAGAAAACACTGAAAGCTACATTATGTCACTTTTCTAGCAGAGGGTCCACCACCTCCTTATCTCCACGGAAATATTCCACATTATAGCTTTTAACTTATCTACAGTATCAACTGACAACATTATAACTTTGGGGTTGAATAATGGTACCACTTTCTGAAGTTATTATGACAATATATTTTCACACTTTTGTTCATTTATATGAACAAAAGTGTGTGGAATGACAGACCCAGTAATTACAGAGATATTAACCATAAACCAGGACAACAAACTATTGCATGTCCGTGGAGACAGCAGTTGGCAGACCACAGAAGTTCCACAGTGCACCTTTTAAATCCAGTTAACATAGACAGTGTTTCCTGAGTAAAATAATTGATTTTCTTGTTGGTCAGATGGTGTCATTCGTTCTGCATACTGTGGTCAGAGGATTCATCCACTCGTGCTGTGGAGGCCTCTATGCTGCAGTGTGAGTAAAACCACCAAAACTTTGCTTGACCTGTCAGTCCCTTCCACAGTCTGTTAGAATCCAGAAGAGTCTGGAATCATACCACAGAGCATGAAAAATCTCTGTCCTAACGGTCCAACCACAGCCACTAATTTGTTGCACATGTCTCTTAAATGTGGATGACAAAAATTCTCCTATGATTAAGAATAAATATGTAACTTCTTTTACCTGAGATAAGAGTTTGGTGCTTAAGTTGTTAATTCTGTTAAAGTACTTTGTGCTATGGTTCGCCCTTTTTCTCATTCTGTTTTCTGATTGGATAATCATCTTGATAACCAAAACACCAAATTATAACATAAATTACTTGGCCATCATGTCCATTGGTTTTGTAATGAAGAATAAATCATAATTACGATCAGTAAATGCTGTATTTGATTTGAACATTTTTACCTTGTATCTAGGGACACAAATAGGTCATGTTTTTGGAATAAAAATCTTACACATGGTTGCTTTAAGCTGATATGAATACTACATATTATATTGGAAAAGTCTTCATTTGCACTGTTAAACTTTTCGTATACAGTATTATCACAAAATACTGTATTACAACATCTACATTTAGGGAAGTCAAGATTAACTGGCAAATCAATAATTAGTTTACCCACATTAGACTAGTAAAAGGTAAAAGGTACATAGCTATAAACTTGAACACTACCACTATATGACATCACAAGGTGCAACAGAGCATTTTGAGGTTATTCAAACATGTGTGAATGAAACAGAATACAGCTCTAGGTATGTTTTTCAGGAGGTAACAACATTCTAACATGGCTTACAGCTCACAAGAGTCAATGTTGTGTAATATTGTTCCTTTAACTAGAATCAAATGTAATCAGTGTTGTTTATATCACATTTTGGTATCATTTATAAAATTGAATATAGGCGGTAATACATAACATGAGCAATGTTAACACATCAGTGTGAATTAAAGATTTCACTGTTGTTTAGTCATGGTGAAAATGATCATGAATAATTCTAATGCAATAACATCTCTATTGACATGTCTCTCTGTGTTTGTCATGTCCACAGATATCCAGCCAACCACTTTGGGACTCTGACAGGGATGCAGTCCATGATCAGTGCAGCGTTTGCTCTTTTGCAGCAGCCTTTGTTCATCCTGATGTTGGGCACGCTCAGAGGAGATCCATACTGGGTAAAATCATAGTATATGTCTATGGGTAAAATATGATACACAGAGAGAAAGTACTGTGTCTCTGCTAATGGTACAGCCCTAGTCAAATAAGCACTCACTTTTCTGTCGATGCAATGACACAATGCACAAGCATGTGATACCATATGTCTAAGTCACAGATTTGTTTATGCTCTGAAACAGTTACCATGTATTATATTGGAAAAGTCCTTATTTACACTGTGAAACTTTTAATATATAATATTATCACAAAATACAACATAAAACATTAGCTATCACAATAATAAGGATTATTTAAATGTATTGTTGTAGATTTATTCACAAATAGCTCTGTAAAATAGTGTGGGAATATTTTAGATTAGTTTATTTATTTAATGAGACAGGGACACCACAGACAGTACATTAACCTTAACAGGAGAGATGCATTGTATCCAGGTTGTAGCACAAGTGCTAATTTCCACCTGTTGTGGGCAGGCTGATGTTATAGTCCTTAAAATTAAACATTCAAAGAAATGGCTTTACAATGACCAGATCATCACAAAAAGGACTGTATCATTCACATTAAGTTCTCAGCAGAGAACATTCTCTCCACAGCACACACACACACACACACACACAAGTCCACATTATAGGAGCAGTGTTTCAAAAACAGGTTGGTTGTGGTTCATTGCAGTGACTTGCCTCTTTTTTCTCTTTATAGATAAATTTTGCCCTGCTCATTTTCTCATTGGCCGGGTTCCTGTTACCGGGATACCTCTTCTACCACAAACGAAATCTCATCAAGTCCAAAATGCAGTGCGATTCAAATCTCTTCAGCCAATCAGAGCAAGAAAACAACCCTTTCCACCAATCAGAAAACAGCAAAGTCCGAGCCAATGGCCACACTGCTAATGGAGATGTGATTTAGGACTGTAATGTTTTGGGGGTTTTTTTCTTTTTTCTATTGAGTAAATATTGAGTTTATGAATGACTTACAGGTGGTTGGTGAGGAGTTAGTCTTGACCAACTGGTTTTAAAAGCAAAGACAAATGCTGCCTTGGGACAAATACGGGCTACCTTTTGTTTTGACAAAATAGTATTACACAAGTTAGGGATGTAACAGTATACATTTCTCACACCACTGCAATATCTTGTGAAGGCTTACAGTATTACAAAGTCCAGGACACATATTATGCTGAATGTATTTGTTGGGCTTTTAAACATATTATGACAGTGTTCCTTCATCAAAAACATATCTGGAGTTGTATTTAGCTTCATTCGTGCTGGTTTCAGTAATTTGCATAAAAAGTCCTTGGCCTCACAACCTCAGAGAATTTGTGGTTTAAATTTTTCCAAGATTGTTGCATCACAGTTAGAAACCCTGTGCAGTTTTGAAGTCTATAAAATAATGGTCAGTACATGGTTTTATTATCTTTAGTGAATTACCAAAGCAGAGATACTCAAAAGCATGTTTAAAGGCCATCGGTACAAATGATGCATAATATATGTTCTTTAACAAACGTTTTAAGGTGCACTCTGTAACTTTTTGGGGTATCCGCCACCTGCAGGTTATCATGGAGTTATATTGCTTTTTCTCGAATGTTTGACTGTATGGCAGTTATTTAGCTTACACTGATTCAATTATAGGAAGATTACTGTTGAAAAATACATTCAGTGAAACGTTCTCACTGTCCGCATGCTTGCCTCTGCAAAGATCTGACCTGTAACTTGGCGTCACCTTGTCTCAAAGCAGGTGAAACCCTCCACCAGAAAAGTTACATAGTACACCTTTAAGCAATAAAAGGTTCATGATCAACAGAGTAGTCTGAGTAGTAGCAGTATTAGTATAAGTATTAGTATAAGTATTAGTATAAGTATTAGTATTAGTATTAGTATTAGTATAAGTAGCTATCCATGGGTTTCAGACTGAAGACTGTAGGAGGAGTGTAGCCATATCGATTAACAATTTAAAATAAAATATTGACTATTGAATGGTGAAAAGCCCTCAAAAAGCCATAAACAGAAGCATCTTAGTAGTAAATGTAGATCCTATATATATAACACATACAGGACTAATGAAAAATCTCTTGGGGTCTAATAACATAGATTTGCAGACAAAGGTAGAAGTTTAGTCTTTTTTACTAAGTGTCTCTCAGCAAAGTCATAAGGAGTTCAAAACAAGAAATAACAAGTTATAACATTCACTGTGAACTCTCTCCCAGCAGCTTTGAGCTTTTTCTATAAATATTGTTTAAAAGAAAGTTCATGTTCAGGTTGGTGCTTTCCTGGAGAACAGAAACAGGTTGAGTGAGACTGTGCAGGCACAGACTTTATCAATGTAATTGTGTAATTTATGATTCAAACTTTAAAACACATTTGGACCTTTCTTTATATCACTACAGTACACTCAGTCTGGTCACCACACCCTCTATCGCATCTTGAGACAGAGCCAAACATGATCATGCAATCAGAGTTTTTTTTTTTTTGTTTTTTTTTGTGAAACAAAGGAGTTCATTGGTCAGCCAACTTTGACAAATACAATTTCAAATTTCTTTCACCTCAGATTGAGAGTTTAGTGTTTTGATCACTGGTCAGGTCCATCTGACCTAAGGAAGATTCATCGGTGACCAGACTCACAGCTTCGAAAAGTGTGTATTCAGGACCCCAGGCGACGGTTTTGATAGATAAGGGTCCATGCACTTAGACTCAGTTAAGAGACATGTCATTGGTGCTCATACCATCACTGATCTCAATTGTATTGAGACAAAATCACATGTTCCATACATATACGGTCTATATTATGCACAGGTGGAGAGAGTTTCTACATTCATAAGCCATGGTTCAGGAATGTTCACATGCTGTGACTTTATTGTTATATGTTATTATATTTTGTCCATGTGTTATGTGTTGTTACGTGTTATTATGTGTTGTTATTACATTTTGTGCATGTGTTACGTGCTATTGTTATCCGTTGTTGTCACATGTTGTGCATGTTGTTACATGTGATTGTTACATGTTTTTGTTGTTTGCAATTGTTGCGTGCAGTTGAGTGTTGGTGTGATGCTGTAAATAAAGAAGTTGTAGCTTGCAGATTCTTGCACTTTGATGATTTATTTTGTATTATTATACTGTAATACTACAAGTGGGAGTAGTATGTAAGTAGTTTGTAAGTCACTTTTTGTGGTGGCTATTTATTTCTCAAATAATATGTTTGTGTAAATTATGTTTATGCATCTTGAGTACATACAATGTGCTAAAAAAAGTCTCATGATAAGATGTGCCTTATATTCAGTTTTAATGGTGATATTAAAGGTTTCTGTGTTGTATGACTGAAATTTAAATTAAAAACAAGTGAAAATCTCCATTAATTTTTTTTTTTTTTTTTTTTTTTTTTTTGAGAATTTTGAAAACAAAGAGGTTGAACAGCTTTGTCCATCCCTCTGTATTTGGGTCATCCATAAAATAATCTATTGTTGAGTGGAGATTGCCTCTTTAGCTTGTGTGGTGCCAGCTGCAGAGTGCACACTGTGTCGTTAGCCTGCTGTATTTGTGTGTGGGCTTTTTGTTTGTGCTGCAGAGGATGAAGAGTTGATTGAGTGGTTTAACCCTTTGACCACTGCCACAATTTTAATCTTCCCTTTTGAGTCAGTTGGGCAGCAGAGGGTGAATGACAGTAGACATTGTTTTCAGACATTTACAGTAGGTTGTAGCTGTAAATAGCTAGAGTACTTTGTAGTATTGTAGTAGTATAAGTAGTAGACCTAGAAGCTGTATATTTTAATAGTTGCAATAATATGTTACAACAACAGTACCCTATGGAAACTAACAGTATTTTAAAGGTAGCATTTACTGTATTTATTTATTTGAGAGGGAATCAAACAAAAGTTTTATTACCAATGTCAGTGAACACAATTCACAAACTAGGATGATGCTTTGGCGGTATAGTGCAATATAAAACAATAAAAAATAATAATGGTAAAATATTAACTGATCAAATAGATGTAAGCATAAAAATAAATAGCATGTTTCATAAAGGCATCAGCTTTAGCAAAACAGTAGTAGTAGTAGTCAGTGCATGTTATATCAAGTCTATAGGGTAAGATATAAAGGATTCTTTAAATGACTGTAGCCCTGTTCTGAGCTGTTCAGAGCCAGCATACGTTAGTGTGTCGGTGGGTCGCATTAAGGATTAAAACCTCATGTCAGAAACAGCTTATGTGCAAGCCAATGCTTAGTAACAATAAATTATATTACCATCAGGGATTATCTTATTATCATATCAGTCAACAAGTGTAGACAAATATTTGGTCAGTTTTTAATATATTAATTATTATATATGAATTAGTTTTAGAATGAATATGGTACATTAAGTGGTAAATGGTCACATTTTTATATTGCACTTTTCCACCTTTAAGGCACTCAAAGCTCTTTAGATCAAGGAACCACTCACCCATTCACACACCCTTTCATACACCAGTGTATACACACATAAGGGCTAGGAGGGTAAGTGTATTGCCAACGACAGCATTTATATGTGGGAGCTGGAATTGCACCCCCAACCTGTGGTCAGGTCCAGCTGTCAGTGGACCTGACTGCTCAACCAGTCATGTTTATGATGAGAGTGGGATTCAAACACTCTACCAACTGTGCGACTCCAACCCAAATAGAATAAATAAATGCTGTCTTCAATATTATTATTTTATATGCTGGCTATTATTTGAATGTATTTATTTAATTCAGATGGACCCTTTTTCCAGAAGTGCGTGTTAAATAGTAATAAGTATAATCTTATTTGAATAATATCAGTCTTTATGTTTTTTGTATGTAAATATAGAAAATGTTATTAAAACATTTTAAAACACTATTTCCTGTAATTAAAACGCTTACCCATGAAAGGAGGGATAAAGAGCTTATTGACCAATCAGTTTCTTAAATTGATTGAATGACGTTTGCTTCGTCCAATCAGCTGCGTTCTAGGCTGCCGTAACTTGGAGGTTGCGCTATCCGAGTTTTGTTACTAGCAAATATGTCGGCGGCCTCTGGGATTCTCCTAACCACAGACACTACGGACACGGAAAGTACCTGGATGTCACGGGATTACAGACTTCTGCATTATTAGATCACCCGCAACACAGGGGATTTTAACAACAACAAAGATATGGCTGTTTAAATGGCTGGTGCTACCTGCGCTTGAAATGAAAATTAGCATTGGCGCTGTGTAGCTTGTGGAGAGGACCTTGGCACCGCTTCTTTCTGGTGGATTTCGGATGCGAGGCGTTGTCCCTTTACGCCTGAAGCAATCATCCTTTACCTGCGCGTCTCTATCGCTTTGTTTTTGGACACGGATGCACAGACACAAGGTAAAATGGATGTTAGCAATTAGCCAGAGCTAAGGATCTGATCACAGAAGCTAACGTTAAACCCCACACTGGAAAGTAAACCTTAAGTGTCATATTATACCACATTATACCATTTCTTAGCGTATGCAAGTACATTTAATAGTTTAAACTGTGTATTTTTATCTAACCTGTATTATATGCTTGTCAATATTAAGCGTAATGACATTTATCCAAGCGCATCTCTACTCACTACGCCCTATTTTTTGATCCGAGAACTTGTAATTAAACCTAAATTAATTATAGCAATTGCACTGGTTGATTTGGTTTACCCACCCACTTCCTTGTGTCCCCCACCCTGTGATGCCCAGTACATTGGCAAGATAGACACAAAATGCGTGTTGCAGCGATAACATTTGCTATCTTAAGCTATTTGGCACGGCATCCTATGAAAGTGCACGCGTAAATGCAATATTGTGAGTTACATTTTAAAAATAAACATGTTAATGTATATGAACATAATATGGAAAATGGTCATGTTTTATCTGCCACCAAGCTGTCAAACATAGCGCGTATCCAGCCTTTCATTTGGCATTAGCGTGTCATTCTATTTAATTCAGTTATTCCTTTTAAACTACCAAAGCATTTAAGGACAAGCCCTGGATTAAAACGAAAGTGCAAACACTCAATGGAGGGCGGAGGATGCCCTGTAGACTAGCAGCGGAAGAGTGGCTAATGCTCTTTCTTTACCCGGCGCTGGATGCACTGCAGCGGGCCAAACACACCCAAAGATACGGGGGAAGCTGCTGCCTTTTTCAATGGAGGGCTATTGTGTCTGGGGATTTGAGCATTTGTAGATTACAATGCACACTCATAAGACAGTAAATTATCAATATTGGTATGAAACATTTCTAAATACATAAGTTTGTTACATTTAATTTTTGTTGGCTATGTAAGGGGATAGTCGTTTTGTCCATTTTGCATAATTCTAGTACTAGCATATATGAAGAGGACAGCTACATGCATTAAAAGAGGAACAAGATTTTTTGGACAATTTGTTCTCAATATAGTGTGGTTTCATCACTCAGTATTGTCATTGTAAGATATTGTTTGACTATAGCCACAAAAGTGCTATACCAATTTAACAATAGACTAAACTGTTAAGTGTCTATTTTTTTTATTAAAAATCTTATAGCACTAACAAATCAGTCACAGTATATTTTTAATATGCTCCTAAAATGTTCCACAATATAACCTTACTTTCTTACATGTGCTTTTATTGCCTAAAACAACTGTACTTGGGTAATGTGTAGTGCCATACTGTGGAACATCTCCATGCAGACAAGTTAGTGCATCTTGAATTATTTTTTATTTGATGTGTAATCTGTAGCTTACAATTGTTTGTTTCCCACTAAGCGAAGACATGTTGAAGACAAAATGATTAATTTGAACACTGAATAAAATTGATTTCACAAACAAATTACTCTTGCATCTTATAGCATAAAAAGGGACAACTGTGCTGTTTAAACTACATTAAGTTACATTTTCCTCAAACTTGTAATAAGCAAAATTAATCAAATATGGATTGTGCCATCATATTGTCTACAGTCTGTGGGAAATACTGGAACTGCACAGTAATAACAGTACTTAACTTTTTATTATGAAGTACATAACTGTAAATGTCTGTTAACTAGGTGTGTGACAAAATCTGTCTTTTAGTAGCTTGCCCTGCAGTTGTTTCCATTGCTGTGGATTGGAGCCTATCCCAGCAAACATGAGAATCAAAAGGAGGAAGAATCTATTTGACCAGACAAACATCACATGATCATTTTCAGATGTTAGGGCCTAAGGGTTTAGCAACACCAGGAGCGGAACATGTCATAATGTGTGGCAATAACCAACTACTATAGCTGTAATGTAATGATTCAACTGTCAGTTAATAGTGTAGAATGTTCAGGTTTTTGGAGATTTAAATTCAGGTTAATAATTCAGGTTGTAATTTTTTTCATAATGTGATCATTTCTTTTCTCTCTCTTTTTTTTAAGGTCTAACCATTCCTTCTTCAGACTGGATATCAATTGGATACACGGACTGCAGACTACCATCACCTGCTAAAATCCTGCTTTACAGTTCCCTCTGAAAAGTCTGGATTAAAATCCACAAATCAAGACAAACTTTTTTTTAAATTTAAGTTGTTTATCACTTATGAACTTTGGGACTTTCCTCCAGAGAGATGGACTCTTAAGGGACCGCTGTGGCTGGGTGTTATCCAAGCCTGAGTGCTCCGACCTGGGCAGTAAAACCAAGACTTTCCCTGGAGGGAAATATGGAGAGAAATGTAGCTCAGTGGCTAATGTAAATAGCATTTGCCACTACACATAGACGGCTAACACTGAAACAAGTTGTGAGCCATTTGAACTTTCTACGAACTTCAAACTTGATCTTGAAATATTTATTATTTACATGGACACTAATGGATTTTCTCACAGATGTTTTGGAAAATGAAGGCACCACTATCATCTACTGCTGTTTGCACTGTCAAAACAAGCACATTATTTTGGAGGGTGGAGGAGAGGTGGTGTAAGCAATCCACCTGCAAAGTATAGGCATGTCTCCTCGCAGGAAAACTAGGCTGCTCCACTGGCCCGTTCAAAGACTGCTGTTTTTAATACGAATTCGGGACTGCAAAAGTTGTACCGATATTTTCAACTAAGGACTTATTTTTTATTATTTTGCCACATATATTCACTGCTGAAGGCTGCATTTAAACAGAAAAAAATATTAATTTGTTATAAATTTGTTTTGCTACTTTCAACTTACTTTTTTGTGTTTTTGCTGCTTGTTCATTCCCCATGAAGTGTGCAATACAATAAGACCATTAACATCCCGTAATTTGAAAAATACTTGCCGAAAGGGTTATTTTTATTTTTTTATTAGATCTTTACAAATTAACTTCAACTAAGATAATTGACTAAGCAATTATTCTTGAACCTTATCTTGCTTTCATATCAGTTCCTTGCCACACCCGAGTTTCAAAGCGGTAGTAACTTGTCAAGCCACTTTTAAACAGTTTTAAGCAAGAAAAACGTCACCAACGTCTTTAAATTGTGTAACTACTACTCTATACTCAGTTTTATTTGTAATACTTTTAGGATCAGTTTATATCCTTTTTGGCACATTTCCTTGACAACCTCCAAATTTAGCAGTGCTGTTTGCCACTCATAACTATATTTTTGTTCTTATTTGTATATTGTTTTCAAAATACCACCAACACATTGTAGTTTTAGGCAAGCCAACTTTTAAACATTTTTTTCACTTCATATTTTTTGTACACATTTTGTGTACAGTCTTTCCATTGGCCTAGTTTTTATTTTTATATTTTTTCTTTTGCATTTGCAAAACCCATTTGTGAACATTCTTTCATTATTTGTAGCAGCAATATATTATTATCATTTTATTATTTTAATTTTTTTTATTACCAATCATATTTTTCTTCCATTTTGTATTGGATGAGAATTTTTCAAATTTTTTGCCCCAATTCCCTGCAGCCATGTTTGCCCCTCACCTGTTTTGTTGTGAATGACATCTAGCCCACCACCATAGCTCCAGCCCCCTCCCAGGTTCAGTGAGGACGTGATGCCCGGAGGAGGCAGTAGTAAAGGGGGGCGTGGTCCGTCCTCCTCCCCCCTTCCTCACACTGGAGTCCCAGCGCCCAGACCCCTCCGACCCTCGCGCTATGTCCCTGTCTCTGCGGCAACATTCTTCCTAGTCGGATCCACCACACTGTTCTTCTGCTTCACGTAAGTCTTCATGTATTAAGTGTTCTTTAAAAGTATCAAAATTATCTATTATTTAATGGCTTTAATTCTCTTTTAAACACATTTTTATCCCCTTATAAAGTAGTTCAAATTTTCTCACTTAAAATAATGTCTACATTCGGAAAATATACCTCACCCCTGTTTCAAATTAGTTATTTAGGCTTCTGCTGTCAACAACAAGAACGACCAATCAGAAAGTAAACTAATTCTCATGGAATGCTATATTAACAGGGCCATGTGTTTGTTGTGATCATAATTTGACCATAGACCATAGTCTGGTGATGGTTCATGGGCTTAAAAAACTCTGCAGGAGAACTCTGTCTTTTACCCTATGACTCAACAAAACTGACAGAATTTAAGTGCTCAGAGAAAAAGGTTTTGGATTGATGGATTCATAAACCAAGTGTGAATGAAGCATAATAAAATTCCTCATATGTATTTGATAAAGGGGAAACAATATAACATGGTTAAAAGCTTAATGTATGTTTGTAATATTCACTATGGCCATGAAATCAGGCCAAGATATAGCCATCTTTTATTGTGTCCTTGGGCAAAACCTTATTTGCCTATTATATGAATGCGGTGTGTGATTTGGAGGTGGCTGAACAAGAATTCACACCAGCTTTGAGTCACCTCTGAATGGGGAGTTAATGAATAATGCATGTAGTTTTAAAGCCATTTTAGTGTCTTTTAAAAGGCCTATGAAAGACTAATGTGCGAGGTAATGTGTAGTGTGGTGTATTGAACACATCATGGGACAATAGAATAACGGCCTTTTACAAAGGTGGGAGGATCAATACCCAGGTCCATGAATGAAGTTTAAAAAAATATTTGGAAGTTGACCATCAAACCTTTTTAAATTCTTGAATTCAAGAGGGATGAAAAATTTATATTCTACAGTATATTCTGAACGGTGAAAAGTGCAAAATGGTGCTTACACAAACAGGTTGAAGTTCAAACCCTTGAGTAAAACTGTGTTAACACTAGGGCTGCAATGATTAATAGTCTAATCATGACTATGTCAACTATAAAGATGTATTGTAGTCGTATTTTGATAATCACAATCATCATCTGAACTGTATAGGCTCAAAAACACATAAGAAAAGACTGTTTTATTACAAACAGTGGCATTATTATTAGAGCCCGACCGATATGGATTTTGCTGTGGCCAATATGAAACCGATATAATGGGAGTTGGAGCTGCCGATAGCCAATATAATCGTCGATATATTTAGTGATGTAAAAATACACTGTAAATGTTGAAACCAAAAACTTAGGTTTGGCTCTGGTGGATTTTAAATTGGGTTTATTTAGGCAATATTTATTGTTATTCTGCCTCTTTACATCATATTTACAGACAGTAGGTTAGCTTAATGGCATTTTTTCATCACATTCTAGACACTAGTGGTGGGTATTCCAGTTCTTTTTAGAGAACTGGCTCTTTTGGCTCGGTTCACTAAATGCTGCTGGTTCTTTTGGCTCCCAAGTGGCTCTTCAGATTGTTTTGTTGCAAGCAGGTCTAAAGCACGTCTAAAGTAGGACTGAACCAGGTCTAAACCAGGACTGAAAAAGGACTAAACCAGGACTAAAACAGATTTAGACCACGTGTAAAACAGGACTAAACCAAAACTGAACCAGGACTAAGTGTCGGGACTCGGTCTCTATCTCGTGCCCAAAATTAGTCCTGGTTTATTTATTTTATGCTAAACTACAGCCAAATATGCTCTTTTTTTTTTATCCTATGTACACGCAAATTTCTCAAAGTTTCATTTTCAGCCGCTGCCGCTGTCAAACCACGAGTCTGCACACGGCCTGAAGAGAAAACAAGTGAGAGAAAGAGAAAACACAGCTCCCAATAAGGATCAGGCTCCCGTTGTTCGCGTCAAAGAGCCGGCTCTAAGAGCCATTTCGTTCACGACCGACCCATAACTAGTAAAGAAACTAGCCGTAAATACGTGCGCACCGCGGTAATTAATTATATGCGCAAATGTCATAATTCACACGTCTATTCACAGCTCATTTACATATCAGTGCAGGTCCAGTAACAAATATACGGCCAATGTAGTCAGTTTACAATAGACCAATAGCAAACAGCCTGTTTATGTGTGGGAGCTACAGCAGCTAACCCATAACAAATGACCAAAACTAGCTTAAAAGTCGACATATTTCCAACACTCACCACTCACACAGGCTTCTCCTCACATCACAAGTCTGCACTAATAAATGTCCTTTTAATCCAGACTCAAACCGATTGTCCGTAAAAAGAAAATAATCTCAATGCTTGGATCTATGTCTGCGCGTGTAAACAAACACACGTGAGTGACTCTGTGGTGTGTTCAGGGACAGTACGACACACACACAGACAAATGACTCTATAGATAAATACTGATGTGGAGCCACATATTAGGATATTTATCTGTCTGTAAATTGGATTAAATGAACAGAATGTAGCGAGTCTAAGATTTTTAACGACGTATCACATGCCCACGTGAAATACCGGCCCCTATCAGCAAGCAGGCGGCCATATCGGCCGATAACATCGGCCAACCGATATATCGGTCGTGCTCTAATTATTATTAATGTATTTGTTTGGAGGATAAGCCCCTTGAGATGTCTCATTTTTGAGGGGGTCCTCAGAATCACAGATTTAGTTGTTTAACAAAAATATATAATAAATATAAATATATAATATTCTCTTTATCCAGAAGCCTTCAGTCACCATAGTTGAACCTTTATTTGGTCAATGACATGTTTTGAAAATCAAATAGAAATAATCTGACTAGTGGGAAAAAAAAAAAAAGTGAGTATGACTGACTAGCTGACTACTAAAAGAATCGTAAGTTGCAACCCATCTAAACATTTAGTACATTTCCAGTTGTAGCTGCTTCTGAGACCCCTGTCCTCCTGTCAGGTCCTGTCTTTGTCTTGTTGAGTCACTGCTGTATCAGGCTGTCATCACTGATCTCACTGACACCTCTCTGTGGGGACGCAAAGGATCGTGGGAAGAAGAGAAAGGGAGGGAGTGGGAGATAGAGGAGAGAAGAGAGAGAAAGGGGAAAAGAGAGAAAAGTGGAGGGAGACTGACACTACAAACGACAAAGTAGTTCTATAGGGTTGTGAAAAGTATAAAAAATTAAATACTAATGGATACAAAAACTAGTATTGAAACTAGATACTCATTTTAATATAATGCCAAAAGTCACATTCATGGCACAGAAATGAACCTTTCCTGAATAGAGAGCACATAGACTAGTATACACCTGGACAGCTGAGGGATTGCATAGCTATAACACCACATAGTAATATTAAAGTACCGGTACTGTAGTTTGATGTTGAAAATCATATTTTGTCATCTAAAGATAGAGCATTTTTTTCATTGTGGTCGACTGTCGAGTCTATTTCTTAGTATCAAAATCCACTTTGAAATTTTAGTACCATGACAATACTAGTCCTGAAAAGTTCTGGTTCAGGTAACTTTATTTATACCCGCAGGTAGAATTGGTTTGCAATTGGAGTTGGCTTCCACCCATCCAATCATATCATTCATAAAAACAAATAGATTTTAGGTATTTATTTATTATAGTGCGTTTTATTGAAAAGCACCATATAAATATTTTTTTTTTTATTTAAGTATTATTAGTAAAACTGGATTAAAATATTTCTAATAATTGTGTATAATAAGTCTAAAACTACATTTGAGTATTTGTTCCTGTCCTTGCTCATTAGAACCTTTTAATACACTTTTCATTTTATTATAACAATTTCACATATAGCTCCATTTTTAATAACCTCAGACCCTTATGATATTTGTTTGTAATGTTTGTAAATGTGCGTGGTGCATATGTGCTGTGTAATCAGCTTGTGTTGTGGGGTCTGATGCCGGAGCTGGATTAAAGCAGAGAAAATAGGCCACATCTGTCACTCCCTGAAGCCTCAACACTGTATGAGTCTGTCACTATCACACGCATTTCACACCAAAACAAGGATAACAAATGCATCACAGTATTTTTCTTTAAGTATCAAACAGGATTTTTTTTATTTTTTTTTATTTTGATTTTTTTTTTCAATATTAATTTCTTCTTCATGGCAATCCACTGACAGTTGGCTGTGTAGGTCTCTCTAGTAAAAAGACCCAAAATGATCATTGATGATTTTAGAAGCTCTATTCAAGAGGCACAATTTTTATTTATTGGCTTATTTGACAGGGACAAATACAGTTAAACGTTGCTTCCAAATAGGTAACCAATATTCATGTACACAAGCGTTCTGGCTAGAGGCTAATTTAAAGCCCTCGCCCCTGGTTAGGCATTTAAAAGGATTTAGGAAAGAAGGCGTTAGTTAGTGAAAAGTATAGATTGATTGATATGGGTTTTTTCACGGCTGATTTCATTTGGCTGATATGTGAGGCAGTTTCTGATTATTTTTGTCAAATTATATAAATACATTTTTACAAATGTATATAGCTCTGTTTTACTACAAAATGGATAAGAAGGCAGTGTAGTCTCATTTTGCACATCATTCTCTTCGTAGTAAAGTGTTAAAACTGTAGTCAGATTTATTATGCATCTGGTTAGCATAAACAATATATCGGCCTCTCATGACGTTTGAATGCCGATAGCTGATACGCAAAAAAAGGCAAATATCGGCCAGCTGATATATCAGTCTATCTCTAGTGAAAGGCATAAATAAAACACACATGGAAGGAATTTTCCACGTCTGTCCACTTTACATCCCAGGGCAGTTTAGTGTTCACACTGTTGATTTTCCTCAAGCCAGTTTTTGAGTTTTGTGGAGTAAAGTCTTAGTCTGACTGTGACGTCAGCTCCAGTGGCAAAGAGTTCCACAAGTGTGAAACTTTCACTGAGAACACGACTGACACCTTTTGGCTCTTTATTTCCCACTTCCCTTCCCTACTATGTTTTTGAATCAACATCTCAGAACCAGTATGTCCAACAGGTTCTACAGCTACGACTAGGCCTGTCACAATAATTAGTTGACTTATCTTTCAATAAACCAAAGATTAACCAATCCTTTTGTGAAGTCAATATGTATTGTTTCACAAAGTTTCCCTATTAATCTTTGTCTTAAAGTCCTTTCTTTTGACATTAATCATGTCTTTGGGGTTGAATAATGACACCACTTTCTGGAACCAGTAAAAAACTTTTGTTTATTTATGCAGACAGAGAAGACTTTGACCTTTTGTGCAATGCAATAGACCCTGTAATTACAGTGATATTAGCCATAAAACCTGTCGAAATATAATTTCCATTGACAGGTTATTGCTAGTTCGCCTTGTAATGTTCCACAGTATGACATTCAATTTGCCCATCTTGCATTATTTACTTATTGGTGTTTTTGTAGCTAAAATTATCTTGAAAAGCATACTGTCTTGCTATTTGTCGGCTTGCCTTTAACTTGGCTAGATGTTGTCACCTGCTGGTCTCCATGGAGATTACTTTAATGCCAACATTTCAGGCAAAGTGATAACCCGTAGATACAAGCATGTGACAGTCCCTAAATCAGAAAAGTTACATGGTGCACCTTTAAATAATTTAATAATTTGCATTAAATGTTTTTATATCTGTTGTTCCAGGTGTCCGTGGCTGTCAGAGCGGTTTTCTGTTGCCGTGCCAATCTACAATGGCATCATCTTCCTGTTTGTTCTGGCCAATTTCTGTATGGCCACATTCATGGACCCCGGCATCTTCCCCAGAGGTCAGTGTCTTTCACAGATTTGGGTTTGGGCTTGGGACCTACACTTGTCCTGCAAAAGTTCCATAGTGATTTAAGTCAGTGTGTGCAGTATAATATATTTGACTTGATCAAATAATTAATTTTGGGTTAGTTTGGTTGTTCCACTTGCATATTTCTTTGCAGATTTCTTTATTACCATTTTATTTGTATTATTGTTATGTGTAGCCCTTGAACTTTAACCTGGGATGCTTAGATAAGACCACTCTTGAAACTTTTGTGGGTTTTTTATATCCACGTCTGAAACCATATAATATCCACAAGGGGGTTTGATCATATAGTGGTATAATAACAGCTTACCGGTAATGTCATTTTAAATTACAAAAAAAAGAAGTTTCAGTATTCATAAAACAAACATAGAACTGTAATGAACAGAACTCTCCTCTGTGTTGTTTCTTTTGCCTTTCTGAGAAGGACCAGGACAAGTATGATGACTTTCACTCTCCTCTGTATGATAGGGGTGTGCTAAAATATTAATATATTGATATATAGAGATACTAAATTTGGTGATACAGTGTCATTATTGTGTGCTGCTGTATCGATATATCACCAAGAGTATTTTTTGGTATCTAAATTATTTTGTGACAGTATTACAATTTTGATGTTTGTTCAGAGAAACGAAAGTCGTTTATGCAGTGCACTTGACATTCACTGTTGTAATGGTTATGTTAGTCTATACTGACTTCGCACAAGTTGTGCTTTAACAAAGAAATGTTTATTTATTTATTTTTATTTATTTATTTATTTATTTTAGGCAGGGACAATGCACAATTTTTGCATTTACTTTAACAGGAGAGATGCATTGTACACCAGGTTGTAGTATCAGTGCTAATTTCCACCTGTAGTCCCTGGGCAGGTTTGTTGATTGATTGTATTTAACTGACCTTGACTATCAACTCTTGGAGACCTGTAACATGTTTTGGGTTTCTTTCTTTCATAAAAATAGTGATATATTGCAAAAGATCAAGAACAATATATCGATTATCACATGTATCGCCATATCATGAAAATATCATATCGTGAGCCATGTATAGAGTATTGTATCGTGAATGACCCTGCAATTCCCATCCCAAATGTCTTATTGTATTGATCTCTCTGTCCTGTGGTCTCTGTCTGTAGCGGAGGAGGATGAAGATAAAGATGATGACTTCCGCGCTCCTCTGTATAAGACAGTGGAGATCAGAGGGATCCAGGTTCGAATGAAGTGGTGCTCCACATGTCGCTTCTACAGACCACCACGCTGCTCCCACTGCTCCGTCTGTGACAACTGTGTCGAGGTACACGCTCTTTCAGTGGGGTTATGGGTGTTAGGAAATTTGCCAAGTTTTCCTAAAATTCCTAAAAGACAAGTATGTTTCTTTATTTATAAATTTAGCTTTGCATAGTATGTAGTAGGGCTGGGCGATATGGATCAAAAAATATATCTCAATATATTTTGCTATATCTCGATATACGATATATATCTCGATATATGTTCAAGAAAAAATAACCCCCTAAAACTGAAAACTGCAAAAACAAATCTGCCAAATACAACAAGGTCCTTTTCTTTTTTTTTTTTATTGAAGTGTAAGAGGTCGGCAGTTCATATAGGAACATTTACGATTACAAAAAAACCTAATTACATAAATAATAATTTAACTGTAAAATAAAATAAATAAAACATATTTTATTTTTTTCATTCATAAATAAAACAACTCAACACAAGCTCATCTTTGCATTAACTCTCTTATCCAGACCAGAACCAGAACCACGAGCTCCTTTAGCAGAGGAAGTTCAGGATGTTCCTTATTTTAACAGATCCATGTTCCTCACCAGCAGAAGGAGCTCTGAGGTTTCCCACAATCCACTGCAGATCAAACCCAACGTTTCCAAACACTATTGTACAAGTGACACTGCAGCAGACTATTCATTAAAATCTTCTGCATAAATAAACTTTACATTGCTAAACTTTACAATATATAAAGCATAAGGACTGTAGAGCCACATCAGCTCGTTTGAGATAATAATGTGTTTAATGCAGTTTTGCGCACGTGTGTTTACATTTTACAGAAACGAAACTTAAGCGCATGGCTCATTTGCATAAACAGCGCACTTCTCCTGCAGCTCAGCTCGTTTAGCTTCTTTCGGGCTGAAGGATGCGACTCGGTGGAATATGAGGATGTGCTGCTGATGGTTTTGTCTGTAAATGGTGGAAAAGGTTCGTAGTGCTTGAAGCTTTTCACTGGCACCAACTTTCGGTGTTCACGGTGGTAGTGACAAGTGAAGGAGACACGAGCGAACAAAATCAGGGAGGCGGAGGCGACGAGAGAGAAGGTAAACAAGCGAAGCGGCGAAATCAGAATTGAATCTAAGCATTATATCGATATATATACGATATGTCAGAATTCATATCGAGTTTAAAAACTCTCGATATATTTAAAATATCGATATCGCCCACCCCTAGTATGTAGTATATAAAAAGTAACTGATGGATAATCACTAACCACATGTAAAATACTGAAGTTTATGTGAATTGGCAGAAGGTTCTTCTATTTGAAACAATGGTAGAAGTGTGGTAATAATGGTGACCATTTTGTCAACAAACCGAAGCTGAACAAACTACTGAAGGAATGAGCACATACAAAATGTAAGGACTTTTGTATGTAATTTCAATCATAAAGCGCCATATCACATGCAGAGGGTTAAAGGATCAAATGTGGTTGAAACTTTTGAATGTTTCAGTTTTAGTTTTGTTAATCTTGTCAAAAATGATGTGGACAAAAGTAAAATAAATAAAAATTAGCATAATTTCCACTACAGTGAGCGTGGATATTGGGAAAAAATGCAATTTAAATTCTTACATGTGTTCCATTTCAGGAGTTCGACCACCACTGTCCATGGGTGAATAACTGCATTGGTCGGAGGAACTACAGATACTTCTTTCTCTTCCTCCTCTCCCTCACGGCTCACATCATGGCCGTGTTTGGGTTTGGGCTCCTCTTCATCATGTACCATCGACAGAACATTGACCGACTACATGCCATCGTCACGTATTCTTCTCAAACAAGCTGCAATGCTAAATTATCACACTCACTCAGTTTGATGTAGCCGGCTGCCATCTTATTGTACTAAGATGTTACAATCACAACTGAACCTAAGTTGCCAATGCCTTAACCTACACATAAGTTTTACTCACTGTCAGTATATGTAGATCTGTCACGATGACTAATTTTGAAGCGTGGTATTTTGCTACAGAGATAATATTGAAAATACTTCCTGTCACTGACACAATAACAGTAATGCAAGATAATCCTAGTACATCATTTTTAAATAGACAATATCATTCAAAAGGCCTGAGCTGCAACAAATAGATTGCAGACTGAAGCATTAATTAGCCACAGAAGTTAGTTATTCAACCCTCTACAGTTCAAATCTTATCTTAACAAAAATATCCCAAATCTCCCCAGTTTTGCAAAGAAAATGTACACACTATAAGGACTGAGCCCTAAAAGCTAATATAACTTGGACTTGGGCAATCTTTAATGATCCCACAAGGGAAAATACTTGAACACAGAAGCTCACACATCACAATATAATATAATAGCAAAGAAAAAAATATAATATATAAAATAAATCTAAATAAGTAGCAAAAATAAGAGCAAAGGCAATGGTGTCAGATAAGGCATAATTATACAAGCTGCGTTGTAATTGTTATCAGTAAAAGCAATTTGTGATTCAGACATGTTTACCTTGTATGTAGAGACACAAATGGGTCTTGTTTCTGACATTTAAAATAAAAATCTTATGTACAGTATATAAATGATCAGTGAATAAGAATTAACATGCTTGGCCATTTGTATTTGTATGTGAATTCTTTGTGTAACATTTGAGTTTTTTTTCTGTATACAAAGTTTCTCCTTGACCCCAGTTCTCAGTTTGGCTGTGATGTGCGTGGCTGGTCTGTTTTTTATCCCTGTGGCTGGACTCACTGGGTTTCACATAGTTCTAGTGGCCCGAGGGAGGACCACCAATGAACAGGTAAGATCATTTATTTGCTTACTTATTTGTAGTTTAATGCCTGAAAGTTATTTCCAATGCAGCCTGTTCTTGCCAAACTCTAGACATGCAACAACAGGAATCATGAATCAAAAATAAATGGATTGAGTCATCGTGTAATATTAAAGTTAATACTAGTGCTTGCTGAAATTGAAAAAGGGCATATTGGGGTATTTCTAAATGGAAGAAAGCATGAACCAAACTAGATTATACTATAGTAGACAAGCACAGTGAGTCTTCTTTAAAAATGCACTGTGTAACTTTCTAGTTGGGGGTCTGTCACTTGCTTCTTTATATGGAGATGTCACTGCTCTGCCTGGAATGTACTACAGGATGGCATGGAACAGCTTTATTTTACATTTATTCAATTAGAGATGGTTTTATAGCTCAAAAATGCTTAGAAAAACGGGCATTCTGACTGTGAGAGGGGTTGCCTCTCCGCAAATCTGACATATAACTTTGTCTCCGAGATAGAAAGGTTTACTGTGAAACATTCCAGAGAAAGCAGTAACATCTCCATTGGGAAAAGCTTTTGACAGACCCTCCATCAGAAAAGTTACACAATGCACCTTTAAATATCAACTATCTTTTTTTCTATGTGCTCTAGGTCACGGGGAAGTTCAGAGGAGGAGTTAACCCTTTCACAAACGGCTGCTTCAAGAACGTATCTCATGTTCTTTGCAGCTCACAAGCTCCCAGGTACTTCTACTTTTTCAATGTGAGGAAGAAAATAAGATAATGATACTAAACAACTATAGCTTAATTTATGCAATTCCTAAAAGCAATTTGTCATCTTTTACATAATATTATTTCACTTTATTAAAACAATGCATTTAACCCCATCAGCTTACCACCTGATACACTGTTAAAGTCCATAAATAAGACTTTTGAAATCATGACAACAAATGAATAATCATGAATAACAAATATTACTCTTTTCTGCAGATATTTGGGGAGAAAAAAGGTTGTACAAAGCGTATGTGTGCAGCCTCCATTCTTAAGACCCCAGCTCACAGAGGCTCAGCTGGCGGCTAAGATCCTGGACAATGGGATCCAGGGAGAGCTGCACAGGGTGAGGACCATAAACGTGATAAAAGAGCAGTGCTTTGATTAACAAATAGTGTAAATGGACTTATCAGACCCACATTCAAATCTTCTCCTTTTACATTTACATGAGATCATATGGCAGCAGGTATTTAAAGGTCCTATATTAGACAAAATGGATTCTTGTGAGCTTTAAGTCATGTTTTAACATTGTTACCTCATCAAAAACATACCTGGATTTGTGATTTGTGTCATTCACACAAGGTGGAACAGCGTGTTTTCAGTTTGAGAGAAGAACTCAGCCTAAATATACAGGATTTATGTGTTAAACATGTACGAATAAAACAAAACACTACTCCAGGTATGTTTTTGATGAGGAAACAACATTATAACATTTCAAAAAATAGCACAACATGGGCACTTTAAGCAAGTTACAATTCAGCCAAGAGTCACTCTGCCAAAACAAGTTTTATGCAAACGCTAACCTTTTCAAATTTTAGGTGGTGTATACAGGTTAAATCTGTATAAAAATGTATTATTTGCAATTTATTTTAATAATTTCATTATTGGTGACCCTGATTTTTTTTTTTTGTCTTTTTGTGGTATAAATTTTGGAGTTTATGAATCCCAATTAATTTTCAGCATTTCACATCTGGACTAAACTCATGCAACCATTTTAAAAATTGACACATTGAATTGTGGTAACAGACTGTTATTTTGTGTGTTTCAGAGTAAGTCGAGTTTGGAGATGATGGAGTCCCAGTCATGTGACGCTGAAGCTCCTCCTCCTCCCAAACCTGAGCTGCGGTACCCAGGCCTCAGCCGCGGAAACAATGAGGGTAGGTCTCTTATGGACAAGCGGCGTAAGCAAGAATTGTCACATTATGAATGGACACACTACCTTGTCAGTGCCCAACTGCCTCAAATCTCAGAAGCTAAGCAGGGTTGAACCTGGTACTTGGACTGGAGACTGCTGAGAATACCAGGTGCCACAGTGGGGCAGCATTGGCTCTAGTGCATACTGGTGTGTCATTAAGCAAGACACTTCACTCCAGACAACAGTAGTAGGTAGAGCAGTGAAATCCACCACAGGGTGGCGATTCGGTCCCTGCTGCCACAAATGAATGTCATTGTGTCTTTGGGCAAGACATTGACGCTCAAGTAAACGGATACAAGTCCCCAGCTTTAGCAGAGGAAGCTTACCACCATCAAGTAGAGTGCAAATTGTATAGTGACGTCTGGAAACGTGCTATATGAGACTAGGGTATGACATCAGTTGCCTTTGTCATTACTGTTAGTTGAAATGAACCGCCGTATGAGACTAATGCATGATTTTCCCTGTGTCTTTCTCCAGAGTGCAGCCTCCTGAACAAAGCTCCTCCCACTCCCACCATGTACAAGTACAGACCCTACGTACAGCCCTGGGAAGAACCACACAGCGCTAACACACGCTTATGCTAACCAGGTAATGCGCCACTCTAAAGCTACACAACAGGGATGTCACAGTTCAATAATAATCTGACGTTTTTTGGATGAAACACAATTTTATTTACACAAGTTTATACCATACAGTGGAACATTCCTTGCAACACAATGCTATGGTGCAACTTTAAATAAAGTCATATCTTTGTTAATAGAAATTCATCTAAAAACTTGTAAATTTGCTACCACTTTTTATAACTACACCTCTATCTATAGCCTTAATAAAGCATGAACAAACACTTAATTCATAATGAATAAATATTTTATTAAAATGATTCAGACTCAGTAACTACTTAAGAGGTTAGGAGTTAGGGTGTTAATTAAGTGTTTACTAAGCCTGAATCATTCTTAATACACGATTTGTCCATTATGAATTAAATATAAAATTGTTATTATGTTATCAGTTAATCCTGACATCTCCTGTGTAGCCTCTGCTTTAGCTCTGTAGTGTCTGTGTTTCCTTTTGCTTTGACGCGTGTCTGTCTTTTATTACATTTATGTCCAATCTAATAAGTGTCCATGCTTTTTCTTTTGATTTCCTGTCGGCCATCTTGGTTTGGTTTCTCAGTGGCTTTCTGTTGATCCGTATCAGTAAGTGGCTGAAGCATTTTGTCTCCACCTTTTGATTTTTATTTATTTACATTTTTACTCACTCCCTTGTTTTTGTGATTGTAGATGTAGACATTTTTCACAATATACTACTCCTTGTCAAATATCCCCATATATTCCCAATAATCCCTTTGTAGAACTAGTGAGTTTTGTCTTAATAATCTCCAAAATGTGAACATTGTATGACTTCAGGCACATTTTACTAAACTTAGTTGTGTTTCCATTAAATTACATTATTACTGTGACTGATGGTGGTCAGAGAGATTGGTGGCACAGATCAGTTGCCACATTTCCAGCAGTCTGCCCCAGGACAATGGAGAGACTTAACAGTAGAAAGTGTATAATTATTTTTTTTTATATGGAAACACACCTAACTATATTGTTTACGAGATGCACTATTTAACTTTCTGCTGGATCATCCCCCAGATAAGCCCATCACCTGGAAATTTCCACAGTATGGCAATACATTAAACGTACTGTATTTTCCAGACTATAAATCGCTCCGGTTGCACCAGCCAAAAAATGAAGAAGAAAAAAACATATATAAGTCACAGACCAGGAACCAACATTTAATTTTAAAAGGCAAGTTATAATAATAACAATACAACAGAGAACAACAAGTTGAATAGGTGTTAATATGTTAACGTAACATATTAACAGTTATTCAGATAATTATAGCATAAACAACAGAACATAAGTTTACCAAATTCACGATCTCACTGCAGATCACTAAATCCATTGAATTCTTCATCATCAGTAATACTTCTCCGGAGATAAACCATAGATCCATGATGTAAACGGAGCGCTGCTTCCTCTTCTGTGTAGCTGTCGTCAGACTCAGCATCAGTTCCAGTTAGAATTATTCTGACCTTTCTGAATCCTGACAGGATGGTTTCTGTTGTCATTGAAGTTCAGGCTTTGTCTGTTCATCCAGTGACTTCCAGGAAAGTTGCATGGTGCATTCTTCCGGTTGCCGTGAAGCTGTGTTCTCCGTCCCCGATTTCTGCCAGTCCCTCACAAGTTTCTCACTTGCTCAGAACTTTCTTTCTGCTGCTCAATTACTGTTTTTGGCTTAATATTTCACTATTTGCAGCAAGACAGCAGCTTTTTCTACATGAGGAATGTGCAGTAGAGCGAAGTGACAGTGGCACAGGAGTAATAGTAGTACTAGATACTGACACACAAGCCTAGAGCCTTTCGCGGCTGTCAATCTGAAAATTTTAATATGTAAATCGCACCGGATTATAAATTGCGGGACCACCCAAACCATGAAAAAAAGTCTAAAAAATACAATACTTATTATTGTCAAGACAAACACACTCTGCCAGTTCCAGATTAGATCACTGCGAATTATTCCTTTGTTTGTTATTGATATATAAATAAAAATAATAAATATGTTTGTATCATACTGTGGAAGATTTCAGGCAAAGTAAAAATATCTGAGGATGAGCAGGTGGCAGACCCTCCACCAGAAAAGTTACATAATAAATCTTTAATCAAAAACACCAAATTAAAGAATTCAGAATTAAAATCCTCACAGGGGCTTCACACTGACGGAATTAGCACATCTGGGTTTGAGGGCTGTGCTATCACTGTGATCTCAGTCTCCTCTCCTTGTCTCCTTCCCTCCTCCCCCCTCTCCTCTGCTCTTTCTTCTCTCTCTTCTACGTGTCTCCTCTCCTCTATCCTCCTCTTCTCCCCCTCCTCTTCTCCTCCATTCCTCTCTACTTGTCTCCTCTCCACTCCCCTCTCACCTCACAGCTGAGCCGAGGGGAGAGCGTCGGCAGCGCCCGTGACTCCTCCTCCTCCACCTCCTCCCTGCTCCAGTCCAGTCAGCAGCCCGGGTTCCGCTCCCAACCCAGCCTGGACCACCCACCGTCGGACCGCCCTGGGACCAACTCGGGGGGCGGTGAGAGGCGTGATACTGGCAGAGACTCTGGCATGCCTGGGTACACTTTGGGCGGGCGTTCATATCCTTCGTTTTCAGACGCTACAGTGCTGTCCGCTGTGGCTAGCTCCCGATCCTCTAGCTCTGCTGCCACCGCTTCTACTAGCTTCAAGAGCTTAGCCAATCAGACACCACCACCTCACCAAGCGACGCGCAATGGGAGCCTATCCTACGACAACCTGGCTACAGATGAATTCGAAAAGCAAGCGCCCAATTCCACAACACCATCTGTAGCAGGAGACAGAGCAGAGATTTCGGCAACTTCTGGAAGGCCCTCGCCATTTTTAACCACTCAGCAAGCGGTTGAAATGCAGTCACCGCATCATCACCATCACCATGGACACCACCATCATCACCCTCCTCCCTATCTTCACCGCTCCTCTTCAACGTCTTCGTCACCACAGTCGGCCCCTGACATTTCTCCAAATAACTCCGCTCCTCCCATGTCCGCCCCTCCCCACCACCTTCACCACCACCACCACCATCATCATCACCACCACTCCACGAACAGACCGCCACGTTTTGCCGCCGCTCCTGCCCCCCACGCCTACCCCTACCGCACCCGCTCTACAGATACCCCCCCTAGCGGCAGTGGCACGCCAGCGCACCCTCCCCGCTCTCCGCACGCCCCGCCCCTTGGTAAATCGCTGTCCTATTCCAGCGCCGCTGCAGCTGAAATGCAATACAGGCTAGTGCGGAAGGCATCTGCGTCGGCTAGCGCTAACGCGGCTAACACAGGAGGGACAGGGGGGATGGGAGGAGGAGGAGGACAAATTTCGAAGTGAGTATACAAGTCCCATTTGGATTTTGGGATGTTTGGTTTTTTTTGTTGCTAAAATCTTGAAATTTCCTACATTTTCCTGCTCGCCTGAATCCTCCTGACTGCCTCCTCTGCCTCCCTCTTCCTCTTCTCCAAAACAAGCTTTCCTGTGAGTGCCTCTTTCTCTTCCCTTCGCTCGTCCTCTGTCCAGTTTTGGCATGCTAAACTTGCACATGTTGTCTGCATGTTCTGTTTGAATGAATTAGTTTCATTTTTTTTATGGAGGATAATTTTAATATTTGGATATTCACAATATATGTATTTATGCTGTCAAATTTATCAGGAATAGAGTAATGCATTGTTAATATATGTTAGACTTTATTTCACAACACCTCAACCTAAATAGATATTACACTGTATGAGACAATAACTACACATTAACTATTCACTAAGTCTAATGACACAAAATGTATTTTAAAAATGCACAAAACATTGGAGGTATCATGTAGTACAGAAAATATTGTGCATGCATTTGTTAAGTTGTATGTTTTGTCTGACTTGGCTCTTGTCTGTTCTCTGTACAGTTCTATCTTTATTAATCCTTACTGAAGAGTAGAGATGCTCTGATCCCATGAATTTTTGATCTGCCGATACTGGTCACAGTTGATACTGATCACATGGATTTTGATATAGTGATGCAAAATCTAGTTATATCATCAAGGGATTTTTTGCTGGCAATGTAAGCCAATAATGTGCCTCTAGATGCCCATCAGTTACCTATGATGGGCATCTAGAAAACTGCCCATCAATTCCCTATGTGGTACTACTGATCGATATGTCTCACTTTAACGACCACATTATTTTTGTCTTGATTGGCGAACAATTGATCGGAGCACCTCTATTGAAAAGGTCCAAAAAGTACATAATATGATTTATGTTTGTCATTTCCAACAGATGCACAGAAATGTCTTTTATTGTTTATTTGATAGGGACACAGCAATTAAACTGTGCTCTTCATTCATATTGGCACCTTATTTAAAACTACATAGGTAACTTTTGCTTCTTCAGAGTTTTGGAAACTCTTTGATTTCAAGACCCATCTAACTTATGGAGACCTCCAGCAGTGACAGCAAGACTAGAGCAGGACTAGAGCAGGATTAGAGCATTTTCACTGTCAGCCTGAAACCAAAAAGAATAAATGTAACCATATACAATAGATGGCACATATAGTCCAAAATATTGGCTACATTTTAATAGCAAATGGGGCCAATATTAAAAGTAGTGCAGTGTATTTTTGTCCTCTGTTGTGTTTCTATCTAAATTCATTTGTTTTTTTTACTTCATCCACCAAACCAGGGATGAGCCGATTCCAATGAAGCCTCTCGGATGGACCAATGGCGGCCAGGCTCTGTCCTCGAGCTCCGCCCCTTCCTCCCCCTCTCACCCAATCAGCGTCTCTGCCCGACCTGGAGTAGCCTATCCCGGCTCGACACTGGCCCAAAGTCCCACCCACAAACCTCAGGCCGGGACAGTCAAGAAAGTCACGGGAATCGGAGGCACCACTTATGAGATTTCTGTTTAAATTTTACGGATTTAAAAACAGAAGAAGAATTTTGTTGCTTAAAGACAGTCTTAAATGCTGCTGATATCAAGTGACCAACGTGACCTTAATTTCAACTTTTTTCCATTGGGTTTGAACAATTTTTTAGCCATGCTGGTCATTACGATTATGGCAATTGCATGGTTTTGTCTAATATGAATTTAGTTTGACCACTGCCACTGCTAGGAGCTTTAAACCCAAAAAGTATCTTTTAGAACAGCTCCTATTGGCACCTCGTTTTGTCATTGGATTTTTATTACACAACAATGATATACTATGGAATCCAATCGTCAAAAAAACGTTTTAAGGGCTTCCCATAGTTGAAAAATGCCAATGTTTTGCATGGACTCGTGGTAATGCCGCCCTAGTTGTTCTTACTTCACAAAAGCTGCTGTCTTGCCCAGAAAAAAAAATACAAAAAAAACTAAAAGGTGTTGTTTGGAAAAATGCACAAGAAGCAAGATTTTTTGGGGGAATGTGGAGTTGGCACACATTCATCAGTGGACTTTCTACAAACTACTTTTTAAAACTGCACTTTCGACTCAAAAAATGGGAGAAAAATCTAACTTTTAAATTGCATTGGTTGATCTGATTTAAATCCCCAAATGATTCCTAGATGTGAATATGTTTGTACAGCATTATGTCATTTTTAAATGTCAAATTTCTTTTAAGAAATGAATGGCATTCCTCTGAACTGCAAGCATGCGTTACTTACCACCCACAGCCACTAGAGGTCGCTGTGTCTGACGTGGACCACTTTTTATTTTGAACAAACATGATTCAATGAACAAGAAATGTTTGTTTTAAATTGTTATTTTTTTCTTCTTTGTTATTGTTGTTGTTTGGGTCCAAATGAAAAGGCGTTTTTGTAGAAAATTCTTTGATCAATTGCCTTGAAATTCAAGTGTTGTTTTTTTATTTCACTTATTTAATTTGTTTTATATGAATTTTTATTGAAATATAAGGTAGGTGAAGAGATTTTATGCAAGAAGCAGAATAGACCATTTTTGAAAACATACCCTGTTTTGTAATGTAACAGGAACTGCTATAGATTAAGTCAAAATTACAAACTGACAGCCCCCTTGTCAATACAAGTTTATAGTTTGGCAAAAAAATTGTCCAGTAAATTGGTAATTATCAACATTTTGCAATTTTCTTTTAAAATATGATGAAACCAGTTGGTAATGTCTAGAAATAAGGCACACAATCCAGGGTAAATCTACTCAAATCAAGTTAAATTAAACATACAAATTTACTTTTTATTATATTTTTAAAAATATATTTCTTTTTCTCCTGTACCAAACTCACTTGGGATACTTAAGAAAAACAGTTAAGTGCTCAAAAGTATTCCTAGAATTATATGAAAATATATACTACAAAGTCCAAGTTGCCAATCAAATAACTATTTATCAGCAATATTACATTTATCATGACTTTTGGTCTGCGGTGGCCAACTCTAAACCAATTTCTACATAAACCCTCAAGAGGTAGAAAAGCAGTCCTATCTTCCTGTTTGAAAAAGACTTTAAAGGGGCATGTGTGAAGGCAGTGAATCATGGAGCTCAACAGTGGATTGAACTTTATTGTTCTGGAGTAAATTCCTTTAAATTTGTCTCATGAAATCAAGTGTTCGGTCTGTAAGGTCTGATGGAACCAAATGACTCACTATGGGAAATGGGTAATTACCAATATATAACTTGTATTTTCTTAAAATTATATATATATAAATATATATATATATATCTTAATCTTAAAACAGTTTAAGTGCATTTGGACTTTGAAGTTTTCAAAATATGAAGATAAGAAAATGTTATGAGTAAGTAAACAAGGACTAACTTAAAGTAAGACAAATATGAATAAAGTAAAAAAATAATAATAATAAAGTCACAGTATGTAAGTTTTTGCTTAAAAAAGACTAAAATAAACACATTTGTTGATTTTTGGTTGTGTTATTGCAAATGACAATAACACAAACCCAAAACATTTAAAAACAAAACATGCACCCCTTCTGTGAGTGGCCTTGCAACGCCCAAACCTGTCTCTTATTTTGCCTGGAGGAGGAAGGAGGGCCCCCTCCTGTGTGTATCCATGGAAATGTTGCTCCTTTGGTTATAATCTTCCAAAGTATGATTTTGCGATCTTGGATTCATGCAGGTGACATGCCACTTCCAGATAGTTGCATGTTGTATTTTAAGAAATAGACCTGCAGAGAACATCTTGTACCACAAGAGGGAGGTAGTGTAACACCAAAGGAATATGCCCCACCGTTGGACAAACTCTGCCATAGCTAATTGGCCTCTGTTGTGTCTTCAAAGTCTTAATATTAGAATATATATGTTTTACAGGAATACAGGAATTTAATTTCCAAACCTGATGTTCTCCCCCACTGTTTAGCCCCATAGCAGAAACACTTGATTTTTGTAACAGAAAAAGTTTGACACGTTGAATAAGTGGATGTTACCAAGCACATTTTGGGTTATTTAAATTCAAAGGTGAAATGTTGACCTGAAAATAGCTGAAATTGTAGTTGTATTGTACAGCCTAATGTGTGTATGGGTGTTTGTGAATGTACATGTGTGGTGACGGGAGGAGCGTTGGAATAAACCTCAAACTAAAGAGACAAAACTGTGTCCTTATTTATAGTTTTGAAAGTTTTGAAATGCTGAAATTGGCAAATTCCAAAAGCTACAAGAATTCAGGTTTATTATCCTCTTAAAAACCTTTTCCTGTGTCATGTACATAGAATGTACAGTCTATGGTCACGTAGCATGTGGAAAAACTTGCTGATCCTGTACTGTCGACCTCTTCAAACATGCACAGGATTCTGTTCATTTCAGTCTTCTGAAATTTTTCAATGTTTGCACTTTGAACATTTTTTTTAAATACACTAAATCACAAACCTGGCCAAAAACAATATTCTTCCACTTGCCTATTTTACTTATAAAATTCAAAGCTATTAAAAACAAAAAGATTTTATTTCAAATCATTTATCTTTTAAGAGGCTAATACAAACTTAATTGCAGGGAATATACAACTTTGTTCTGTTAGCTTTAACCTTTAGCCTACTATTCTGCTAAATGTGCAGAAAATATAATACTATTACATATTGTTATGCAAGCAAACAGAAGAATAGCAGATTTGAAAACAAATTATCAGCCTTGAAATAAGAAAATAAAAAATCTAGGTTGCATAAGTAATTTAATCATATTGCAAGAAAGTTCAACAAAAAACATGTTACTGGGTAGTAACTGACCCAGGTCTGTACATACAGCAGTTGTTCATGTGTCACATTTAATGCATTCTATGGAGGTCAATGTTAAAATACAGCAACAAATGGCCAGTCAGTGCTTAAACATGAAATATTTTGTATTGTAGAAATGCATGGACACATTTGGTTCAGTCTCTGTATCATACCAAGACATTTGAATTAAACAGTGTTAAAACTAGTGACAGAAAATAGGAAAACAAACATGGAAGTCTGTAACAACAAGCAAAATATTGAACCATAAAAACAGAATTGGTCCAGTGACAAAAGCTCTAAAAATACTGACCATAACTGATGTTATGTAGGTAATATAGAACAAAGTAGTAATGATTCAAAACAGAAACAAAAATCAGAAGAATTGGCAAAGACTGACTTAAAACAAAAGATTAAGCTATGCTGCTCTCAAGTGGCCCGTGGAAAGTGACTGACAAAGATTTAAAAGAAATACTTTTCTACCTTGGATTTAAATGTTCCATATTGTATAATACAAAACGACATTTTACCTCTTTTGACTTAGACTATGTTAATTCATCCGTTCTCGTGCTCTGGAGGGCTGTAAAGACACCTACTGCTCCTTCTAAAATTATTTATTAGATGTTCTGAAATAAATAAAAAAGTATAACTGCATCACACTGCAAGAAGAAAACACACAAATATAGATTTGTTAGAAGACAAAAAAAAATCAAAATCTTAAATTTTGAAATGTTGTAGTTTGTTACAAGATGCATTTCTTTTTATGGAGATATTAACTTTTGAGAGTAAAGCTTAAATAAAATCAAAAAGACGTTCCAACAACAACAATCATAAGATATAAAAATTACAATTAAATGATGATTCAAAGCAACATTAACACAGCCCATGGGGACCACTTGAAGGCAAATTAGTATCCAATTGCATAAAAAAAATTACAAACTGGAATGTACCATTAACCAATATTATTCACATTACTTGCAGTTAATCTATATTGCGACTGTTGAATTAAATTAGTTTGATAAAAATAATGGAAAAAATAAAAAATAGCAGCACTTTATATGCCTCCTTTGTCAATTAGTACATTTCTACCTCTCCTCTCCAACTTTTAGCAGTCACTTCAGTCCATCCCAAACTTTATGCAATTAATTTACTCCATGCAATTCTTCTTCAAGGGCCCTTACTATTTCTGATGTTACATATTAAAGACCACATATTATGCAAAATTGACTTTTTTGAGCCTTTAACCATATTGTTGCCCCCTCATTTAAAACATGCCTGGAGTTATAATGTTGTTACATACACTTGTTTGTTTCATTACTTTATTAATCCAGAGTCATCTTCTTTGAGCACTCAAAAATCAGTTCAGTTCGTATTTTGTCCAGATTGCTGCATCACAGGTAAAAAGATGACTACTACTGTGCAGTTTTTAAGCCCATAAACCCTAACCGTATTAATTTTGCTGTTAAATTATTTTCACAACAAACACATGGCTCTATTAGCATACCATTCAAGGGGCTTACGGGCTTCATTTACTTACTTTCTGACTGCTCATTCCCCCTGCTGAACACCTAAATACCTAATTTGAAACAGGTGAGATTTTCACATTATTAAGTTAGAAAATGTGAAACGCTAATCTTAAAGGGACCAAAAGCAGGTTTAAAGGTAATTAAAGCCACAAGATTCATAATATATGTTCTTTAAATTTACCATAGAGCCAGTCTGGAGTGTAGAGAATATAACACAAAAGCTGGGAGAGAACATGGCGGCCATTTTGAATTATTTGTCCTTCTTGGATTCGGGCTCCTCGTTTTGGGCATCTGTGGTCTGCTGCTCCGGTTCCTCCTCCTCTGGGACAGGAGCGAACGTGGACAGATTTGCCTTCTCGCCTTTTTTGTTGAGCTTTTTGGATTTTTGGTAAAGTTCGTTCAAGTTGAATTCTCTGATGATGTTCTCCTATTGGAATAAACAAGAGCGATGTTTAAATGTGTGTCAAAGGAGCAAATGGACCCAAATAATTCTATACTAGAATTTGCTGAATTGAAATATTTTTTTCACAAGAGCTTCAGAAAGTGGTTCCATCATTGTACTCCCAACACTGGTGGTTGTGTGTTGAAAGAAGTTTAAGTCATAAGATTAACATGGCAAGTTTCTGGAGCCAATCCCAGACAAATAATGGTAAGGTCCAACATTTGTAGATCTTAAGTTAAATTCTATACAAACATAAGTTATTAAATAAATATTGTTTTCATCCCGAAATTGAAGCATGAATACTTAGTACATACATACATACTACATAAATAAGGGCCAAAGGAGGAAGTAATCAAATCATTTACAGCAGTACAGCAAAAATGTATACACAGATACAAACCGATACTTAAATTTCTTATATTACGTACAATTGACTCTTGTGAGTTTTAAGACATATTAAAATGTTACTTCAAAAACATACTTGCAGCTGTGTTTGAGTAAACATGGATTATTAGGATGTCTGTATTCCTAAAACTTAGAATGTCCACTTCCACCTTGTGATGTCATGAAGCAGTTGTTTTCGAGTTAATAACTAGCTTTTACCTTCAGTTCAGTAGAGGTTGGCAATTCAGCGGCAGAAAGGTCAAATGATTCTAGTGAAGGTGTATGGAGTTTAAAAGCACAGTGGAGCACTTCCTGTATCACCACATGACATCACAAATTGGAACAGAGTGTTTTCTGTTTGAGAGAAGAACTCTGGCTAAATATGCAGGGTCTATGTGTTAAACATGTGTGAATGAAACAAAATACAACTTCATTGTGTGATGAGGAAACAGCATTATAACATGTCATTACATTATAACATCAGAAAGTAGAGTAACCATAGACCATATATATGAGTGGACATAGCTAACCCACTGGCCGCCGCATGCCAAATAGGAAGTTCGCCAGGAGGCTCTTCCGGTTCCTTCTGACCCTGGCTCCATTTGACTTAGCATATATTAGGATCTTGTCATCGCTCTCTCTGTAACTGCTGCTTTCTTTTATATCAGACCTAGTATGACTACTATATACTATAATACGCTATTAACGAAACTGCAATTATTCTGTAAAGAAATGTATACCTCAGTGAAGGACCATGACACTGCTCGCCCCTTCTTGTCTACCTGGGGGCGTCGCATGATTTCCTTTCCTCCCTGAAACAGCACCAGAGAGGGCAGCTGCTTGGACAGGGGGGATGTGGACACCTTGTATCTGTAAAAATATTTTAAATGAATATTAAAATATCTCACATTGTCTTCAAGAAAACATATATGCTGATGCCTAATCATACCTTTTAGATACTTCCCCATATCGCCCAATGTCTACTTTTCCAAACTTGAGACCAGCGCAGTTATACCTGAAAAACAACAGTCACCTATATTCAGCCATGCAACTCACAAGGCCAACTGCAAGAAATCTTACTTTTGCCAAATTAAGGATAGCTGTTTTATTAGTCCCACAAAGTAATAATAATAATAATAATAATAATAATAATAATAACACAATTTTACGATATTGTTACGACAGGAAGGAAACTGGAGACTATGGTAGCAAAAACGATTCATATTTGAATTACTACAAGCGTAACTTATAATGTATAATAAAAAAGTGGTAATACAACCACTTTATTATTTTATTCAGCTTGGTTTCATACTATGGAGGCAAAAATTTCTTTATGTTAACATATTTTACTGTTCCATGCCATCTTTTTTGTAATATTTTGTAACTATTTCCCATGATACTTGCAACAAATGGAAATTGCTATAATCTGTCATATTTACTGTAACTCTTACTGCATGTTAGATAAAATGCACTGCCCCAATCAAATAAATAAAAGATAAAATTGATACATACTTGAGGGACAGATCTGCATACACTGAAGCAAAGGACTGGCACTCCGGAGACCAATTGGCAAAAAACTCCACAATCCAAGTGACGCGGCCATCTTTCTCCAACTCGTCCTAAACGCACATTGAAAATCATTCACATTTGTTTTACTTTACAAAAATATGAAATATCTCCTCTTGTTCACATACATCAATGGTTTTGTCACTGAAGTACTTGATGTACTCTGGGCCCATGTAAAGAGGAGGCTTACAGGTCATCAAGAACACTGAAACAGAACAAGAGCTATTAGCAACTTTTGAATGAATTATTTTTTTTTATTATTCTTTCTTGCATACATATGGCCAGCCTTTTCATGGGCTTATAAAACACCACAAACTGAATAAAATTTAACATTTAAAATGTAAAAAATACTAAGTGTAAGACGGATACAGACAATAGTGTTATAAATAAATGTAAAAAGCAAATCAGTTGGACTGCTAAACTTAGAAACATTTGTGTTCAAACAAATTGCCAAGAGGAATAATCTACTGCTTTTCTTATATGCAACTGTGGTTTATGGGCCTTTGGTAATAGGGAGCAGTGTAATCTTTAATCACATTTTACTGTATATAACAAGGGTTTTGAATTGTCAATAACTGTTTCCACCCATATAAACTGTGCTTTAACTGTTATGTGCTTTAAATCAAAATCCACCTGAAGCAAGTGAATAATTTTTTATGCAAATTAAGGGTTCTAAATGTGATATTTGTGCTTTGTGACCTCCCTATTACCTATGTCTATCTAATCTTCAAAAATCACATTAAAAACAAAGTGATGGAAACACACCTAATGGTCAGACTGGGCTTTATAATCAAGAGATTTAGAGTCAAATATGTGACAATAAAAGCATGTCCATTTTAGCCAACAAACAGAATCACCTGATCAAGTTCATGATCTCCTTAGAATAGTACATTATCACAGGGCCATACCATGTTTTTGATTTTATAACATTATTTCATCCGTAGTTTCACTCCAGTTGGAATACTGACCTAAGCAGAGAGTGAGATAGAGAAGTCCCATTCGGATGTCCAATCTGAAGAACAGAATGACGTTGGCCACTTTACTGAAGAGGATGATGTTCCCAACGTGCTGCTCCACCGTGACTGGTTCATCACAAGACACAAGTTAAAATATGAGTCTTTAAACTATGTGTGATACAGAAACAGAGCAGTGGATATTGAAGGTGGTCACTCTGTTGATGTTATTCTGGTTCCTTCCTTCTAGTGAGTCTGGCTAATATAGTCTGGGTTTAGGTGTGGTTTTGTCCTGATTTTGTCCTTGTGTATAGTCATAGTTTCAAATTGGTTTAGCCCTAATTCAGTCCTGAAATTGTCGTAGATTAGACCTGGTTTACTCTTGCAATTTTTCTGTTAAAGTCCAGGCATCACCCTACTTTCTTGTCACTGGAGTTTTTAAAACATTTAAGGTGGGTTTGAACAGTATTTCTTCTCTGAGGAGGTTCTTGGTATAAAAAAGTTTGCCAAGTGTCATTACTCACTTGCTCGTCGATTTTTCATCATGACTATTGCACTCAGGAACATCAGGATTTCAACTTCCCTCTGAAACACAAATCAAAAAATAATATTGATGTTAGATACGATTATACGCTTACTTGGTTAACTGATTGGGCCCCATTACTGTGTAGTTTTGTTGTTGATGTTGGGCAGAAAACTACAAATTTTGATTTTTATTTATAAGGTTTGAATAGTTGAATAAATATTGTGTAATAATGGACATTGTCTCTAATATTTTGTTGTGAATGCACAATAGAGCCTGAATAGTTATCTTCCATCAGGGATGGCATTAATATGTCATTCTACTTTATGAAAACAGCAATTTTGGTCTTTCATTATTTCATTAAAAAACATGCAACTTTATCTATCTCCTCCATCTCCTCCACCCATTGTTGATCAAGGACAATCAATTAGCCTTTCAGTAATGCTACCTTGTCCTCTTATGTGTAATTGCATAGGTATAACGTTGTCGAAGCAGCAACAAACACCCCTTGAATAATGTTTGCTATTAATATAGTTGTTAGATTTTATACAAACCCAGTCGAAGTCGCAGGGGTTGCCATCCTCTCGTTGTGTAGACAGATGGTCGCAGATGCCAGGGGTCTTGCGTACAGCTAAAAATGCTATTGACATGAACAAGGATGCTATGTAATACGGTTTTAGTAGCCATTTATAAACCTGTGGCAAGTGGTAAAGAAACGCAAATAATGGCGTTAGCAATGCCATTTTGTTTTAAAAGTTAATACTACTAATAAACGAGCTCAAATGCCCATAAACCCAAGAGGAGCTAGCTTTGTATGAATGGTAGGGCACTGTGCACTGGTAGGGCAACCGGATGTGAAAAGAAACATAACTTCCTAAAAGATTCTACCAAAATAAAAGAACCCTGGCCATCTTTATACGTGATATTAGCATTTGTATAGACTCTTGGAGACGTTCCTTTGGGAAAACAATGATTTATTCTGATTTCTTATCATATAATTCTGAAATATTTATATACATTGGGTACTTTGATATAAAGTATTCCATAAATGTTTTCCGTAAAAGTTTGACTGCGAAGGTGCTCTCAAATGTAAACATAAACACTGTTAACACGGCTAGCTTGACAGCGGTTTTTCTTTGACCTACTCGCCCGTATTTAAAGTAAATTCAGGATTGGGACGAGGTGTAGAGGTCATTTAGGACAAAGGACACCTGAGGCTTTGACCTTACGATTTTATTTTGATTTAAGTGACGATGCCATTTTAGACATGTACTCATGATTTATTCAGGCGCCTGTAAACAATGCAGGCAAACTGCAATTGAAATACAATACTTGAAAATTGTGCATGCATAATATAACAAAGCTGCCAATAACGGCAATTTAAAGGGGAGTCAAAAAACTTTTTGAGGCGACTGTAGAAGCTTGTCAGAGATGTTGGTCCTCAAAAAAGTTGGGTTGTTAACTTTAAGATAAAAAATGTAAATAAAAATAAAATTTACTAAATCAAAATGCTAAGGTGTTTATTTACCCTCAACTAGATACAAGACTCAGACGTCGCCCGGCCAAACAAGGTCTGCGTCAGGTGCTAGGGAACCAGAACACCTTGATGAAAAATGGGCTACTGAAACAAGGCGGAAATGGGCGAGATGCGAGAACAAGGCAAGGATCGGAGCAAGGCTCCGCTGAAATGCTACTACTCCAGTAACCCGAGTCAGAGGGGTTACATGAACAGGATGAGAGAAAAATTGTCCCTTCGATACCCACAGTGTAAAGCTAAAGTCCATAAACGTGTAGTATGATTCTTTAATAATTACTGTCTTGTGATATATACCCTGGATGATTATGAAGACGTCACAAGTTGTTTGAAAAAAAAAATCTGTGCCTGTGTTATGTGTCGAATATCCAATATCCAATATCAAACCAATTCAACCGCAGTCAACTGCTATCACTAGAGATTGACGAGGTACAACACAAGGGGGAGCCAAGACGCCAGGTCAGAGGGGAGTTAACACCAACTCCCCAACCAGAGACTGGGTACGAAGACCCAAGAAGTATCACGGTGAGAGAGGCAGCAACTGACCTGAAAGATAAGATTGTGGTCCGAATGAACACAAGGCAACCCCAGTGCCAGTTACAGAGGCTAAGTGAAGTACTATCTGACAGTCTCCTAGAAGATGTGAATGCAGCACTGAGAGTGATCTCTACCACAACCATCACTGAAACCAATGCACTGATACTCAAGTAGCAGTAATCCTAGAGGTGTTGGGCTATACAGCAACCATGGGAGTCATGAGATACATAACCAGCATGGAAAAGACGGTTAGAGGGTAAAATCGTGGAGAGAAGTGAGCCACCTGTCAAAAAGGTGCAATGAAAAAGTGCCCAAGGTGTACAGCCAGATGCCCATACCTGAAGCACTCAAAACTGCCAATGCTCCAATCCTTGGCCAGCTGCCTAAAGACGTGCACAGGAGATAATGAAGCCAAAAGAATAAACCGCCTGTTCCCAACACAACCTGCGTAAGTGTATGCTCAATGGCAGGGTAATAACACAAGAGCAGACCCACCAGGGCAGGAGACTGAAACATTCTGGAAAGGCATATGGAAGAGGGAGGCATCACATAACACTGATGCACAGTGGCTGGGGGCTCTGAGAGAAGACCATAGCAACCTCCCTGAACAGAATCCAGTCACCATCACAGTGGCAAACACTCAGGAAAGAGTCTCAGGTATGAAAAACTGGACCACACCAGGCCCTGACCTGATCCATGCTGGCTAAAAAAGCTCACTGCTCTCAGAAAAGGGAGTGCTGGAGGGCCGAGCGGAAATGGCGCAAGTTCGACCCCCAGGTTCATTATGAGATTTACAGAGGAAAACTGCATATGTAAACTACACTTTTTCGGACATTATTGGAAATTGCAATAACAACTCTCGTGTCCTGTTTGCAACAGTGAACAGATTAACAAACCCTCCAGCTCCACTGCCACTAGAACTAATTTCCACATCTAAATGTAATGAGTTTGCAGTTTTCTTTAATGACAAAGTTCAGGGCATCGAAAATGCCATCAATTCCACAACACAAATAACAAGCATGCAGCCACAGAGACACTTAGAGGTGAGTCACTTTGCACCTGTAATTGACAAAACTGTTTAAGAGATCATTACCAGTCTGAGTTCATCTACATGTTGCCTTAACATGTTACCCACTAGATTTCTAAAGTCTGTCCTCAACAGTTTACTTTCACCACTCGCTCACATAGTTAACATGTCACTTCAACCTGGAACATTCCCAAATGCATTGAAAACTGCCTCTCTAAGTCTCTCCTAAGAAGAGCAGTCTTGATGCCACAGTGCTGAACAATTTCCGACCCATCTCAAATCTGCCGTTTTTTGGCAAAGTTCTTGAAAAAGCTGTTTACCAACAGCTTACGAACTTTCTCCAAATGAACAACTCCTTTGATGTTTTCCAGTCAGGTTTTAGAGCCCACCACAGCACTGAGACTGCTCTTATCAAGGTGACAAATGACATCCACCTGAACACTGATGCAGGCAAAGTCTCAGTCTTGATCCTGTTAGATCTGAGTGCTGCTTTTGACACTGTCGATCATGGGATCCTCTTACAGAGACTAGAGGACTGGGTGGGCATCTCTGGTACTGTACTAAACTGGTTCAAGTCCTATCTAGAAGACAGGAAGTATTTTGTTGAAATTGGAAACTGTGTCTCAGATCACATGGCCCTGACCTGTGGGGTGCCTCAGGGGTCAATCCAGGGCCCCCTTTTGTTTAATTTCTACATGCTGCCATTAGGCCAGTTAATAAGCAGCAATAATGTGTCCTACCACAATTATCCACGACACTCAGATCTACGTCTCTCTGGCAGCAGGAGACTATGGACCAGTGGACTCACTTTGTCACTGCATCCAACAGATCAGTGTGTGGATGCAAAACGACTTTCTCCAGCTAAACTCTGACAAGACAGAAGTCATAGTGTTTGGTCCACAGAAACAAAGAGACAGTGTCAGCAGTCACCTCCAGTCTCTCTCTAAAACCTTCAAATCAGGCAAAAAATCTAGGGATAATAATGAACTCAGACTTGAACTTTAACAGCCACATCAAATCAATAACATCTGCAGCCTTTTACCATCTAAGAAACATAGCAAAAATCAAAGGTTTACTGTCTAAATCAGACTTGGAGAGACTTATCCATGCGTTTGTCTTCAGTAGGTTAGACTACTGTAATGGTCTGCTCACTGGTCTCTCCAAACAAGCTGTGAGATGCTGCAGAACATCCAGAATGCTGCAGCTCGGGTCCTTACTCGAACTAGGAAGTACGAGCACATAAGTCCTGTGCTCAGGTCTCTGCACTGGCTTCCTGTGCCTCAGAGAATAGACTTTAAAGCAGCTCTGCTTGTGTACACGTCTCTCCATGGCCGAGCACCAAAGTACATCTGTGACATGTTAGTGTCATATGAACCATTTCGCACTCTGAGGACCTCAGGGACCAGCCTCCTGCTGGTGCCCAGAGTCAGGACTAAACAAGGACAGTCAGCGTTTCAAGTTCACGCAGTTAAAACCTGGAACAGTCTGAACATGTGAGACAGGCCTCTTCTGTGATGCTGTTTAAATCCAGGCTCAAAACGGTTCTCTTTAACTGTGCATATAACTGAAAGGTTTTCATTCCACACTCTTCTCTAATTTATGTCTCTCTTTTTTTTTTTTTTTTAATCTTTATGATTATTTATGTTTTGATTTGTTTTTATTATGATTTTAATGTATTTCTTATTCTGTAAAGCACTTTGAATTACTTTGTGTACGAATTGTGCTATACAAATAAACTTGCCTTGCCCCTCCACGAGCGCCTGGCAGCACAAACGAACCAGCTGCTGAAGCATGGGACTTCTGAATGGCTAACCCAAGGGCATATGAACTTTGCTTTGACTCCATGGAAACCTGAATAGTCACTCACAAAGATGTCTATATCAGTGCCAAAAATAAGCTTAAACCTTCATAAAATTTGAGCTAAAAATGTGAAATTAAAGCTTGTTTTTAATTTTGGTGGTTTATATTTGATTATCTTAAAATCTAAGCGATTTGGTTCAGATCAACAAAAAAACATTTAAATAGAAAAAGGAACCTTAATATATTTAAAGGAACACTGTGTAATTTTTGTAGTTGGCAGCTCCGGGAACAAGACAAGTGCATGAGGAAGTAAGATCATATCACTTCTAGACCAAACTGAGACCTGTAGCAATGTCCTCGCCTAAGCAGTAAGTCTCTGGAACTTTTATTTATTTCATTCTCCTTTTTCACTGTACTTTCCCAAGTAGTAGCCTTTTACTAGCAGTGGTATTTGTATAGTAGTAGTAAGTTAATGTATTTTGTATATTAATCATTTGGTTAGATGGGCTATTTTTAATTGTAATGTATCTTTATTTTCTCCTGATGTTCTTGTGCTTCACTGGAATAAAATCTAGTTCAGGACTGGTGGTGCTTGGAAAGTCAAATTTTCTTTGTGGTTTGTGTGAAAAGATTTTGAGAAAAACGTGTGATGTAACTAAAAACATTTCTGATTGAATTTGTTTTTGTATTATCATTTACAATCTAAATCTTGGTTTGACTTTCACATTCACAAATCACATTATTTACAAATCTGCCACCACAAAACACTTTCACCAAATATTACTTACTTATTATTTTTACTTCAATATTTTACAGACACACTGATCCGACACCCATTAGTCCTCGCACCCCTTCAGCTTTTCCTCCACCGAGAAAATTTCACTCCATAACGATACCACGACCAGACTTCAGCAATGGGTAAACCTGTTATCTCTTTTGTGATAAG